CTCAGGCCACACAGGGCCCTTCCACTGATTCCCTATGGAAATGGTTTAAGAAGAATCTAGGAGCGCGAATTGTGGATGAGTGGCAAACCGCAGTTGGGGAGACCAAACGGCATGGAGGCTGCAGTCGCGCTAAGGATCACTTTAAGGAACGATGGTGTGTCAGTCGCGGCTCACTGGTAGTTAATATAGTAGGGCAACAAGTATGGGTTTCACTGGACGGGGAGGTGGTTGGTCACAACTAAGTTGAGGGGCTGACGCAAACGTAATTCCAGTAACATATGGGGAGTAATTAGCAACTTTAGTGGGTTTTAAGTGTTGTAATAATCGTAAATTTGCGGGACTATAATCCCAATAGAATACATGAGCCCCGCCTGAAATAAGGATGTCGAAGAGCACATAAAATGCACGAGCCAAAAAAACGTATCAGTCCTCGCTTAAGTTAGTTGCGTAGGGTCCCTCGTCTGAAGGAGCATCTATGTCGTGCGCATCTTGGTCGTTACATAGCATTCGTTGCTAGCATGCGTACCTGATCGAAACATCTCTTATGGGTCCCAAGAACAAACCCTAGAGCTAATCTGGTGTATATGTTAGGTACAGCAGACATTCACGAGATTCCAAGTCGCAATACAACACTTTTAATCCCATCTCCCTTGCTACAATTTGTTCCAGTCTCCAGCCAGTCAATGGAAAAAGGATTTATGAGAACTGTAACACCTAAACACATACTTGCAACCTGACAGTTTATTGAACAAAATGGTTGTTAAGTCCTTGCATCCTAGTGTGGATATTCCACTGGTTCCAGTAACTGACTGTAAGTGTTCCGGCCACTTCAAGTTTGACCTCTTTTCACGATATACGCGACATCATCACCCACACCTATACAGTCTTCCTTTTTGATCCCATACGAAAGGATCCGCAAAGACGTAGCATTGTGGCTTTAATTCAAGCTGAAACCGAAGAATCGTATACATATGGACAAGTTGAAGAAAATGTACTCAGACTTGCTTCAGGATTGCGATCCATGGATGTTCGCAGAGGAGTCACCGTGCAAATGTTTGGACCGTCTGGGTATGTGTTGACACGCGGTTGTTGACCCGCTGTTGTTGACACGCTGCACTGTTGCAGAAGCAACTTTTAGGTTTAACTGGTTTTTGTAAATAGCGTTGAAATTCCTCAGATATGCTTTGGAATCCTTCATGCCGGAGGGACTGTTACCACTGCCAATTACGGATACAACGCTGATGAACTTGCATACCAACTGCAAGATTCGAGGCCATCGCTCATTTTCACGACACCTGAGCTGCTCTCCATTGCTCTCGAAGCAGCCAAGACTATCAACATGCCTCCTAAACGTATCATTACTTTCGGTGGACGCGTGAATGGTCATTCATTCTGGAAGGATATTTTTGGTGACGCAAATCAACAGACACAAGTGTCGTGGACACGAGAGCAATTGTGCACAGAACCATGTTACATCCTCTATTCTAGCGGTACCACAGGTATGAGATCTTCACCTTTTCTTGCTCAAAACTTTGCTTGCGCAAAGTTGCACGCTACTCTTGCTCAGGTTAACATCCTCTCACAAAGGTCGTCCAAAGGGGGTGATGCAATCTCATTATAATTGGGTAGCGTCAAGAACGCAACACTTGGCCGTTGTTTCATCACAACCATCTGCACCTGCCGGAACGATCAACTGTGTAGTCTTTCCTCAATACGCCACCGGCGGAGTGAGCATTTTCCAAGTAAGAGCCTCTCTCTGTCTCCCTACTTCCAATACCGAATGACGTCCTAACTGCGCTTATTAGACCAACCTTCAAGCTGGAATGACTTCGATTATATTCAGAAAGTTCTCGTTTCGATTGTTTCTTCAAATGATAGCAAAACACAAGATCACGTCAATGGTCCTACCTCCTCCAATTCTGGTTATGTTAGCAACGTCTCCTGAAGTACGATTAGATTCAATGTGGGGAAGCACAAACGGGGAAACTCAATCAATTTTCGATTAGGTCGAAAAGTACGATCTCTCCTCAATAGTGGCAATTGCAGCTGGAGGTGCAGCTCTGAGTAAAGAACTGGCTGCCATGGTCTCAGCGAAATTGAATGTACCCGTTACGGCAATCAGTCACAATTATGGAGCTACTGAGATGACATCCGGTGGAATCTGGCATGGATTAGCCCGTTGAGTAGTCTTTTGTTTGGATATCTGTTCTTTACCACTAACGATAATATTTTTCCTAGCCGTTCGTCAAGGATCTGTTGGACTGATTCTACCTAATAGCGAAGTCAAGCTCGTCAACCCGGACACTGACGTAGAGGTCAAAGGACCGGGAGAGGCAGGCGAAATCTACTATAAGGGTCCGAACGTAACTTTGGGATACTTGAATAATGAAAAAGCTACCAAGGAAACGTATGTGAACGGATGGCTGAGAACTGGAGATGTGGCCATGTATGATAAGGACGGTTATTTTTACATTGTTGATAGAATCAAAGAGGTAAGGGTACGACATGTCTTTATGTTGTCAGTAGCTTACAAAGGCCACTTTTGTGATACAGCTGATAAAGTACAAAGGGATGCAAGTTGCACCAAACGAAATTGAGGCTGTCTTGAGAACTCACCCTGAAGTCCTCGATTGTGCGGTGGTTCCAGTACCGGACCAACTTGCAGGAGAGCTTCCAAGAGCTTTTGTTGTATCGAGGAATCGAGGAAATCAGCAAAAACTTGCCGAGGATATTATCGCATTCGTCAACCAACGAGTCGCTGATCATAAACACATACGAGGTGGAATCGTATTTGTCGAAGAAATCCCAACCAATGCAACGGGAAAGATCTTACGTCGTGTCCTTCGAGACAAAACTGACATAACTCCATTCTCGGCCAAGCTGTGAAAGTAGTTCAAATTGAATAAACTCGAGTGTTTAGCTGAGAATTTAAAGATGGAAAGTACAACGACACGTCAATACAATAGATTTCTAAATTGTGTGTTTTCTCTGAACTCAAGTCTGCGATCGCTCTTGCTTTGCTTGATGGACTGGTATACGCGTCATGATTCCTTAGAGCGAGATCGTCTACACCTGCGAATACGCGTTGGATACTCTGCAACATTCGTAAATCAAACGCAACGATGACGTTCTATCCAACGCATCCCACACCAAACCCTAAGGCCGACCAGCTTCGAAAGCTCCTGGCACAGCCTGGAAAATGCCATCTGATGGCTTGTGCTCATGATGCGATGAGTGCCAGGTGCTTAAATGTGAATTTGAAAAGTGACAATGTCAATAGCTTTGTTGCTGGGCCATGAACTCCACCCATGGGCCACGTAGCTCATCAAGATGGAGTATCTGCGATCGTATTTGCTACCTTGATCATCTTAAAACCATCAAGCTCATCATACATCTCCATCAGGTTAATCGAGGCTGCAGACTTTCCATTGACTTTCATGTCAGGCTACACTGGTACGCAACCAAGCTCTGAGACTCTACTTTTTTTCAAACACTTATTCAAGCGCAATGTCTTAGTTTCGGCTTCGAGGGGCTTCCCGGACACTGGTACGCAAACTCACAATCCAACGATTATCCCAAAAACCGATATTGAAAGGTCGCCATGTAGGACTGCTCTCTTATGGAGAAATGGTGTCTCAAGCTCAAATGATATGGTATGAGCCAACAAACGTACGGAATGAGATCATCCGTCCTTCGTTAACTGCCTTGTTGACCAGTTGGAGACACTGAATACTCGTGATTGCCAGATTAATCTTCCTGAATTTAGTGACGCAATTGAAATTCCTTGCATCGGGGATGCTGATACAGGTTACGGCAATGCAGTGAATATCCGTCGAACCGTTCAAGGGTATGCAAAAGCAGGAATGGGCGGTGTTATGATAGAAGATCAAATCGCTCCCAAGATAAGTTCCAAGTCAATGGTTGCTTGCGACGCAGATGAATACGCCTTTCGCCCAGCAATAAGTTGAACATATGCTCACATGCTGCTTCTGTCAAACACAGGTGTGGCCACACCAAAGATAAAGCCGTTTGCTCCAGAGAAGAAGCGTTCTCCAGGATTCGAGCTGCCGTTGACGCACGAAATGAAGGAATGGACATAGTCATTATGGCACGAACAGGTATCTCTCAAGTTTTGAATTATCAAGGAAAGGTCTGCATATCTTATTTCTTGGTTAATATAGATGCCCGTATTGATTCTCTTGATGAAGCTATATACAGATGCAAGGAATTCCGAAAATTGGGTGCAGATATCACCTTTTTGGAAGCACCTCTGAACAAGGCAGAGATGAAGCGCTACTGCGATGAAGTCGATGGTTGGAAACTTGCAAACATGGTTGAACACGGCAAGGTAATGTTCTCTGTCATGGCATTTATTCAGATTCCAGCCATTACAATATCGTTTATCTACTCCCAAAATCCGCATAGACGCCGATCTTGCCCATTGCTGAACTTCAAGAGCTAGGCTATACCATTGCTGCTTATCCGGTCACTCTCCTGTCTGCATCCGTAAAAGCAATGCAAGATACTTTGGCCGCAATAAAAACTGGACAGCCAAAAGATATTTTCCCACACATCCTTCCCTTTGACAAGCTCTGTAAGCGCGTGCCACGTCTTTGCTCTCAATTCAGATACTAACCTAGTTATCAATAAAGGTGACGCCGTCGGCTTCAATACATACTATACAGTCGAGAAGAGGTACCGGGAAAATCCCGATGCAAAAGAAGCCTCTGACGCAAAGGAAGAAGAGCAGCCAGCCACAAAAAGAAGGAAGGCGAAAAAGTGAGAGCTCCATACCAATATAAACCCTGTGTTCTGTTTGACTCCTTACCAATATAAACCCTGTGTTCTCTTTGAACATGTTTTATATATCGTAGTATAAATGGAAAGGAACTATGAGAATGATATGACAATGCAACGAGGGTTTACAATCTACATGATCAGGCAATTCCTTTGAGTCTTGCGATGTGACTTTTTCATTGCGAGTTTTGCTGCCATCGTGAAGAGCTCATTGACCTGCTCATTGGTCTTGGCCGACGTTTCTATATACTTGACTGCCTGGATTTTTGGTGCGAGTTCGAAGCCCTATGATATTGATACAGGAGTTGGATACCGTCTGAAGCACGAGTTAAAAATCTTGCGTTTGCGTACCTGGTTGGCTGGAATAAGACGAGTGTCTGGTCGTGAGGCATATGCTTTGTCGTCGCGTAAATCCTTCTTGTTACCAACAAGAATGATTGGAACGTTTGGTAGGAAATGTCTTAATTCTGGGACCCACTAATATCAGAGAATGTCTGAAGTCAGTCTGCTAGTTTTCTTTGCAAGCTTCTGCTATTGCTTCACTTGCTTTGTCTGTAATATTCGAAAGAGAGTCCGGGTTTCCCAAGTCAAATACCAAAATCACAACGTCCGTATCAGTATATGACAAGGGCCTGAGACGATCGTAATCTTCTTGTCCAGCTGTATCCCATAGCGATAATTGCACATGTTTGTTTCCGCCAATGCAGACTGTCGTGACAAAGTTTTCGAATATTGTTGGAAAGTATTTCTAATAAACGAGATAGATTTGGCCATGAGAATGCTGCTCGATTAAAGAGACTGTGATAAGCGGTAGTCAGATGTCCCTTCCGCCCAATACGGTAGTTTGGTAAGCCTTGCATATGCTCCCATCTTGAAGAGACATATACATATGGCCAGCTCCATTGATATAAAGCTTTGTAGTACGAGGTCATCATCTCATATTCCTCTATAGTTTCCTACTCCCATCACATTGTCCATGAAGAAGTCGACAAATTTCAAACTCACATCAGGGAAATCTTCACCACTTTGGACCATCAGCAAGGCTGTTTTGCCACAAGAACCGTCTCCTACAATCACCAGCTTTCGTTCGGGCCACTTGGTCTCAGATACTGTTCCGTCCTCATCTGCGTCGACCTGATTCTTGCTGCTGTTGCTCCAATTGAAGAGTTGTTTACGTTGCCTAGTGTTGTCCATGATAGATCAGTATAGATCTTCAGGCGATATGACACTATTGCTCGTGTGATCGGTGCCTCTGTGCCAGTTCCAGCACTCGTCAGCTTCTGGTCGTTGCGGAAAGCCAGTGTTGGAGGGAATTTGAAGAGGGCACTCACATGTTTTGAAAGACTGGGTATAAACAGTGTAAAAGTATACGTGTATCGTAGCGTGATTCTTTTCCTGTCTACTTGTCCTTCTGCTAGATGCTGGATCTCTAAAGACGCGATCGTTTAAGAAATCATAATCCCTGCTAGGCAACCAACTCATGCGCAGTAACGTCTCCGATCACTACTTTATAAACTATACAACTATCAAGGTCTTAGTGCAGCACGTGCTTTCTCAAGAATGTCCTTCTTCACCTTTGGATATTCTGCGTCCTTTTCTAATATCTTGAGACATACTTCAATGGCCTCAACGTATCTCTTGGCTTTCAGATAGTTGAAGGCTAGGCGATAACCTGTAGCTGCAGAATTATGGTTACATAGCTGCCACGCTCGTTCGTACTGATCCGATGCATCACGATACGATGCTTCCTTTTCCATTATGTGTCCCAGTAACTCATATGCACGTAACGAAGACATATTGTGTTTGAGTACTCGTTTCACTAATTCCGTAGCCAGATCAAACTTCCCACCCTAGCCGTTCACTGACGAGTCAGCAAAGCCAAACATTCATCCTTGTTCACAACTTTGGGGAACCTACCTGAATGTAGATATCAGCCAAGAGCAGCCAACTACGTTCAAACTCGTCTCCTAATTCACTAGTCCAATCCAGCTTAGCTATTCGTTTGAGCTGGTTCCTGGCTCTCGGTGGTTGCTTAAGATGCATATAAGCGATAGCTTGACCCTGTTAAAAGTTCTAATGAATAAGCCAAACTAGACATTGCTTAAATGTAACAGCCAGAGCTTACCAAAAGTGATGGCACATGATCAGGATTATCGTTGAGAACGTCTGTCAGCCTAGCGACAGCCAGTTCGCACTCTGATTTGTGTCGTGTGCCCATCAGTGCATAGCACTCCAACACACGAGTTTTAACAGACTTTGGATTTTGAGGTAGCTCCTAGTGCAATGGTAACGATGCCTTGTTTCAGAGGAAAATGAAGTCAACGTAATACATATCAGACACTTACTTTCAACAGCTTGTCAGCTGTAAGTACCGCCAACAGGTCAGAATCAGAATCATCCGTCTCTGCACCAGGCTCTTGAGCTTCTCGAACAGCATTCAAAGCCTCACCACCCAAAATCTCATTGTCGGGATTCAAAAAGATTTCGACCATTGCAGAAATGGCTCGTTCACCCCAAACAAGATCTCTCCTGCAAGCATTGAATTCTCGCAAGGCTAGATTTGCATTATTGATATACCGAGCATGCAATCCTTTACAGAATCTCAATCCAGCCGTGCTAGCTGTTCCAATGACCTTCTTTCGGCGGTCTTCAACGATGGTGATGGCTTTGGCTGCTTCACCTAGCATGCCAGCTCGTCTCGATACCTCAATAAATCTTTCCAATGCCATATAATTCTGAGGTTGACGTTCCAGCAATTCTCGGTAATGTGTAATGGCGTGATCGAACGCACCTCGCCGCAGTGAGACATCAGCAACTAGTACAGCAGCTTCAGGGTCATCTGGGTTCAGTTTAAGCAATGAATTGAGATATGAGTGAGCATTGCCCAAATCCGTTTGACTCATGCAGAGCTTAATCAAACATATCAGAGACTACGGTGTATTTTCGAGTCAGATGGTGGTACTGTACAGTTCGAATCGACTGAAAAAAATAGTTTACCTGACGACTAGCGGAATTCATCTGAAGGGCTTGAGTCCAGAAGTCCTTTGCAGCATCCGAGTCATTCATAGCAAGAGCCACTTCGCCAAGTTGATGGCAGATATCTCCACAACCAACTCGTAACTGGTCAGAAGTTGCGGTAGAGCCACCTCCGGAGACGGCCCGCAGCTGCAGATCTCGAGCCCGGCTCAGATACGTAAAAGCGGATGGTAGATTACTAGTATCATGATATATACGAGCCAACAACAAATTCAATTTGATATTTTGGTGCAATGCTACATCTGCTGCTCTGCCGCTAGCATCTTGGCCGTCCAAACATTTATGTACGATGCGTTCAGCTTCGTCAAATTGACCCAAACGGCGATGCAAGTCAGCCAAGTCAATCATCAACGGTATATCTGTTGCACCTTCAAGTGCGGATTCATAATATGCAATCGCCTTCTGATAACGATGCGTCTTAACAAGAGCATATCCAACCTTTGAGGCGAGTTCTCTGGCTTCAGGATACGATTGTAGAGCCGACTCATAGATAGCAATTGCTTTTTCATACTAGGTTCGTAGTAAAGGTTGGCAAACTGCAGAAGAGATTGAACGAGAGTCTTACTTCAGAAATAGTCATATAAGCGTCTCCTAGACATATAGAGTTCTCTGCAGACGGCGAGTGCTCGACAATATCACCAAAACACTTTACATACATTTGGTTGTTGTGATTGAACTTGAGATATATCTCAGCCATACGAGTTTTGGCATCAACAAAGGTATTATGGGTTGGAGGTATGGTGCTCAAAAGCTCGATTGCCTTGTCGTAGTCTTCACGTTGAATGGCAAGTTCTGCACTAGCAAGCGTGAAGCGGGACCCATCCATGCTGGACGAGAAAAGCCTTTGCGCATCTTGCATCAATCGCGTGGCTTCTTCCTAGAGGAGAAGAGGGGTTTGTCATCCAACATGGAGTAGAGAGATTATCATTAAAGACGAACCTGATGATTCAATTTCCCGTGACAATCCACTAACTCCAAGAACACATTAACCCTATCAGAGGCAAGAACTCCCTCTGATGACGCTTGCAAGCCTAAACCCCAATGAATTTATCAGATTGTTTTGCTTTTGCCATCTACAATTTGAGTTCAAATCAAAACACAAACCTTTGCTCTTTGAATCGACTCCTTTGGAAACAACGGAAAGGGCCGCTGAAAAAGCGGTAATGGCTTCTTCGTAGCGACCTTGGCCTGAAAGGGCCTTGCCTCTCAAATAGTTCCACGACAACCAACCTCGTACTTCAAATCCACCTGCGAGAGCCATCTCACAGGATTGAAGGGCCTGATCATATTTCTTGAGCTGTATTTGGATTCTTGCCATGAGCAAGTGAGCTTTTGGCGAGGATTGGTCTTGCTTTAGAAGAGCAACGAGAGTGGACATGGCTGTTGAGGATTGTTGTGAGAGGTATTGAGCGGTTGCTTGAAGCAGAACTGCAGCAGAGCATGCTGGTAGCAGTCGGGTTACAAAGGAAAGAAGAGCTTCTGCTGATCGTAAAGAAGGATGCCCTGCTTTTGGGTCTGATGGAGCCATCTCCATAAAATCGCGAGCAACCTCCATTAATAAATCACAATTGATGTGAATAAAGAATGAGACGCTATGGGTGTTTTGAAGTTAGCTTTGAACCGCATTCTCGAAATATGGCTTACTCCCAGCATCATTGCTACCTTGGCTGAATTGTTTCGGCTTTCTGACGCTGTAATTCAACGACCTCATCCAGCGACTTGATTCTGGATTCCGAGTCTCGGTAAGCAAGCCAAGAATATAATGAGGTCAAGTAGGCGATGTAACTTGAATGTCCTAGAACGGCAAAGTCGTGAGTACTGGTAGCACTAGACTCAGAAATGTACCGAAAAAATCACCTAGAGTGGCCTGTAGCTCATTGCATAACTCCAGCTGTTCTCCAGCCGAGCCATAATCACCATCCAGTAGCTGGCAGTGAATCAGACCTAATGAGACAGTCGATGCAAGATTCTCCTAGAACTTGAACTTTTACATCGACAAAAGACTCACCTTGTAGAGCGTCAAAATTATGAGAGTCTAGATTTGATGAAGTCTGGTATGCGTCCTTGGCACTCGCCACGTTTCCTACAATGTCGAAATGATTAGCACCATTCCAAACCCTAGCTGTAATTGATGACAGAAGCGCGAAACCAGCAGAGGATATACCGCGTAATATTTGCAGATACCCCATTTCAGCCCAGATGCTACTACTAGGGTCTAACTTCAATGCACGTTCAATCATTATGTAACATTGTTGCAAAATTCCAGCATGCCTCGAGGCAAGTCTGGAAAATGCTCTTGACGTGGAAAGAAGCAAAGATGAATTTGATGGTTCGACTTTCGCTATAACTTGATTTAATTGTGTCAATTGTTCTACTACTGTCTTCAAGTTGCCTTCTCGACACACTTGATGCAGAGCAGCAGCAAGCAATGCATCAATATTGTCTGGTGCCATTGTCAGCACGATGGTAGAGGCTTCTAGCATCTGATCCCAAGCTTCCATGCCGAGCAATATCCACATTCTTTCAATATGAGCGGGGAGGAAGGTAGGTAACTTTACAGTTATTTGTGCTGCCAAATCCAAGGCGACTTCTAGCTGATTGCGAACTTTACAGAGAAAGTCCATTTTACCCATCAAAGCATCTACAGCGAAACTGTCTACTTCCAATGCTCTATCAAACCAGTTAGATTGGGCTGGTCGAGAAGCCGCTCGTTTTAGTTCAATCCAGCCCATGGCAGTCAGAGCCAGGGCTGAATTAGCAATATCTAGAGCGGATTTAACGTGTTGCTTGGCGTGGTCGGTGTCGCCAATGTAGAGATAGAAGAGAGCGACATGTATATGAGCACGATCCGAGAGGTTCGTTGAGGAAGAGGCAATTGTTAATTTGGCCTGTAGTTCGTCTATGGCCTCGTGATCTATCAAGGAGCAAAATAGAGTATTTGAACTTGAAAAAGAAGGGGGCAGGATGGACTGGTGGAGTTGGCAGTACCTATTGTCTGGCATTGACGATGAGCATGAATCAGGGCCGCGGGGGCCGCCAGGACTAGATCCCTCTTTTCCAAGAGAGGGAGGAGATCTCGTATGGCCTCGACAGGTTTCCCTGTGGGATTGACAAGTATGAGAAATGAGTCTGGGTTGGTGTTGATGTTTTACAGGTGTTGAGTGTGCGTACTGCATGAGAGGAGGGAGAATGCCTTCCAGAAGAGCAGTAAGGGATCTCCCATTCGTCGCTTGAGTGCCAAGTCACATATTGTCTTTACATGATGAAACCAACCCTTTCTGCAGTAATAGTGGACCTTAATTGTAATGAAAATCCGGTTAGATCTCGTGAAGGTGAGCAACGCAATTCAAATTAGTACCAGCGACGTGTCTTCTTCCATGTTGATCCGTTCTTTGTCAGTGAGTTAAGAGGGCATGTGAGGATTGATTGTGAACTTGAACATTTTGATGTCCTTTTTCCGGCAGAACTGCAAACGTACGCGTCAAATTTCAAATTCGATACTCAATATACAAGGAGACTCACCCGATTTACAATTCATCTAACCAGGATGGAATGACACGCTTTCGTTGTCTTTCAAACTCCCAAAACTAGAAAAAAAAGTACTTCCAGGCCAAACAGCTCGATACCCCCAGACAGACTAGATAGAACTGAGAATGGCTTCTCCATCTTCCTCTTGGTGGCCTTTCGCCAGTACTGCTTCTCCCTCCTCTACAACTGCAACATCTCTCGATACGAAAGCTGCTGCTAGCTGTCCAGTTCCACACGGCCCATCTGCTACCATGCCTGCCAATCATCCCATAGTCCCTGCTGCAGATAGAAAGTCGGCTGAAGCTTGTCCTATCGACCATTCCAAATTCCAAAAACCTTCAACAAGTAATAAGGACCCAGCTGCGTGTCCTATTCCACATGACAAGTCTACCCCAGATACTATAAATCCATTGAATATGATGCCAACCCTCTCTCAGGACATGTCGCCTGGCCAACAGGTCCTGCTCTCTACTAAGAGAAGCGATTCCACCATCCCGAAAACCAATGCTGAAGAACATGAACCTACTTGGGTCTATCCATCGCCACAGGTGGGCTAGAGTTTATGTTCGCATTGTCAAATCGAATGACCCCGTTCTACCTGCTCACCACCATCAAATTTACCATCTACTAGCAATTTTATAACGCTCTAAGAAGGAAGGGCTGGGAAACTCCTGAAAATGATGTACCAACTATGGTGGCTATACACAACTTTCTAAATGAAGCTTGTTGGCAGGAAATCTTGAAATGGGAAAAGGTCCATGAATGGTAAGAGACACCTGTTGGAAGCATGCAATTGTGTATATGGAGGCTTGTTTGAAGTCTGGCCGTCACTGTCTAGCACCTTCCTACAATTTTACTGCTTATACTTGTACTCAATTGCTAATACTTGTCTTACTCCGTAGTGATTGCAAGACTCCTAAACTTGCGCGATTTATGGGAAAGCCTAGCACCCTATCGCCGAAAGCTACTATGATGACGTGGTTTGGTGTCGAAAAGCCCTTCGATCGGCATGATTGGGTGGTGGACCGTTGCGGAAAGGAAGTCAGATATGTCATTGATTACTACTCTGGTCATGATGAGCCAGAGTCGCCCGTGTTTCATGTAGATGTCAGACCAGGTATGTGCGGTTTGGATGCATGAATCATTTCTCAGTTTCCAACGACAGTTCCGCTGAAATCTTCCCTGAAATCGCTCAACAGCTCTAGATTCGCCAGAGGCGTTTGTTGATCGTGCTCGCATGTCCTTTCAGGGTATCTGGGATCGTTGTTTTGCTACAACTAGTAGCGCGGCCAATAATTAAAATATGTATCTTTGTTGAATATTATTATTGCTGTATTCATCTCTACAATTTCCCCTCACACACATCATTGCAACAAGCCTTTTGTAATTTATATATGAGGGACGTTACGTAGAGCATGTTATCGATATATGCCTTAATCATATTAGCCTCGATAACTGGCGTGCTCTCCAACGAGACATGTGCTTTGTCCCAACAAGTTGACATTCAGCTCCCAGTCTGTTTGGTTCATGGGAATGAGAGAACGACCACTGAAGCCTACAGTACAGTCGCTGAAACGATGGCGGCGTCGCCTGTGGCTTCTGTCTCTTCTGAAATGGCCGCCAATAACATCCAGACATTTGAGCAATACTTGGAGAAGCACGACAAGAAGCACCATATCGTAACTCCTACCATAGACTCCACTATAACTGCTCCTATTATTACGCCGGACGTCAATGAAGTTGATCAGGGCAACAAGAAACTCACAACAGAGCTGCCGAAAGTTTCACCTGCTTCCACCAAATCAAAACCAAAGGCCAATGAAGAAAGATTCAATTTTGCCAGGTATGTAAATTCTACAGAATTTTCGTTATCTTCATTGTCGTCGCCTGGGGATGGAAGCAACCCAAGACAGCAGTAATGGAAGCAACAGTGTGATGAGCTGTCTATACGTTTCTTCCACTACGATGTTTGCTGGCTTTATATGAGACGGATTAGTCTGTAAAAGTTACTCCGAAGCTTATAAACAACTTCAGTTTCAATTGTGCAGCCAAAATTCTTGCAGCAAATCCCGAAGCCTCCTCGTCTACTTCTATATTGTTGGAGTCCAAGGACGGCTACATGATGAACAAGTGCAACGCAACAGACAAGTTTGTTGTGATTGAGCTCTGTCAGGTATGCCAAGTTTTTGGGCAATGCACATTTCCCTCGCTAGCCTTTATATTGCGATACTAGGCCTTGAACACTGACATTCGTTTGTTGTCTGATTATTCAAACAGGAAATTCTCGTTGATACAATAGTACTAGCCAACTTGGAATTCTTCTCCTCAATGTTTAAAACAATTCGCATCCAGGTCTCGGATAGATATCCTCCGAAAGGTGCAAATGGCTGGAAGGAACTTGGTGCTTTTACAGCTAAGAATGCACGTAACTTTCAGGTATCCCAAATTCTCAAAGGCTTGTGAACGATGTTCGAAACGTTCCATGACCTTTCCGTTACCTAGACATTTCATATCAAAAACCCATTGATATGGGCAAGATATTTGAAAATCGATTTTGATACATACTATGGGAATGAGTTTTATTGTACGCTCAACGTGTTACGCGTGTACGGCACGACAATGATGGAAGACGTGATGACGGAAGACACGAACGCAGGTGAGTCAACGGCAACGTGTATACACGAAATCAAAATCTCACCAAAATTTATCAGATGAGCCGTCTGCATCTCACACGACACCTATAGCCGAATTGTCGCGCGAGAGCTTCCATCACCACATAGTCACACCATCATCGAAACCAACATCACTACCATTCTCGGTACTATTTAAAGACCACTTCAGTAACCCAATACCACCAGAAACCCATCCTGAAATTTCCATGTTGCGAGAAACGTCACCATCAGCTACAGCTTCTGCTTCCCAAACGGGGACTCAGGAGAGCATATTCAAAACGGTAGTGGCGAATGTCTTGGATGACATCACAACCACGCAACTGATTCTCCATGTATTAGATCATGAAACGTTTGAGTGTGCTGGAGCACAATGCGACTCTCTCCTTTCAGTATTTGGTGCAGTCTTGATGCAATTGGTCAGTTACCAGTACGGGCTCTAAGCGTTTTTATATTATAGGCTGAACAGAGCGAACTCATCAATCGAGTTTTTGCTGAATCTCAGGAGGCTCAGAGGAGGGGTATTGAAGCATCTATCACGAGCATGCGTGAAGAAATGGATGATTTGCGATACCGCATGGATCAAATGGCAATCCAGGTTTGTTCCAGGGCTCTGCAACATATCATCATGTTCAGGATACTGACAATACTTTTGTTACAGCAAAACTGGATTTTTGTACTTATGATTGTCGCTTTATTGAGTTTTAAATACCAAGAGCTATTACAACGACTATGGCCATCGCCGTCATCGCATGAAGCTGTTAGAGCTGCAGCACATGAAAAGAATCACAACGCGGCTGCCATAGCAAATGAAGAGGAGAGACTGGAGCACCCATCGTCGCCTGACAAAGCTACTCAAAGAAAGAGGAGGAAGCGACGACAATCGAATGCAAACAATCCAATGGGAGTTGCAATTGATGCATCGTCGCCCGATCGCTTGCCATCGTTCCTGTAACATAGTCACTTGTTTAAATGCATACTCATGCTGAAAGAGATTATCGATAAGCGTTTGTGCGTGACCAGTTTTCAATTTAACATCAGCGAGGCATCGTTGATCACTGACGCACTTTTCGATCGTGTACGAGTTGGAGCTTCAAAACAGATCGCGGACGTACCAAGGCACCATAAACATTATAAACATTGCTTAGCCACGCTTTACTCGTCTCCACGTCGTTCTGGTGTTCATTTAGTATGAATCATTGACTTCCGTTTTCGTACTTTTCATTCTCAGTAGAAACTTCAACGATGATGGAAATAGAGCTCCTCCAGGACACCTCAAAACTCCACACTCAGCGAGCTGATATCGTATCAGCATTCCCTGAGGTGGAACATCTCTTCCTTCACGCTCAACTGTTTGCTGAATGGAACGTTGCAAGGTCATTCCTTGCCACTGTAAAGAATACATTGACCAAGGATTTGTGTGCATGTATCTGCCGAGGAATCCCTGCTTCAGCAGGACGTGATCCTGGCCTTGTAATAGCCTTCTCTCCGAAAAACAATGACTTGGTCGAAACAATTAGCATCGCACTGGACTCATTCAACTCTACGAATACTGTACCGTTAAAACTGATAAGATTCAGTGGAACCCCTTTTCAACTTGAGCAGGCTCACGATGCGGTAAGTTTATTAACATTTGGTACTTCGCCAGCATACAACGTTGACAATATTTATGCTTTCCTGAAAGGTCAGGAAACGGTACAAGGACGTCAAGGTAGCTCTACATAGCAACACCATGTTTGTGACGGCCGACAAACTTGTGACTCCTGCTAAAGCAAGTGGAAGATTCATACCGCACATATCTCTGGACGACTCGCCTAGGCTGAAATCTTGTGTCGAGCTACACCAGCAGTTTAGTAAAGAAATTGGTCTTGATAATCCAACCGAGGACGAATCTACGGAAACAGTTAAAGATCTATTGGGAAGGAACTCACTGTTTGCATGGGAAGACAACGCCGTTGTAGGAACGGCAGGGTTTGTTGCCGAGACAAATGAGAGTTTAAGGATCGCTTTTGTATGTGTGCTGCCGCAGAATAGGAGAAGAGGGTATGCTAAAGCTGTGGTCCATGGAACTGTGCTGGTGGCCCTTTCCAGAGGGAAAAAGTACGCAACATTGGTGGCAGACGCTGCAAACGCTCAAACAAATGCATTGTATGAGTCGATGGGATTTAAACCGGTAAATCAGACGAGCATCTTATACATTGAGTAATATCATACATCTCGTAGCGCATATTATAAAGTACTTACAGTAGCTATAATGGTTCGATTAAAGTACCTCTAAATCAACGTGCTTTGCCTCTGGCACTTTTTCCTAGGAATGAGCACAGACCTCGTCAGCACATGTCAACGAATGACTTCTTGCGTGTTGGAATGACTGGACGAACCTTGATATCCTTCTCTAGTCTGTCTACCTCCCATCCAAGTCCAGAGATCACCTTTCCTCCAGATTCAATCATCCATTGCTCCAATTCTTTGTCTAATTCTTTATCTGACTGTTTTCGATCCATTGCTACAATATTCTTCAATTTTTCCAGTTCACGACTGGTTAACAGTGGATTTCTCTGTATCAACCTCCTAGTGATTTCCTCGCCATTAAACAAGATTTCAGCCTTGAACCGGACCCATTCAGGACCCAATGTGGTCGACTTTACATCGTGCACTGAGGTGACCACCGGATCTTGCTCAAGTATGGACACAATCTCCTTTTGCCTTTGTGGATGCATGGAGGTTTCAACCAGTGCAGAAATGTTACGTCTTATGAGGAATAATGCAGCTGATCCTAGTAAGACGCCAATTCCAATGGACCCAGCCGAGTCAATCCATGATAGGTCGAGATATCTGTGCAGAAGATATGGGAGTTAGATAGGTCTACGTTTCGACTTCTCAGAAATCAAGATAGTACAAACTTTGCGAGAGACAGACAGATCCCAGCCAAGGCAACACCGGTGACTGCAGTACAATCTTCTACCAGCACTTGGACTGAAGTTGGATCCGCACCCCGTTGAATGTATTCCTTGACTGAAACTCCTGCGGCTTTAGCCTCTCTTGTAATATGTCTCAGAGCGTAGGTAAATGTAGCTGCTCAAAACAAATCAGTAAGTAACGACAAAATGAATGGAACTCTAGTCTAACGAAACCGACCTCCTTCAAAGACGAGGGAACCTCCTAGCGCATACCAAGCAGCGGTTGGATCACCAATAATGTGTGATCCTAGTAAGCCAGACACTCCATGGTAGAGTGAAACACCTCCTCCCAAGAAGAAGATACCCATACCCGATACTAGGGCCCATGCATATCTCTCCATTGCAAACCCATATGGATGAGCAGGATCCGGGTCTCGCAGTGATCTAAGTGGGATGGGTTTCTGTGGGTCCTGAAGTCTACTGTACCAAATATATTTCCATTACCTCCATATGCCGACCATCAAAATACATTCATTCAAAACATCAGCCAACGAGTGTAGAGCTTCAGAATACATGCTAGCAGAACCAGAGGACATTGCGCCGTATAGCTTGCCGGTGAACATGATGAGATTGGTGGTGATTGCCAAGGCGACTACACGAGCAGACCCTTCGAGTGTCTTTTTTCTCTCAGTCTTGCCAATACCTATCAATTTCCACAATTAATATAGAAGAAAGCAAGGATAGAAAAGGTGTACATCTAACCGTCTTGTGCTGCTCGGTTTTTCTTGCGAGCTTGCGATTTCCACCTACAGAATGCAAAAGCTTCAACAGATTGATGGAAGAGACACGAAATCCAGGCAGCCGTTAAGTATGAGAACTCACTCTCCAACCCAATTTTCGATTTCTATACGATCATTAGGGTGTGAAGAGATGTGTCTGGTAGAGGAGCGTTTGATGGTGAGGAGGTCATTGTAGGATGGTTTTGATGAAGCCTACAAGAATTAAGGACGTGTTAATGGCGTACTTCAACAGTTGATAAAAAACATGAACAAGTACAATCACCATTCTTGGTCTGGTTACGAAGGATATTGACGACGGCGACAACTGGCTTGCTCTGTAAGTTCCAAGTCGACAACGAAGACATTGTGATGATAAGAGCAGCCGACTTGCCCTAAACATGATGTTCGGTCTGTTCCGGATTGTTGTGTCTTCGAAGACACATTCATCAACAGGCTGCGAGTCGAGTGAGCTAGAACTTGTAAATTTATGTTTGTAACATGGATATAAGCGCGTCGAACACGTCTCGTCCCCCGAATTGTCTCATTGTTTGGTTTGTCCATTCAACACAACTACTACTTTCTACGAGCTTGAAGAAGCCAAGACGGAAACGATGCTAATGATCATGACATTGCATCTCATAGCACTATAACTTTGCAACTGGCATTTGCGTACAGGGCCATACAGACTGAGATGAATTGGGAAGCTCATCGTTGAATCATCAGACAAACCAGGATCTTACACTCATGGCAAACGGGCTAGAACGACGAGACTTTATGATTACATATGATCCTGCCATACATGAACCAAATAATCAGTCGAATCGCAGGCCAGAGTATGTATTCAGAGATCCATCCTCATCAAAACCTCAGGACGATCCACGTAAAACTGCAAAGGCCCTGGAAAACTGGGAACGCTCACCTCGCAGAACTCAGAAATTGTTTACTCCCGTCTTCTTAAAGGTATCCGCATTACACTCTACAATCTACATCTCGTTTCTCGAATGGACTAACCAAACAAAACACTTTCCGCAGCATGATCAAGACTCGCTCGGCCCACCTCCGCCTCCTACTATATTTATATCTCGACTCACACAACATGCTACTGAATCCGAGCTCCAACGTGTCTTTTCGCAATTCGCTCCAGTTGCTACACTACGTGTCGAAGCTAGCTTTGGTTTTGCTACATTACGCTTCTCTGGAGATCCTCTCGTCGCCGGCCTAGCTGCTCAAAACGCTGTAGCCTCAGCATACTCACAAGAAGGCTGTGTCGTCGACGGCTTCCTTGTCCACGTCTCGCTGGATGATGCAAGTAAGTTCTGCGTCCCAAAACACAATCACACCGCATTTCCGTATTTCGGGCATAGCTGACCCGGTCCTCTGGTAGGCAAATTATGGGAGGAGGCCATTGAATCCGCTCATAATCCACCACAACCAATCGTTGCACCCGTGCAACAAATGGAAGCTCCTCCGGCTGTAGTATTGCCAACAGCAATAAAGCCCATTACTGCTCCAGCTCTGGATAATAATGAAAACGGCACTCTAGTCGCTAATCTAGATGCTGATGCGGCCGACTTGGAAGAAGGAGAGCTGCCAGAGGAGGGCGAACTTGTAGACGACTATGACGACGGAGAACTAGAAGACGCCCAAAGCCTCGTAGACGACCATCGACCAGCAAATTCTCATAAGGGGTACTCACCGCCGCCTAGCCTAGCAACAGCCAGTGACTGGAGAGGGCGAGATGCCGAAAGGTCTTATCGTCGACGTAGCGAATCATATTCTGGAAGTGACTACAGAGAAGAATCGAACAGAATCGACAGTTATCGACCTTCTCACAATAGAGACACGTATAGTCGTGATTATACCTCATCTAGTGACAGATCCCTCTCTCCCCCCCATAGACGACCATACTCGAGCAGACGAGATGACGATGATCGTACCAGTAGACGGACCTACGAATCTGAATCCAACTCTCGTCGTCGTGGTGATATCGACAAAACACCTCGTCGGCATGATGGTGATTCTTCGTCTCGTCGTTATGATACTGACTCTGGTGGTCGTCATGATGTATACTCAGCAAATCGCCGTGATGAGCGTAGTCACCATGAAGACCCAATTGGTAACAGTAAACGTCGTGATGAAGAGTCATCAAAAGATAAGGATCAACTCCCATGGCGGACCTACTATAATTATCCAACCCAGCCGGAACAGTCCTCAAAAGCATCCATGCCGGCTCCTCTTGCTCTACCATTAGATCCCATAGAAACTATAATCGCTCAGGCCACCAAAGACATGATTTCTGAACTATCTCATGTATTCTTGAAAGATGTCAGGAATCGAGTATTTGGTCCACTAGTAGTTGAAGCCGCCAATAGAAAACCACGTCCATCCACTGTATCATCAGGCAAGTCAATGCTTGTCACACACATCATAGCTCAAAAGGCGACGCCACAACTAACTCTACTTCCCTAGGTGATGCCCCCAGGATTCCAACAACCAAAATCGAGCATTCAGAGGGTGGGTCGTTGGTCAAATTCGACCCTTCAGATCAACCACTATCTGATCCTCCTGCTATACGACGATACCCTGACGCAATCGCCAAGAGACCCAAACCCGTCCGAAAGGAAAAGGATGTTGAGGACATCCCGCAGTCAACTGTCGATAGTGAAGAAGATGAGCGTCAACGCAAGGAGCTCAAACGAAAGAGACGAGCTGAACGAAAGCTTGAAAAGGAACGTAAGCGAGCAAAGAGAGCTGCCGAGTCGAAGCTCGATGAAGGAGATCGTTCGAGTACTCCAGAAGTGCCTAATATTGAGCTACTCAGCAATGGTAACAATCCCAGGAATGCTAAGAGAGTCGACAGTGGTCTGCCTTTTGAAGCCGAACAAGATCACTTTGATATCTCTGACAAGACTCGTAAAAAGCTAAAGAAAACTATAGCTAGTGCACAAGTCGAACGATTTTTAGCAACACAGAATAGTAGGAGTCAACAAGACACCAGTCAAACGGTGGTCGATATTGACTCTGATGCTGATATGAGAGATTCGCGTGGATCTCCTGTATTTGATTCATCACGTATGGCTGGAACAGGATCAGGGTATGATACAGAATTGGACACTTTGGGTATATCTTTAGACGATCTAGGTCCGATGGGTGCTGAAGAGTCTGCATATCTCAAAGAAGCCATCAAGGAGCAGTTGAAACGTGATCGAAAGCAACGAGCTCGTAAAAAGCAAGAATTGCTCAAAGTCAAAGCACGGCCAGTTGCAGAAGTACCTCAATTGTTGGGGATCCAAGTCATGGATGAAGGGCCATCAGCGGAAAATGCCGAGCTAGATGGAATACCCACACATAAAACAGGGTGTGCACGTACCGAACCGGTCTACCGTATTCCTGAAATCGCCAAACGTAAATATAGATTGAGAAGTGGCGTCGGTATCGGTCTGGGCCTTAATGCTGGTCAAGACTCGAGAAGTGTAATATATGGAAGAAATACCGCTTTGGTTGTTGAACGACCACTGCCAACCACAACGAGCCTGACTGGCCCAGGACTCTCCATTGTCAGCATAAGAGCTGGCAATAGGAAAGGAGGACCAGTTGCTCCACTACAGTCGCAGTCAATGGATTCGTTCTCTGATGCCGTCAAGTTTAGGCAATTGCAAGCTCGTTCGAAACATGTAAGATTTGCCAAGTCGGCGATTCACGACTGGGGTCTCTTTGCTGCAACGTCGTTTGTGGAAGGTGATTTCCTGCTCGAGTATATTGGAGAAATTGTTCGTCAGAGGGTGAGTCGTCTGGATTAATTTTACATACCCATTAATTTTACGTGCCCGTATCAATGAGCTCAGTGGTTTGATTAACGGGGGATTTGCATTGCTTTTAATTTTGGTGTCTTCGAGTTTTGGGTCGTTAATCTGTGGTTACTAACATGAACTATTTCCATCAGGTGGCAGATATACGAGAGAAGCGATATGAAAAGGAGGGTATTGGATCTTCTTATTTATTTCGAATTGATGAAGATCAAGTCATTGACGCTACTCGTATGGGCAACATGGCTCGTTTCATAAATCATTGTTGTGAGGTACAAACATGATTTAGGTCTTGCTTGAACTTTTCACATCAACCGCAGAAACTCACTTGACTGACAATTCCACCAACTCAACCGAAATCTAGCCGAATTGTGCAGCCAAAATATTGACTGCTGAGGGACGCAAGAGAATTGTAATTTATGCATCACGGACCATACATGAAGGGGAGGAATTAACGTATGACTACAAGTTCCCTATCGAAGACGAAAAGATACCGTGTCTCTGTGGTGCCAAGGTGAGTTTTGGTAGTTTGCGCACAGGATTCCAAAACACATATGTTAAGAATTTCGTTTTTACCCCCGATTTCGTAGAATTGTAGAGGCTATTTGAATTAGCCATAGTACTAAACTTTGTAGAAAACTCCTTGTGGTGTACATAAACACGAGCTCCAGACTGTTCAAACCAGACCTTGTCGTTCACGTCCTGATATCCTGTAATCCAGGAGAGGTCCAATCCAATACTTTTAATGTGGCCTATGAGCAGTGCAGCTGTATTCGGGAACGGTTTATTCCCCGAACTAACCTTGGTGTATGTTTGAAGGGGTGTTGTCTCACCTGAATTCCTCAGAGAGCCAGACGCTATTTTAATTAGCTAGTACTGGACTGTGTAGAAAAATCCCTTGTAATGTACATAAACACCAGGTTTTAGATTGTTCCAAACCAGACTGTTTTCGTTTGACGTCCTGATGTCTCCAAAACAATGCTTCTAATGTGGACTTCCAGGAGTCCAGCTGTATTCCAGAACCTGAAATGACTTAGGTGTATGTTCACAGGGGCTTATGTATTGCAAAGCAGAAAAAATACAAACCAACTAACTACTTTCAAGATTTTTATGAAGAGGGATTCGGGTCTGAGGTTGTGGATGTACTTGCTGGGGCTGGTTCGACGTCTCGGACACACTGTTAAACAAAATATAGAATGAGCTTCATGATGAGTGAAAGTCGCAGATTTGACTGCAAAAAAAAGCTCTTACTTACCAATGGACAGCTCTTGTTAATACGTAACCATTCGTCAACGCACTTTGATGAAAGATAAGAGTTAGAAGAATCCCAAAGTCGAAACACGAAATTAACGGTTGGCCAAGCTAGAATGGTTGGCCAAGCTAGAAACGATGAAAAACTTACAGTCATATGAAAATGATGGGAACAACGTAGCTGACGAAGCCTGTCTCCATCCTCGTATCTAAATGCAGGTGGCAAAGTTAGTTACTGTACTAGCCACAGCAAGACTCCAACTTACTCTGTCAAACAAATTACGCAAAGTGCATCTGATTGCTGCAAGACCAATTCTGGTTCAATAGCAGATAAATCGACCATGGCAGAACCGTCATCAGCAGATATTGCCCCTGTTTTATTATTGGCCTTCCTCCTTTTAAACCACTTGAGAGGGTTCCACCTAGTACTACTAGTCGCTGTTGTTGCTGATGAGCTGTGTTGATGTTGTGATTGAACGAGTGGTTGAATTATATTTTCCATGGATAATGATGAATCTGCGGTTGATAATGGTTGAGGTGTTGGCGGTATAGCAGATTTATATCTGACGATTGGAATTTTGCTAATAACTTCCTCGGTAGCTCCATTATGAGCATCTGGTGAGGTAGGATCAGCTATTCTCAATACCCTCATTACGGTTATGACCAAAGGCAAGCAGAATATAACGGCCCCGCATAAGAATAATGGTAAGGTGATTATAAAGTAACCAAGTACCACTATTCGATGGATGTGTTGTCAGTCTGCAGAAGCCTTGCAATTGCGAAGCCATACAAGACCGAATTGGTTTCTCATCACAACTAACAAACCATCAAAAACTTACAGAAAGCGAGACTGAGGTAGAATTGGGTCGGCGAAGTCCGATAGCAGCTTACAGAACTGAAGACTAGATTGAAAAATTGATGGATTCAGTTAAGGCAGCCACGAAAGCAGGACTTGCAACAATCATAAACACATCAAATTTGACGCACTAAACCAATTCCCTATCACAAACCAGAGCCTAATGCAAAAGAAAATGGCTTGGTTGAGATTGTGACATTCATTTGCAATCAATTTACTCAACCACCTACATTCCAAACAAGTCTGCGGTGGATTTTATTCGATCGACGACGGTCATTGTGTACAACTCCCTTGGAGTACGTTCCGGCACATTCTGCCTTCTGTGAGCTGGATGTAGATGCTGATATATTGTAAGAGGATAGACGAAGATGACCCTGACCATGTATACCTGCAAAATGCAAGTTAGCAATGTGTGGCTATGCAGTAATGGACTATACACGGACATACGCTGATGAAAAGACGTAGAGGTTGATCGCAGGTATCACCGGCAGATAGAGCCAATACGACGATTGAACTGAGCAGTTGAGTGGCGGACATGAATGTGGTGATGAGGACCATGAGTTTCGACAACCTCGAGATGCGAGAGTTATTAAACCAGTTGCGTCTGACAGTACGAGCGTTTTCATTATCGAGCAATAGAGCAGGAGCGTCCAGAGCGACATCATGAGTCTGGGAGAAGGGAATAGAGTATGGTTTGGAAATGTGTTTGCAGATTTGACAGACAGGACGACAGACATACATGGTCTTGCTGGAGCTGTGCAGGACGGACCAGTCTTGACATTGAGCCCGTACCTAGACTGGCAGTCTCTGGGTCGATGACGGTGGAGCTCATCGTTGCAAATGACAATCAGTAGAGTGCTGGCAGTGCAATTTCAAATTCCCCTAGCAGCAACAGAGTGAGGAGGACTGACTAGTGGCAATATCGTCGATGGCTATAGCTTGGCCGTCGTTGATCTGAGATTCCGGCAATCCGAGAGAGTCAAGGGAGAAACGAAAGACGTGTCTGCCGAAGATACGCGAGGGTTGATGAGAGGAGAGAGGAAGTGTACAGCGACTATAGCTTCGTGTGCATATCAGAAAGGCGACAAACTGCTACACTCGAACGCATCGGGAAAATGTGTGACTACACTGACACGCACGCACGAGACACGCACGAATAGCGGCCACTAACAAATCACGCTAGATCTAATTGTGCTAGAGCCAGAACAAATTTTAATATTGACATCGATATCGTCCCGTCCTCCTTCAGCGTCTCTTCCTTCTGCTCCACAAGCATCCCATTTTTTGTTTCGACTTTTTACATCGCAGCAGCAGTCAACAACCCCCTACACACACGATGCACTTGTCCCAAGTACTATTTATAGTATCGCTGCTACTCGGCATCTTTGTCATCTGGGATGGCCAAAAGGACAAGTTCTACATATTCAACCCCGACGAGCTACATGCTCTAGCAAACCACGTCGTCTCCTCAAGAGGCCCAAATGCTCCTCTAAACGACATGATTGATGACATTGTCGCTAACCTCACCGCTGCTCATCCAAACTCAATCAATCTAGACAGAGTGAGTACTTGAAGACTAGTTCATCGAGTCTTGTTGCTGCTGAAGGTCTACTGCACGTCGAATTTCGTCCGTTCTCATCGCTCGAATTTGGTGGTTGAAGCCGTCGCTCTTTGCGTCCAGTCGTCAACCCCAACACAGCTTGACCACATTATCACACCATATTTGACACGCTGCCAACATTCTCTTTTTCTCCTAGACTTGGGTATTCAACAATGCTGGAGGCGCAATGGGATCCATGTGTATGCCTCATCTCACTGTTAAATACCTGCACGCATGACTGGTGACATGCCGAACTTACCCTCTCCCAACTGATACTAGACATTATGCATGCCTCCATCACCGAATACCTATTGATTTTCGGAACTCCTGTCGGAACGGAGGGCCACACTGGTCGTTACTGGGCTGACGACTACTTCATCATCCTCAAGGGCGAACAATGGGCATTCTGTCCTGGTCAAACTGAGCGTATGGTACGTGCGCATACCACTATTGCTACAGTTATGGCTCTAGCTTGAAAATGGTGAAAATCTCATCTATATTCACTCATCCCCAACTCAGGTCTTCAAGGCTGGTGAAATGCATCACTTGGCTAGAGGCGTCGCAGAACAATATCGTATGCCTGAAGGCTGCTGGGCTCTTGAATATGCTCGTGGCTGGATTCCACTCATGTTGCCTTTCGGCGTCATAGAAACCTTCACTTCCACTCTAGACTTTCCTTCTTTGGCTACAACAATATCAGTCTATGCAAAGAGTGTCGTCACTCAACTCTTGCACGGAAAGATATGATTTAGAGGACTTTGTAGTGGATTTAGATCAAAAAAAAGAGTGATATTATATAGAGTCGACAAGAATTTACGCAATGTAGACAGTGGTTCCATGATAATATAGTTACTATTCTACACTTTGCAATTGTAAAAGTTATACCTTTCGTGTACCTTCCCAAAACTCTGATTACTGTGTCGTGACAATCACTACCTCATGTGCTGGTCAGTACTAGGAACTATTTGTGAAGAAGCCAGGTTTTATTGTTGAAGTCGTCCAAATCAATCAAATCAACAGCGCACCTACACCAGACAACGACTCAGATAGTCACCACCGAGACGGTCACGATGAGGGCAAGAGAAATGGCATAAAATGCCACCAGGAAAAGTCCAAGAGTCCTTGTTGCTCGAAAGCCTTTGGTCGCACTGACCGAAGTTACAACAATAGCCAAGGTGACCAGCATACATATAAATGCTGCCACCAGACTCGGAGATATAGTAGACACGTTGTCTGGTCCTTGGCTTGCAAACAGAGCGGCCAATCCCATTCCCATTATAAGATCTGATCATGTAGAAAGAGGGTTGGTTTAGGAACGTCTAGTTTGCGATGATGGATAACAAGAGCTTGTAACTCACTGAGCATGGGTGAGCCAAGACAAGCTCCAAAGGCAATGCCAGCAAAACCATCTAAACAACAACCAAAAAATTAACATAATTATTGAAAAATGCTAGAGTACAAACGCTGGATACTTGCCTCGGGCCAAGTGAATTGCAACAAGGACATCTGATAAACAGTTGCCGACAGCAAAAATGGTGAGTCCTAAATAGAATGTTATGAGGCCCTGGCGATTCGTCTATATTCAGCAAATACTGTAGCACCTAGTATAGATTCGTCGATGTTGAGCAAGTCTCCAATCACTTGTAGATTGCCAACAAGCTGGTCGGAAATCAAAGACATCTACAGAAACAAAGAAAATTAGATTTGCTATCCGGATTATAACTACACTCACAAAACCAGAATATCAGGAACTCGATGCTTACCCAAACGGTTGCCATTAGAAAGCCAAAACAGGTTACGAAAATATTAAACCTGGTCGGTTCGTAGCTTGACAACCAGTAGAAAAGGGACGCCAGGGATATACCGATGACAGCAGATAGCCCCACTACTCTTGCAACAGATTCCCACAGCCACCTCCCATCTAAAATTGAAAGAACAAAGTCACAAACCATTTTCTTTTTTGAGCATCGCAAAACCTTGAGACATACCATAAAGAGAATACGATATAAGAAATGGAGCGAGAAATAAGGCTAAGATTAAAACGATCGTGTAAATTACGGGAGCCTAAAATATTCATAGACCATCAAGTAAAGCAACTCTACCCAATGTAACTCGTCCAAAATGTAGCGGTTCGTAAAATGGTACATTTTCATCCGTTACAACAGCAATATGTGTCCTTGATTCAATCCATTCCAATCGTGAGAGTACTGGCACTGTTGCTCTCATGACTACCAAAAGCGGCATTCTTACAATAAGCCACAACTTTTGGGCCGATGTTGAAGATTTAAAATGACTGCATTCCATGGGCAAGAGCGACTCAAATACAGTCGCGGTTTTCCTTTGAAGAGGTATTAATGATATTATTGGTATAGGGCTAAGCGGCATCGTGGGTGTTGATGGAGTATCGCTAGTGGTGACATCAATTGGTAGCGACCGTTCTGACAGAGTTTGGCTCCATTTACGATGTAAATCTCGTGACTGTCTCGTCTTTTTAAAAGACGTCGACAAGGGCGGCACTAGCGATAACCTCCTGTCTACCGATTTTCCCAATAATGGAGCAGTGTCAGTATCTATTGATGATGTTCCATCTGCTGACACTCTAATATGCGGGTATGTTTGCTGCTGCACTGGTGCTGTTTCCAAACTCGTTTCAGCCTCTGGCTCTCGATAGGCGTCAGTCCACTCTTCACCATCGTTGGCGTCAATGTCCACTTCTTCCTCGACATGGACAAATCCGTTGGCCTTCCTTCTACGTAGGTATTTATTAACCTGATTCCCTCCGATGACGACGGTTGCGTAGAGCACGTAATAGCCTACTAATAGAATACCAGCTTCTCTGGTTAACTGAGGTGGGCGCAGTACCAGAAACAGGATTAGTATAAGACCTCCAAATAGGAATAAGGTGTCTCGAAAGAAGGGCGCTGTGGGTGGTTTAAAAGGCGACAGGATGAGTACGAGTCCTAGTACTGCTGTTGTTATACAAAGGGAACTCCCCAATAGCTCTCCCAGACCTAAATTTATCCCTCCGCTCTTGACAGCGCTAACTGTGCTGAAAAGGTCATTGGCACCATTGCCAAAAGCGGCTAGAGTCACTCCTGAGACAGTTTCCGATAGATTGAGAGCAGTGCTGACTGTAGACAGATTTTCACAAAAGAAGTCTGGATGCAAGAAGGGAGTTGAGTTTAAATGTAAGAGCTGGTAAGTGTTGAGATATAAAGGCAATCACATACCGCTAGCGGTCATGGCAAACCATACGAACAAATAGGCAATCCACAGCACGATCACGACGACTCCAAAAGGGGACTGGTTGAAGGTGCAGTAGTAAAGTTCCAGAACATCGTGATGGCAATGTTCTTTAATGTAAGAACACGGATCAGGTTGAGACTTGTATGAGCACTATCGTGAGCAATGGTCAAAACAGGCGTTCGAATACAAGTAGACACAATCAAGACCGGTGATGCAAAATGAAATAGCATCAAACACTCCATGTCTTTGTTTTGAGAATGTTGGATGGTGATCTTAATAGAAAACACACCTGGGCAATGTTTAAGCCATTTACAGACGAGCAAGATAGCAACAGTAACCAAAGGAGCGCCCACGACCTCCACGTAAGTGCCATTGCGAGTTATTGAGCTTCTCTTACACTGAAAGACCTTGCTGCGGCTGACAGCTTCCTCGATCTGGAAATTCAAAGTTTAAGCTCTGTTACTTTTTCCCAAGGAGTACAAGAACAGTAATAAATATGAAATCTTACTGGATCGAGTATACTAGATTTCGTCTACAGTCACTCCGTCCATCCAGGGAATAATCTGGATCTCATCGAAACGTCAAAATGGACAATCAAGATGATAGCACCGACGTGAGAAAACCAATGTCACTTCCAGATACTCTCGACCCTGCAGAGCATCCTACGGTTCTCATTATTGCCCTGCATGCATTCGCTGATATATTGCAGATTTGCTTGGAAGCACTGGTGATTGACGACACCAATGTCGACGACGACACCAACAGTAACGCTATAGATTTCGACATGCTTGCTAGGTTCTCTCGAATCACTCATCTCGTAAGATCTGTCGCTGGTGAGTGTTGGACCTTGCCATTTGAACATAATCCTGTTGGGACATCACTCGCTGACACCTTTCAATTGACTAGTACATTACTTGACTCGACCTATATTAGGACCCATCGTACGACGTGTATTCAGACAGACAATACACCAACCACCTACCGATCAAGATATCATTGCCACATATGATCAATACTCGCCATCACGAGTCCTCATGGCTCAAATAGTATCAGAGCTACAAGCACTAGATCTTAAAGACGCTAGAAAACGTGATTTACCCAATGACTATCTCTCAGTCATGGCCTCGTCGACCAGACAGTCATCCATTGGCAATCGACAACCGTCTATCGCATCGTCGGATGGCCCAATTGATACTTCAGGACTGCGAAGAAGGCTAAAAAATACAGCAATACGTGACATGGATGATACTAGCAAGTCGGAAGAAGACAACAGCGATGATGGCGATGACCTGGATTCTGCAACTCAAATCAAAACAGCACTGTCTGCGGCTACTAGCTTTGATATACAGTCTCTGATAAGTGCGAGGCAGGATGATGTCAAAGACGATTTGCAGCCGAGTACTTGGGTAAGCCAATGTATTTGGGCATTTATCTGTCAAGTGTTTTTTTGTTTTAACAAAGTTCACACCTCAGGAGTTCACCATGCCTAGGCCAAAAAGGCAACTGCCAATGACAGAGTCAGAATTCACATCCTTGAGGTCTGGCTCATTAGAAGCTTTCAGGAATAGAATATTTTCAGGTGTAAGAATTCTATCTCTCATCCAACCCCTCAAATCAAAATGTGGATTTCTTGTCTCAATTCCTTGCATGATTTTACTAGGGATGCATACCACAAATTCGTCTTCGAGCCTGGAAGTATCTCTTATACTACCTTCCATGGCACTATTCGCAAGATGAATGCGACTTTGCAGAGCAAGTCAAGACGTACGTTTTATCACTTTTGCTCGTCTCAACTTTCACGATTCCTCAATCTTCAATGCCCCGATAGCGAAAAATATTCAGAGCTGAAGGCTGACTGGATTGCGAGGCTCACACAAATGGACGAAGAGACCTTGTCAGAGTCAGCAGCAACAACAAAAGTCGCATCACTAGATCCAGATGTACAAACCGTTCGAGAATCCTATCATCGTATAGAAAAGGACGTCTTACGAACTGGTAAACCCCAATATGCCTGAATCTCTGAATCCTTTCGAAATTTTGAAAACTTCTGATCAACGCTGTGAATAGATCGATCAATGTCATTTTTTGCAGCAGTTGGGATTCGAAAGCTGGAACATCCAACCACAGATTCATACAAGCCAAATAACCTGGAAAAGTTGCGCGACGTCCTCATGACTTATGCATGCTGTGGTTCTGAAGGACTAGGTTACGTTCAAGGGATGTCTGATTTGTGCAGTCCTCTGCTCAACACCATGGATGGTGACGAAGCTGCTACTTATTGGTGTATGGTCGAATTCATGAAGCAGATGAAGGATAATTTTCGAAAGGATGGTGCTGGGATGAGATCTCAGTTAGAATCCATGGAGAAGCTCATACTGGTTGCCGACAAGCCACTGCATGATCATTTAGGTATTCACTTTCCTTTTGAGACTTTTTTTTGCGTGAAATGCCGCACTGACCATGCTGACATACGTAGACAAGACAGGATCCACGAATATGTTCTTCATATTTAGATTCATTTTGGTCTACTTTAAACGGGAATTTGACTTTGAAGAGACGCTCTTGTTGTGGGAATGCATATGGGCAAATCCGTATTGCCGTGACTTCCATCTCCTTGTTGCTTTTGCAATAATTGAAGCGCACCGAGATGTTATTATGAGATATTTAAGGTCGCCAGATGAAGTTTTAAAGGTATGCCTTGAAATCAACATCATCACAAAGGTCTTTGAGCTGTCACTTAACAATGCAAACCCACATTCACAATCTTGTTCATATAGTACATGAACTCTCTTTCTGGGCGAATTGACGTGCATGCAGCCCTAGAGCAAGCCCACCTAGCTGCTATTTTACTGCAGGAGAGAGCAAGAGCACACGGAGAGCTTCCTGCTGGTGAATTTCGACTAGGCCCAGTGCTAGACGCTCTGATATCATCTGAGTCTTTGATTTGAACATACCCTTGATTTCGAATAACTATACATTTGTATACACGACCATAGCTTAAATTGTAAAAAATATGTTTCAACCAGCAGACACCAACACTCGAAATTCACTCAAAATTCATCGTCAGAAACAACATCGACCGACTCTTCATAATTTGGCGGCGACTCGGCTATTGTAAACAAGGGAGTCTTTCCTTGTGATATCTATTACCAAGTTCCCACCGTGTCAGATGAATTCTAGGAAATCTCAAACACGTCTACTAACCGTTTGACATCGAGCACACAACTCATCAAATTCTTCCTCGTTCTTGCAATAAAATCCAATGACTAGCGAAGGATCCACAGATGCGATGGGAGCTAGTCTAGCACTTGGGCAATGGTAGCTATCCAAATCCTAAGGAAAACGATTACAAAGCTATTTCGAAATTGATACCGAAATGAATGAAAATGTAACCTCTGGAGTGTAAGACGCCATGTCTTTAACTTCCACAGCTACCAAAATGGATTATTTAGTACAGAACATATGGTAGATCAATAAACTAATATTCATACTCGGCCTCAGATGATGGGGATCTAGAAATACCAATTTATCTGATTCCACACCAACAAAAAACAAGGAATGGTTTGGCTTGCCACTAAAGAAAGAGTGCAATACTTGTATGAGTCCAATGGCCTAAAGCTGTAATGTGTAAAATGCACTCACCCAGCAATTCCAACACATTGCGGTATCTCAAAACACGACTGCAGGGCAGGAAAATATACAGGATTGAGCTGATCCAGACCGAGCCTTAATGGAATCAGAATCAAGACAGATACAGGTGATGGCGATTGTGTGGGGTCACCGTCCTTTGCCCATATGGATGTTAAGTCTGTTCGATAAATGACACCATCACTAGCAACGTGTATATTCAAGTCTGTTTCTTTGTGATGCTGTACCAGAACTCTGAACAATGTTTTGATTAGTCCCTTGCGCTATACGTTATTGTCTGTTCGTGACTTTCACATACTTGAGTACTTGAGATATGGTAGAAGGACCGAACCATTCCCCAATTTCCTTATCAAACTGTCGACCCATAAGAGCAACACGATGTATAGAATATGGACTAGTGTTGGAATCAGCAAACCATGATAATATCTAAATAAATATGAATTCTGCTTGTAAACGACTTGCGCGTGCAACAAAACAGACTTGAAACACATAAGCCAGCACGGCTCAATCCAAAGTACCTTGACATATGAATTCCACGAGTTGCGATCTAGCCTTAGCTGTGATCGTCTCCACGAACGGCCCAAGTAGTGATAGATAAAGGCGTTTGCCAACATCATTTGCCCACTACGCAGCATACAGCCCCAGCCGACATCAGAAGTATATGAGCTTGGCTGTATCGGTGGAAAGGAGTGTCTGTATGTGATCCATGGACGAGATTCGAAATCATCGAGAAACTTGATGTCTGATGTTGAGGGATATGGCTGCCCAAGAAACATGACGGAAGCACCAGCATATAGTCTTGATACTCCTGCTGCTCCAGATCTGGGTGGAGATGATGAAACTAGGCCTTTGAATGTCTCTGTTATCTTGCTCATGATCAGTTCGAAAACGTTTGGATTTTTGTCAATATTGTTGCTACCAGTATCATTCTGCTGCTGTTCATTCGGCTCTTCCGGAGACTCTAAATCATTTGTCTCTACATCACTGCGCTCTTTGTTGTCCATTATTGTTGTTGAAACGCCTTTCACACGATGAAAGCTTCAAGCATGTAGACCCAGCGCAGCAAGATTCAAATATCCTGGCAAATATCGAGAGTTTCTTTGCGTAAGCATTACATTCTGGATTTACATTCTACTGGTTAATTTTGTTTTTACATATTTTTGGATACATTTGTTATTGGCTTCCCATTACAAACTTCACCTAAAGATGGAAGCCAGATGTGAGGAACTGGAACGTATTTCACGCCAATTGATAAATCCTACCTGCTCTGGGTACATTTGTCCAAGTCGAGTCCACTCTTGCCCAAAGTAAGCTTGAGCATCAGGATAGTCCTTGACTGGATTTCTATTCAACTTGCCAACGGTTGCCAGACGCGAATAAGATGCCGAGTAAACAGCACCTTCTTCTTGTCCTTCTGCTGGCCCAAATAGTAACTCTTCTTCGTCTTCTGCACTTGTCTTGTCCTGTGCTACTGGGACACTCAACAGCAATGTGATTGCTTTGGTAACAGGTGCCCTAATGGACGAACAAATCTTCAGTAGAAGCAGATGAAAAAAGCCTCCCGTCAATGCTAATGTACCACAACGGTAGATGATCTTGTGCCAAATTAACTTGACTCTTTGAGAGCAAATGAGTCAAGCCAATGATAATCACTTTTCGTTCGTCTGGTGAGCGAGCGTCTTCAGTAGTAGGCAGCAAGACATCATTCAAGACCGTCCAGAACAAGCTAGAATGATATGAAAGACATGTGAATGACGATACAATGAGGAATTGGAACTGAAAACAAAACAAAATTGAAATCATTACTTTGGTTGGACGGTATCAAACACTCGCAATATGACATCGACTTCCAAGCCAGGCTTGTTGTATACGAAAACAGTGCAGACAAAGTTGAAAAATCCCTTCACAAACTTTGCGGTTCGTGCACTCGACAATCGATTCATCAAGAGGATAACCACATTTCTTAAATATGGAGTAATGGCATCTCTAAGAAAATAAAAAAAAATCAGTTCTTATCACTTCAATGTGTCTGACGAAGCCAAAAGACAAACTCACGGTGGTACATAGTCAAATATAGAAGCCAAAAGCTCGAATCCATGGTGGTCATTTACTTTGGAACCGATCAAGACATGGAAGATACCGAGAATAGCTTGCAACTTTTGCTGTTGAACGATTTGTACAGCTCCCTTGATGAGACATGACTGAACCAAGCGAACCAAAGCTGGAATGTTACCTAACAGTAGAAATGATGTAAGACAAAAGATTTCTTGCATGACTACAAATGAAGCACTCCTACCAGTTGAACTCCATGGCCCAGGTGTCAATAAAGGTTGAAGCAAGGTCATATACGTATCGGGTAGTCCATTCTCGGCATGCAAATCCAATAGCTGTGACATTATTTGGAAGACATAAGGCACAAATTCTATGGGCAGGTATACGAAGACGTGAACGATTGGCCAAAAAAAGGCAAATGATATGTCTCATCGATACTCACCGGCTACATCTTGTACCAATATAGTATTGAAGGGTGGGAAGAGTAGATTTTCGAAATCAGCCACCAAGGCAGGACTGCTGGTACACAGATTTCTGGAATTCGAGACGGTGCAAATTAAATAATGACGAGCAAAAAGTATTGATAACAAGGAGAAGATCTCACCGAATGAGTGCAGCAATTGACTCGAACACGTAATGATTGAACTTGGGATTTGAGGGATTGGAGCTCACAGCAGCAATAATATTGACGAATGCTGACAGAATTTCTCGAGCTGCTGGAGCCAAGTCTGTTCCAGCAACCAATACAATCCGCAAGATTGCTATATAACAGGTTGAATACACTGAGTTCCGGACCAATTGGAAATTATCGCGACGACGACCACCTACATTTCATGAGATAGTCATTCTCTGCCAATTTCTCTGGAGTAGATCCACTCTTGGCGATTAACTCAAAGTGTTTGAAAATCAAATTTCTTGCCACGGAACTGACGTCAGCTTGAGTGAATCTAGTGGAAGGTAGTTTCTGTGAGGAGTAAAATCGACAAAACGATGATTCTATAATGAGATTTACATGGCCTTGTTGTTGGCATCACGTTCTCCCAAGATTTTCTCTACACAAATCGAAGCATAGGTGTAGACAACATAGTTGGAGGACGCGAGATGGTGCGAAGCAAGATATGGCAAAACCTGCAGTAATTGCTCCTTGGCCAACTGCAAAAAAAGGATGAGTTTACGACATTTCACCATGTAACACTAGTTCACGCTTGCCTGATTTCGAAATGTGAGCAAATACTTGATTGCATCAACTGTAATTATCGGGTGAGTCGATGAGGTGGTTGAAGTCAATTCAGGCAGAATGTGCGACGTATAGACTGTAACAATGGGAATAAATTCATTGACGGAAGTAGCTCGAGACTAAATTGTGTGCTGAATGAGTTGTTTTTGCAGGTCAAGATATGGATGTTATGGTTGACTGACCTGACGACCAAGGGATTTCGCAGACAGAGTGGTGATGAGGAAGATGGCAGTATCTTTTGACTTCCATTTGTTTGCCTTGTCCTTTTCATAATCCTTGATTTTGAAAACTAGGTGAGTACTGCTGCAGAGGCGTTTCTTTTTACTATTACATACCTGGAGGTACCCAGTTACGTACTGAGAAAATATCTCAGTCACTTCTCTTGTAAAGTGTTCCAGTAAACCTCGAACTAGATCTGAAGCAGCTCTACGGCGAGTATCTGTGTCCAATCCTTCTAAATCACGGCGAATGTATTCCAGTGGTTCGTCTTCGAATGCTTCGACGTCAGAGGCTATTGATTTTGTGACTTGTTAGTTGTTTTGCAAACGCAAAATTGAACGAGAAAAACTGAGTTGATCCGTACGACGTAGTTCCATGTTGGGTAAGATAATCTTTTCGCATATACTCTTGAGTGATTCTGGACTTTGAAACATGGCACGATGTCGAGGAGGTTTGAGCACGGCAGTCAAAAAGTGAATTGATTTGCTCACGAGCTAGAATGAGAAAACGAAAATTAGGCCAACCTATTGGATTGATGGAGAAATGAAGGACTAAACTGTACCATATCGTATTTTGGCTGCGTGCCCGTAGCAGTCAACAATTCCCATACGGTTTGGACAAACTGTGGCAACCGTGTAAACTCTTCTTCATATCGAGTGGCGTATAAATCTATGATTTCGGCTATAGATGCCTTTACTTTTTCCAGTGGGCCAGCCTCCTCGTCATCCTGTTTTGTCAAACCAAACCTGATTAGCTTGCACCCTACGAATGATTTTTTGGTTGACCACAATAATAACAATACCTCAGTTTCCAGCAACGCATTGGTGTAGACGAGGTATTTCTGCAACAAGTTCAAAAACTCGTCCATATGATCTTCAAAGAATTCAGGCAAGTCTTGTGAATTCAGGGAGTAAAATATCTTGGTCAACAATAACAGTGTAGTGAAGAGGGTACTCAGTGTTGTAGTGCTTCCTCTGTTTTGCTCAATAAGGGCATCCGTTGTCTGGGAGTATCTTGTCAGTTGTTGCGATAATGCGCAAAAATTGTCATGATTCGGCCTTGGTAATGGCGTACCTGAAACAACTGGAGGAATGGTGCACAGAACTGTTCCAAGACAAACTTGATTTCCGTAAAGAGTTTGGTAGTAGCGAATTGAGAACGCCATCTCTTGAATATCGAATGAGCAGTTTGTAGAATTCCATTATTGACATTAAAATCGGTTGGACTGAGACGAGTAACCAATTCCTACAAGGGGTTGATAAGTATTCAGCAAAACGAAGATTGACGTAGAGCATAACCTTGAAACGCAAGGTTGACAACGATCAAACACACCTGAACCAGTCCTTGCCAATTTTCGGGAAAATCCGTGTCGGCGATGATGGATATAGCTTCTGACAGTTGTAATTGTAGTTTATGAGGAACGGAGATCATCAAAGAAACAAGGATTTGTTTGACTGCGATTCGATCTTGCTGCGGTATATGATCGACTTCGTCTTCTTCCTGCAACGAGAAGTTATGTGAGATGCTTAAAGACAGCGAAATACGCGAAATAACGAGATGGCCATATGCACATGGCGATGACTGTATGCCATGCAACTTACCAGCTTCCAGTGCTTTTTGACAAAGTTTTTAAAGTAGAGACCAGAGGAAATCCTGACACTTTCCGACAAGTTTGGATCTTGAACAATTCGTAGCAACAAAACAACGAACCCAGGTTGAGCTTCGAGGGAAGCCAAAATTGATTCAGCTTGAATGTTTGAATGTGTGTGAGAGATGTTGAGACTGAGATCAATGGATGAAACGAAGGTGGCAGCAAAATATGATGATAGCTTAGATCAAATAAATGTTTTACTGTGCATACCATATTTCCGACTTGCTGGTTGTAATGTCTGCTGAAAGAGCTCTGCAATATCTTGGATTTCACTCATTTCTGCAGCTGGCGAATGAGCAGCAAGCTATAAGAGAGTGCAATGACGAATATCAGTTAGTATTCATAAAGACAGTCATCATCACCGTCTCAGTTTACTTGCCATATTACTGGTAAGAACAGCACTGTTTCGTTTTTTGAAGAAACGAGCGTTGAGTTTGGTCTCGAGAATAGTAAACAAGATTCGGTCTAGTCGCCAACCTTATATTTATTGCTTTCTAGATCTGATCTTTTCCTGAAATCTACAACAACTATCATGCAACAAGAACAAACTCGCCATCATCAACACGAAACTCTCGACGACGAGTTTGACCAACCCAGGGCTCTTAATGAATACATGCAGAGGCACAGGCAGGATTCAGGATTCTATGCAGGAAGATTGAACTGGAGTGACTCGGACGATGGAGATTCGCCTCTGATCAACAAAGAACGTCCCCGGATTGAAACCTTAAATACCATAGACAGTAGATTGCCCTCTCCTCCTCAATCCCCTCGAAAGCTGCAGCCACCTACAAGAACTCAAATAGCACGTCCTGCTCCGATAATCCCACCACCACCGTCCGAACCTGTCGCCCCTGAACCACCAATAACACCACTAGCTGTATTCAAAGAAATCGCATTTATAGGGCTATTCATTACAATATCATGCATAAGTATCATCACTCTACCACCAACGGCAAACTGGACCCGCTCTCTCTATAAGATCGGTGGGTATTGGCTCTCGGCCCCTGTAGTCTCGGTCTTGTCCTTGATTTGGGGTGGCATGCTTAACGTAATCCGAGCTGATATCTCCAAACTAGTATCCACACGTGAATTCGCTGTGATTTGTATCCTGATGGTCAACACATACTTGTCTATTCGAGTCATTCCCGAGATCTTTACCTTTTTCGATCAAGTTCGAAACTATGATTCCATCGGATTTGGTAGCATGTCTGTATGGACTATAATGGGATCGTGGACTGTAGTCACAGGAATTTTAGGTACACTAGTTTTGGGACTCGTGGCATATGAAATCTCGGGTCTTGTGTACCGAATTATCGCTCCCATATTGTTGTAAGCTGAAATGAAATGTGAAAAGGTATATTCGTCTAGTATATGTAAAAATGGCAAAGTGGTAGTAGTAGTCTCATTGCATCTCTGTAGCATATAAAATATAGTTGCTTTTTTGGTAAAGCAACATTGCATGCTTCAACGTGTTGTTTAAGTAATCACTATCCAGAGCTCTATTTGATTGACGCAACGCGACTGGATCCAGTGTAAACAGCTCCTGGAACAGCTCCCTTTACAGATCTTGCATCTCAACACCCTCAATAGAGCAAGTTGCGTTAGGAAAGCTCCCAAGTTCGGCAGTGGAGACGGCGAATGGCTTGCACGAAATGGCACTGTGTCTATGTAAGCATCCTTGGATCGCATTCCATCGTCTCCTGCGAAGCTGCTACGCTGAACCGTTGTTGGCACACAATTCACTCATTCGAATCTTGATCGTCTTTAGTGCTTTGACGTGCTTGTAGCCCACGTTGACGATGTCCGTGATCCTGTCGCCGAACCCAAATTTGATAACGCCAAATAGTATGCCGTGTCATCATAATTAATCTTGTGTTTGGAGAGAGTTATTAATCAGATCCACCAAACACCCACACACTACTAGTCCACTCTTTGTTTCTTGGCATACTACCTCAAATGGACGTCTACGAGGTTGTATCGGCAACTTTGAGGCCATGTATTTGCATGGAGGACTGAAGGAGTATTCCTTGACTAGGTAATCCGTTGTTGGCCAGTGTCTTCACACCAAACATATGCGATGGCTGACTTTTTGTATTTCCAAAGTGCTCTCAAAGATCGCCGCTTCAATCCTATCGCTGCCAAGGAAATCCCAAACTTGTCCTGTGGTGTCTCATTGTTGACTGAATTCGAAGACGGAGACAACTACCTAGACTGGGAGGCAAGCGATTGAATTGTGTTTTACAACGACGATTTGATCCTCCTCTAAACTTGAACTCTCGATACATAGTTGGGTACTCATGGTATCTGGATCGAATTTCGAGATCATGACAATCACAAACGAACTGGTATCAAGTGAACGTCCAAGTTATCAGTTATGACAGTAATCTGATAAACATTCAATTAAACTATTCAGCTACCTATCTCCCTGAAGTGGCTCCAGAACAAGGTTGGACGAAAATTGAAGCTATTGACTCACTACTACGAAAGGGTGGATATTCTGGTCGCATCACAGACCAAGTACGACAAAAGATTGTTTTGACGCGTTACCAAAGCTCCAAATACACGATCACGTATGTTGCGAGGGAGCTGTCAATTGTCTAGCCCACTTTGCTCACGGACTTGATTTTTAGGTATGAGGAGTATCTGAAGCTCAAGTCGGCTGCTTGATTTAAAATTTACAGTTTACAGTATTCCACTTCCTCATATTTAAACAGTGTAAAATACAAGTATTTTTTGGGCTCGTGTTAAATCAATTTGCAAGATTATCCAAATCGTATTAATTACACCGTAGTAGTTGAGAAGAGGAGTTAGAGCCAAAAGCTGATCATTAATGGGAAATCAGACCAATAGCGCCTTACTCATCGCGTTTCTGGCTGTCGCATTTGCCTCAGTAAGTGCCCAAAGCATTTGTTTCATGAAGATTTCGTTCAGTTGGAGGAAGATCTTCACAAGGAAGCCAGATTTTGGAGATCAGTTTCTTTGTTCGCTGATCATCGTTGCTGCTACTGTAACTGTTTGGCTACACTCTTTTTTCATCAACATCAACATTTCATTCCTGATGAAAACCACCAGTGCGATTGGTCTTCATGCTTGCAAGATCCTGAGAGTCTTTTCTTAAGATCTGTACTAACTGGACTCTTATCGTTGACTAGAACCCAGACTCTGACTCGTTTCGAAAATACATTGAACAAAACTTACAGCAAAATGGCTCAACATCTTGGCTGGAACGCAAATTCGTCTCGAATGCTGCTCTAATGCTATACACTCGCCAAGACTACAAGTTCTTTTCTATTGTGGATGTGCCTGAGAACGAGTCGTTTTTGTAAGTTGAGTTTCCTTGAGTCTGGCTTTCAAGCAATATGTTGGATGATTGCAAGCACGCAGATGCTTATTCACACGCTCAATCACGGATAGCCTTGGGGTCTTTGGCACTTGGTTCAGTTTGCCAAATGCTAGAGCCTTTCGACGCGCACTGCGAGATTCTTTAGCTGATACAAACCCTCCTCGCCGATGATTACGTGTATATTCTGCAACTCATATCTGTACAATGAATAGAACCATTTACAACATTAAACCATGGTCTTACATTTTCTGTATTGCTTGCAAGATTGTGTATTTGTTTTCTGTACAACGGGTCTCTGTCCCATCCTATGATTTAGCTGGGAGCAATCTCACCCAAAAACATGGTTTTATCACTGCTTGCACTCAGTATTATAGGTTGCGTACGGTGCCAGGCCACCTCGTTGACACACCCTTTGTGACCTGGAAGCTTGTATAGGATCTTGCGTGTGGCTACCTCCCACACGGTAACAGTTCTATCGCCACCACCAGCAGCAACATAATCGCCATCTGGAGACCTGTTAAAAAATCAAACTCTTGTGAGCGGTGGAGGCTTCAGATTCTTTTTAAGCTCGGCAACATACCAGCATGGTTTTAATAGGTTCTTTTCGAAACCATGTGGCGAGCCTTCAAACACCTTTAGCATTCTAGATGCTTCTACTGCGAAAGGCTTGACATCCCAAATTCGAACTAGACAAAGTGGTAGATTTGAGTTTCAGCAGGAAAACAAGCCGAAGCTCGAGGCGTAATTACCAGTATTGTCCATGGCGTTGGACAATAAATAGTTGCCGTCAGGTGATAATCTCAATCCGGTTATGGTATCAAAATGACCCTTTAACGTATACACCACGTCCTTTTTCCTCAAATCCCACGCCTAACCAATGTGAAGAATGAGTATTTTCAAGTTTGAAAAACAGAAGAAGAGCTCCAGATGCGACGAATGTGCATGTATTTGCGGAAGAGTAAACCTTACCTTGATGTGATTATCTAGTCCACCAGAATATACCAAGCTACCATCATCACTCCATGCCACAGCAGTTACTTGATATTTATCAGTGAATGATTCCACAGATTCCTTTGTTCTTGAATCCCATATTTTAATGGTAGAGTCGTCTGAACCTGTAGCAATGAGTTCTAGACCACGTTTGCATATTGACATGGAGTTGATGATGTTTGTGTGGCCTTTGAATCTTCTTAGTCGTTCGCCGACAGTTGCGTCCCATATACTGGCGGTTTTGTCCGAGCTTGCTGAGTATATGTGGCTAAAGCAGCAGATGTTGGATGTGTTAGAATGCTAAGGTAAGAATAGAATGGTAGCTGGTTTCCATTGACAGACCTTCCGTCTTTGGACCATGCAACCTCTAGTACAGCACCAGCATGTCCTTTCAATACATTGTAATTCTTGCACTCTCCGTAAGTATCCCATAAAACTAGAGAAAAAACCAGTTGATTCGTTAAGACATCTTGTTGGATTTCACGACTGACTCTCAGCTTACATATATCTCTGTCGAAGGAGCCAGAAGCAATATGTTGACCATCCGGACTGAATTTGCAACTGAATATTTCGCCCTAAAGAGCAGCAAATGCAGTCAGACTCTAGTTGTAGGATGAAAAACACAATGTGTCCTACTTGATGACCAGTCAGTTGCATTATAGGAGCCATCAAGTCGGAAGTTCTGGCGATCTATGCACGGAAATGAGATAAATATAGACGAATGAATGCTTTGTTTATAGACATTTTACGATTGAATCAAGCTTGAATGTAGACAGTAGGAATTGCATACCTTTTGCTCAGATACACCCGGAATAACGGTACCATCCTCATCAGCTCTAGCTCTTTTAATAAGAGCACCACCGTTCTCTTCAGAGCGTCTCTTGTCTGCCATCGCTCTCCGCTACTACTCCTTCCTTGAGAGTTTGGACTTTGATAAAGTTGCTAAAGAACACGTTTGATGTAATATTGCATATAGTTTTACGTGTAGCAACGCGTGACTTTTCATACTAAATACTAAAATATTGCCCTTCTTCACTAGACGCTTTTGTTGGGTTGACCCTCCTTGCTATCGTTTATTAGATTCTTCCTTTCTTACGACTTTCTTGTAAGGACATTCGATAGGCCAAGTATGAGACGGTTGATATCTGTAATATTCCTGGCTCAATTGGCTCTAGCAGGTACGTCATCATTGATACGAGTAGAAGGCATATCGCAGTCTTGATTGATTTTCACATACGCGACTAGGCAAGCTATTTCTCTTACCAACTAGCCCAAGTAATCCGCAGGATATCTCTTGGGCAGAACTCGTGCAAGTGCAATCGCACTTGTTTGGTTATAGCCATGCTCTGCCCATTCCACCCGACCTACAATCATCCCAACATCCACTAAATAATCCTGCAATCTCATTCACCAAATCTTGGACCTCTAATACCCCTCCTGCTGGCTTATTCCTACTCGTATCTGGTTGGCCTGACAGCCCCAACGATGACATACTCGCCACATCACCAACATTCAACTTTGACGACTCGACGTTGAATGTCGTGGCATATACTGACGATATCGCCACCCAAATGTCCAGAATATATAATGGCGATATAGTGGAAATCACTTCGGAACGCGGTGGTGAAGCGTTCGTTCCTGGTGTATCACGATTGTTGATTGCCGACAACAAACCAATGTTGGCTGTACCCAGTGCTAGTGAACCAGGCAAGGTTTTGACTCGTGTTGCTCAACGCGTATATCAAGATAAAGCCACTACCTCTACTCTGGTAAGAATCACTCGAAACTCTATATAAAGAACAGTTCATTATTTTTGTCGGCCATCACTAAACCTTTAAACTCACCAGCTTGATGTTGAATTGGGTGTCGTGGAGGAATTGTTTGCTCAACCACCTGCCACAGAATCCAACTTTTATATCATCTCGATTTCTCAACTCGATGTGAGTTTTTTGCTAGCCAAGTTACATCGGTCTGCGATGCGCAATACCTGACATTCCTCTGCCTCGATAGATACTCCTCAAGAATAAAGGTGCTGATTCAGAAGAGTACACATCTGCTGCTGAGCGTGTCAAGAACCTTGTACAAAAGGTATGGCAAACGTTAGACCTCGTCCCATGTGCCTCGTTACGAAGTCTCATATTTTGATATTTAGATTACTACCGACTATATCGGTAACTCGCCAAATGGATTTGTGCAAATCATGACAGTCTCCACTTCATCGCCACTGCCAAGAAAGCGAGTTGTAGCTTCAATGTTTAATCAAGTTGCCGCCAACACAAGTACCAGTTGCCCAAAAGACGTTACTACTTGCAACGGGTTGAGTTCACATTTGTGCTACGCAATTCCTTTGCTTGTTCTGCTCACACCCATCTCATTATCCAGGCTATTCAATAACTGCTCTGGTCGGGGCACATGTACAGCCCATGCTCTTATACCAAACCATGCTCCATGCTACTTGTGTACATGTGGCACCAGTCAAGTGGCTGATAATGGAACTGCGCTGCCAAACAGGTAAGATGACAGTGTACGAGTTGCCGGATCAGCCTGTGTACTGAGACCTTTAAATTATTCAGGAAACCTGTAGTATGGGCTGGAGATAGCTGTCAGTATCAAGACATTTCGTATGATTGTAAGTTATGCATACTAAGTGGTCGCAAGTTTTGTTGGTTACTCGCTGGAACATGAATTTCAAATCTAACAGTGATCCTCGTCTAAAACCTAGTCGGAATTGTGTTTACTGTTGTTGCAGTGTTGCTTGTTGTTTTGATTGTTGTGGTCAAGACCATGATTGCTGTCGGTGGGAATGACAGTGTCGGGGCTGGTAGGATTTTGTTTACACATTTCACATTTCGTTTGTTCAATTTGCGCTGCCGACAGTCCCTCCTGACTTAATTTTTCTCGTATTTCTATAGGAGAAGGATCGCGATCAAAGACTGATTGACAAACTCCAGTCGAGTCGAAGAAGTCAGTCGAGTCAAAGAAAATTGTATAGCTTTTGTATCGCAGAATTTAATAAAGGAAAACGAGATTTCGATAAAGGAAAAGGAAATACCAATCTGTCCCATGAACATTTTAACGATACTTGTCTTTCTCGAGGTGATTCTTCAGCGTGTTGAATGCGTTCATTCTGATCAGACACGTTGAATTGCACAACAAGTTCAAGTTTAGAGGCTTGAAATATAGCTCCTTAATTTGGTAATTTGCCACTCTTCTTCGCCAAACACTCTCCAGCATCTTTTGCCAAAACATTCATAAGCAAGCACACAAACCATAGGATATTGGTAGATAAAGTAGGAGCTATGGACTCAGCTAGCAGAGAATACGAAAAGGTGCTAAAGCGCCAAAAGACATGCACCGACACAACACTGGAAGGAATCGAATCTCTTCTGGAAGCAGTCAAGACAGCGCGAAACCGCATATCCCAAGGAGACCCAACCATAGTCTCATCATGCACCACAGCAATAGCATCCAAATTCAAATCAATGTCCTCCCAAATCCTCGAATCGCACAAGGAATTGCACTCATCAACATCCAAATACAATAAAATACTAGACAAACGATTCAAGACTGATCTGGATACTATATGGGACTATCCGAATGCTTTTGATGACAAGGAAGCTGTGTTGAATAATACATTGCATGGCCATTTTGTTAGAGAGGGGAGATTTGAGTTGGCTTCTGTGTTTGCTGATGAAGCGGGTGTGATGGTGTCTGAGGCATTGCAGGATCAGTTTGCGGAAATGTTTGATATACGTGAGGAGTTGAGATCTGGGAGATTGAGCAAGGCTGTTGTGTGGGCTCAGAAACATCGAAAGGAGCTAGAGAAACAAGGGTGGGTATGCGTATCGCTCGTCTTGTCGTTTTTTTGTTCTTCAGGCACATTGTTATTTTGTTGCACCTCCTTCCTCTTGATCTCATATTGAACTAATCCTATCTATAGATCATCACTCGAATTCCAGCTACATCGATTACAGTTTATACAGTATCTGACTGGTGGTGGCCTAGAAAACGTAGCAGCTGGTATAACCAAAGATCAAAAACCAGTGCAAAGAGCACTCCTCTACTCTAAGCATGCTTTTGGACCATTTGCTCAACAGTATATGAAGGGTACGTGAATGCATTGTCATTTCTATATCGCCAAACAAGACATATCAAACTGAAACATTAGGTCGTTTCTATAGAAATCCAACGACTATTAGGCTCCGTATTATTCGCCACCCGCCTCCCCAAATCCCCATACGCCGACTTCCTCTCCCCAAACCTATGGGTCGACGCACACACAGCCTTCACCAGATCATTCTGTGCACTACTAGGTCTATCATCCGACTCTCCCTTATACGTATCAGTAACAGTAGGCGCATCAGCACTCCCAACCATTGCCAAAATGACCACCATATTAAAAGAACGATCGGGGCTAGAATGGAGTAGTAGTGGTGAATTACCTGTCGAAGTGCCGTTACTAGATACGCAAAAGTTTCATTCAGTGTTTGCTTGTCCTGTCAGTAAGGAGCAAGCTACGGAAGAGAATTACCCAATGATGATGGCTTGTGGACATGTTGTGAATAAGGATTCGTTGAATAGGTTGTGTAAGGGGAACCAAAGTGCGAGATTCAAGTGTCCGTATTGTCCGAATGAATCTACTGCTTTGCAAGCGCAACGTATATATTTTTGAACGAGGGAGAAAGAGAAAGGACGGAAGAAATGCATAAGACAACCCCTGTAAACCAATATTATAACTACAAGCACATATAAATCATCAGCACACATTCAACCTTGACTGCAAGATATGCGGGAATTGTTTTTTGGTGGTTCTCATGATGTTTTAATGTCCAAAAAGTATTTATATCTGCAAAGATACACTCTTTAACGCTAGTTGCTGAATGACAGTGTCTCTAGTTCTCTTATAGCGTCTCTCACAGCCGTTCCTACAGATCCAGTGGAACGTCGTAGGTCGTTCAGTGTCCTTGCGACTGTCAGGAATCCTCGATGACATGCCCGACACTTTTCAATTCTGATGGGATGGGCAAAAACAAAGAGTAAGGATCGAACTATAACAGACTCGAGCGTCTCATTTTGAATGTAATTCAAACCACGATATTCTTACCGTTCTTCACGAGTTATGTCAATGCCCGAAGATCCATACTGCTTTGATGATTCTAGTGTCTCAACAATCACACTCCCAAAGTGCCGAGCCAGTATGCGAATGGTGCTACATGCAACCACTACATACCTGCGCAGAGAACGGAGGAGCATGAAGTGTGAGCGATGAAAAAACAGCCAGTGCAATGTGTAATGGGACGTACTCTTCGTAAACGGCAAACAATAACTCATCCAGCACGGGCAGGAATAGCGAACAACTGTCCAATGTCAACAGTTTCGGTTTTGTGGCCAAGACTTTTAGAAAGTCCACCCAAACACTAAAGTCTTGAAATGCGAGGCACGCATCCATAGCCCCTCGTAATCCAGACGAGGTCCACGCTGCTCTTACAGCACGTAAGGCAGTCAGGCGTGTTGAGAGAGCCTTTACGACGGATGCATGATGATCTGTCAATGATGGAGACAGTTCGGAAGACAATGATGGGAGGTCGTTTTCTGGAGCCTGCAAAAAATCACAAGGAAAAATCAGCCCTATCTTATTCATGTTGATAATTTTCTACTGTTTTCCACACTGCCTACTTGTCCAAACTTTGATATATCCAGACCTAAAGGTCTCTCACCACTAGCGGGAATCACATTCGGACGAGAATTATCACTATCTGTATTACTCCTACTAGTACTGCTCCCACGTCCTGCTACCGCTCCAGCCTCGTCATTTTTCAAATCATATACAGGTTGATGCACTTGAGGTTGCCAATCTTGGCGTGCTGCTTTACGTGTTTCAGGTAGATGTGGATATGTGAAGGCCGTAGATTTGGATTCGTCCGCCCTTTTACCAACTGGCGCAACAGCAGTTTCTCGTTGCTGTTGCTGTGGTCGAATAGGCCGTTCGTCTCTAGTATCTCGAGATGGATAGTTCCGTCCGTATTCTTGTGCTGGTATTGTTGTCGTACTTCGTTTATCCGTATACTCTGGAGACGGCGCTCGTTGCGACGTTGTATTGTCTATAGACTTTGACTGGCTGTTGGCATCTGTAAAATTATCTGATGACGGTATATCTGTTGATCTGCCCGTTGGAGAATCCCAGTTGTCTCTAAAGTCTATATGATCGATTCGGTTTGATCTAGATTCACGTATGTCTCTTTGATCTTCAACAGCCCGACTACTTCTCGTTGGCATATTAGGTTCTGCGGTTTCATTTCGACTGGGTTTCGAGTCTGCAACATCAACAGCTCGATTGCTTCTGGACTGCCTTATACTAGGGTCTGTAGCATCAGCTCGACCTGATCGAATATTTGATTCTTTCGATGTTGTAGGCTTGTTGGATGCCTTGTCAAAATACGACGCTAGGCTATCTGGTGGTTTACGACCTTCCATTACTCTGGACTGTAAAGGAGAGCTAGACCGTTCAGGTGAAGAATTGCGATCATCCATTAGAGCAGCAGTCGTGTGTGACTTTGAGTCAGTCTCTCTAGTTTCAATGTCCTCAGATTCTTCTATGAATGGACTCATTTTCTAGAAATGGAGAGCGAGATATATAGAGCAAGTGAGCTTATGGTTCAGTATCTCCGTAGCAAATCCGTTTTTTGCCTTACCGTTAGATTGGCACCCCATAAATGCACAAAGTTCTGATCTATAGAAGCCGCCACCAGTTTATTTTCGTCTGGGAGCACCTTCATATCCACCACACGTCCCCACTGCGCAGGAACATTCGAATGACATTCTGGAGGTTCCCAGGACCATATTTGCAATGAATGTGAAGTTGCTAGAGCGAGAGCGGCTCCATCAGGATGAAATTCTATGCATCGTCCCTCGTCTTGTTGATCGTCGACACGATTACTACTTGATATCGACTGACATGATGATATGCATTCGAAAGACTGTAGATCAAAGCAGTTCGACATTCCATTGGAGGATATGGTGGCTAATACTAGTTCGGCAGGGGAGAATGCCATTGACATTATACCAGATTTTGTTTCGTTGAATGAATGTATGAGTTTTCCGGCAGTCATGTCCCATATCTAGATTTTGTATATGGTGGTGAGCTTCTTGAGGCACACGTAAAGAGAGCGAGGCGAAATTCGGTATTCTGTATGTACCTTGACTGTACCATCAGCAGATCCAGACGCAATCCACCTCCCATCTGGAGTTATTTTCAAGACAGAAACTGCTGCAGCATGTCCTTGATATGTCTGTATACAGCCTTTGCGACGTATATCCCAGACCTTGACAGTTAGATCGGCCGAACCAGAAGCAAAGAACTCTCCAAATGGATGAAACTCGACAGAAGTACATGCTTTCTTGTGACCAGGTAGCGTTCGAATGACTAGGAAAGGGTGATTTTGTCATTGTATGTCGAGAGAAGGAAGGAGCAGGTCAATAAGATGTCCACCTTTTGCATGCTGTAAATCCCATAGCTTTATTGTTCCAGAAGAAGCACCAGCGACCACGATCTCTTCAGGCCAGTCTAGTGTGACTGCAGTAATGTCGGTTGAATGACCAGAGAGACTCTACGGTGAGGGGTGGATGATGATTGTGATTAATTTGTCGATTTGATGGCAGATGTTGGTTGAATGCTCACGAGTAAAGGAGTAGTCTTTCCAATAGCCCATAGATTAATCTTTTTGTCTTCGCCGCCAGTGACCATGACACGCCCAGACTTTGGACCTATTCTTAAACATAGTGTACTTCCTATATGTGCAGCAATGTCATCTATGGCAGCAATTTGGGTTAGATCTTAGCAGATACAACTAATGAAGATGCAAAATAGATAGTTACTGATTTTGGCGACGGCGGCCATTGTTCTGAGTGGTCTCAGATTGAGACCTTCGGGAATGAAGCAACTACGATTAATTGCAATTCTGTAGGGGAATGAAGAGCAGAAAAATAGATGCAAGCTTCTGGGAACTAGATCTAAGGAATGACTACATGCGAAATCTAATTGTACGAAATGCAGCGTAGTTGGTATTGGCACGTGTACTATTAAACATTGAAGCCTCAAGTCATCTCTTCCGGAGGATCAGACATGTCACGTCCAATAGGCTCATTTCAGACAAGGCACGGCGGTCAGTACGTGATGAATGAGAAAATTGAATAAATATGTAATTGGGTCGCAGCATTCCGTAGGTCATTCGCCACTCTGTCCTCAGAGAACAACCCATTCATCAATCAGTGGTTCCCGAACTGATACCTAGGCACTTGTCAACGCACCGTTGAAGCATCGCGACATCCCCCATTAAATCCACACAGGCACCATTCGAGGCTCCCCTCTCCTGTTGATAACCTCACCCACACTCATCAAGATAAAATATAGTCAAAAATGTCGAGATTTGTTCGTGCCTCTAAATACCGTCACGTATTCGGAACTGCCAGCAAGAGAGACCAGTGCTATGATAACATTAAGGTATTCCCTCCTCCCCATTCTTGCTCCTCCACTCTTGATGTCCCCGACATCAACATTCTCATAGCCATGGCCGCAACTTGTTTTGAATTCATTCACTTCTCGTGTATCTTCCTACTCACTACATTCTCTTACATGATTTATTATTTATTGCATAGGTATCTCGGAGTGCCTGGGACACCAACCTCGTCAAGGCAAATCAATACTTTATCTCTATAAACTTGGAAGCTTCCGGTGGTGAGTGAAACATGCCATACAATGCTATCAACGCGACACGCCCACAATACCAACAATAAATCATCTTATTTTCTACTGTATTTACTTTATCCATTTTCAATGCTCCTTCTCACACGAATTTCCCCCATACAATCAACTACCTCGTTACTCCCAACCATGATATTCAGGCGGTGCTTTTGCCGTCATCCCTCACTCCAGCGTCGGAAAGATTGGTGACTCTATGGCTGTCTACAATGGTCATTCTGCTGCCGTGCTGGACACGGACTTCAATCCATTCAACGACCACGTTATTGCCTCGGCTTCCGAGGATTGCAAGGTAAATTAAATACTAGATAACTCGATAGATGAAGTCAATGATGACGACATTGGAGATTCGTGCTCATCGGCCATAGAGACGAAAAACCGTCTCAACGATTCAGAACGTTCACGAGCCAACACCATGATTCTTGACGTCTAGGTTATGGTTTGGACGATTCCTAAAGGAGGTCCAACTGCCAACATTAACACGCCAGTCCTCACTCTCAGCACACATGGTCGTAAGGTACGTAGCTTAATATGTGTTCTTTGCAAACAATTGTGGAATATTGCCAACTCATGCACGATATATAGGTCGGACACGTCCTCTTTCACCCGACAGCAGACAATGTCCTCGCATCCGCATCTGCAGACTTCACCATCAAATTATGGGATATCTCCAAAGGAACTGAAGCCGTAGAATTAACTGGTCATGGCGATATCGTAAACGCCTTGTCTTGGAACTGGAATGGAAACTTGTTGGCCACCACATGCAAAGACAAGAAGATTCGTGTCTTTGACGTCCGTGCAAACAAGGTTGTATCTGAAGCAAAAGGTCATGAAGGTGTTAAAGGTTCACGTATCACCTGGCTCGGATCTACAGACAAGTTGGTTACTACTGGATTTTCAAAGACTAGCGATCGTCAAGTCTTTATTTGGGATAACAAGAGTATGGCTGAACCTGTAAAACAAGAATCTATTGACACTGCCTCTGGGTGAGTCAAATGGACCATCAGCGGTCTCTTTTTCGCCATTTTTCTAATTTAGTCATTCTTTCATAGTATGTTGATGCCATACTTTGACGAGGGTACCAACATGTTGTATCTTGCCGGCAAGGTTAGTCAATTACCTCGTGACGGGGGATGTTATGTCGAATTGCGATTTTGGTGGTGATATGGTTTATGGATATTTATTTACTGGTTCTTACATATTCCCAACTGGAATAGGGTGATGGTAACATTCGTTACTACGAATTCATTGATGACGAGAACAGCTTGTACTTCTTGTCAGAATACAAGTCATCTGAACCAGCTCGTGGTCTTGGATTTGTACCAAAACGAGCTTGTGACATTTCCGCAGTGGAAGTCGCTCGTGCATACAAAGTCCACCCAAGCTTAATTGAACCTATCTCATTCCGTGTCCCGCGAAAGGTATGATTATATACAATACGGAATCATCAAATGTCGCGAGAAAGAAATGGCGGTCACCGGGACAAGAAAAGGACACCAGGATTGCCTAATTACCTCTAATTCTATATCTTCACTATAGTCTGATGCATTCCAAGCTGATCTCTTCCCTGATTGTCCTGGTCCTGACCCGGCATTGACTTCTGACGAATTCTTTGCAGGAAAGACGAAACCACCAACCATGATAAACCTCGAGAAAGGATTCGTTGCACCCATAGCCAAGGAATTCACTACATCGGCCATGTCTCTGAATGAATTATCGTCTCCAAAAGGACCCTCCACTGACAAGGAAGTAAGTAATGCGGAACCTTTTCAGCACTTTTTGGTTGTTTGAGCCCATTCTGAAACCATTTTCTTTTCTTTAGTATCAAGATGCATACCACTCTCTTCGAAAGGAAAACGATGATTTAAAGAACGTACTCGCACAAAGAGATGCCAAGATTCGACAACTAGAAGCCCAACTTGGCTCATTAAGCACAAAATAGAGGGAGAGTGTTCTCGCCGTCTTTTGGCGTGTTGAAAAGAGATTTTTGTGAAAGATTGGTGTCCCATAAGTATTTTTAATGGGAGGGTATGTTTCGATTCATATATAAAACACAGAAGAAGGATCAACCAAATATTACTTCCGAACCCCCAAATTCTCAGAAAAGTCTGCGCTGATATGTTGTCACTTCTTTGATGTTTCTGTTCTTTTCTAAGCAAGAGCGAACCCCTCAGTCAACTTCAACTTGTGCATTGAATCTCGATTTACTTTTTGGCTTTAATGGTAGTGCTCTGTTCTACTAGTGGTCTAAATACATAACCGTATACTATAATACATCACCATACGTGCGAGAATCAATAGATCCAAGCATCTGTCTCCATATCCCACGCAACGGGCAGCGAGCTTACAGTCAGCAGCTCAAAGTGCTTGTATCTATCATCACTAGCATTGTCATGCTTGCGTTCAAACCACGCTGAACAAGCAAACATCTTCCCTTGCAACAGATACGGCATCCACAGCTCGTCGTCCTTCCACTACAAAGACGAAGCTAGTAAGCTTGAGCCATTGAACCGACAGGTTGGGAGGTAGATATACCATTGGAGAAGGAAGTTGATTCGTAGGATACCATACTGGTTTCATTTCGTCGCTCCTATACGAGATACATTCAGAGATCCAGTTCGAGGATGAGAGGGAAAAAAGTTTACTCTGTTGGCGTTCCAGTGAATCTCGACGTCTTGAAGACGTGAATTTCAAGCCCCTCAGACGAATCATCGAATGTAAACCACAGGATTCCGACTTTTTGCAGTTCTAGACCGTGGATACCAGCTTCTTCCTACATTGAAATTGTAGCATTAGCGTATGTATACCTACGGTGACTGGATCTGGTACGCGAAGCATTCCGATCAAATGAAAAGTCACACCTGTAATTCACGAATTGTGGCCTCTTCAATAGTTTCATTAGGCTCAACTTTGCCTCCAAATCCATTCCAGAGACCTTTTCCAAAGCCTCTCTTCTTTAGACCAAGTAAGATTTCCTACTTGAAAGTGTGAGCGATCGTCATAATCACACCACTGGAAGTCGACTTGCTTTTTTACATGATCCCGAAATACCAGCGCTAGAGTGAGAACTTTCTTAGATGTTATCTGAACATTGTTGCGCTCCGGTTTACTCGACTTGCTTGTCGTAGTCGTGTTTTGCGGAATGCTCAACATTTTTGGTATTTGGAGTACTGGAAAAGAGCTCAGAAGGCTGCTACAAAAAACTCCAATAACCAATCACCACGATCACACAAAGAGAATACGTTTCTACCAACGTGTATTGGCGTGTTCCAGTTTATTTCATTTACAGATTTTTTGTTTAGAGCCGTTTCTAGCTCCCTGATTCTTACTACAGATACTTGTTTCAGGCAAAAGATTTCACCACCACATTCACTCTCTATAAAAGTCCTTTTTCTCCTTGTGTGTATGTATGGGCCAAGAAAGGATAGTTTTGATTTATTCTCGTTGTTCCCAACTCCTTTGGGATCGAGCTTTGGAAAACCATTCTTCCACCTGTAGTGGCGTGAGAGATATCTCTTCGGCTAGGCGTTCTCGTTCAAACTTGTCGGGATATCGGTTATCGTACCTATAGAAATGACGTTGAGCAAGATAAATGTATGTAAAGAACCCAGTTTGTTGCTTGGCGAAACTTTGAGAGTTTCTCACCAGTAATCTTCGAGTATCGATATCTGTTCACCTAATAGTGACGAAAGTGTAAGGAAATAATGTCAAACTTTGGTTGATTTATGTACAAGGAGAGCTTTGAGTGCGAATTCATTTCCTCCGCCTTCTCCTTTTTATTCAACTGCAAATACAACTCTGAACTTTGATGTGGGATTTCTCATGTGGGGTTAAGGAGAAATGGGATTTTGATGGGGCGAAACAGTCACATGCCGGGTGGATGCATCGCATTGCATGAATGTTCAAATTCCAACTGAGATGGAGATGACTTCCGACTTGCAAACACTTGCCTTGTAGCTGGACGACTGGTTGGGTTCCGATGTTCTCCTTCTTTGACTAGGGACAAACAACACGTCAGACTTGCAACGTTTTGGCACGGCGAAACGGACTGTAAGGATAGGTCACCTGTTGATGCACCCATCTATAAGAGAAATAAAAACATTGTCCGGTTAAAATTCGAGAAGAGTGGTTTGAGGACAAAAAACCAGTTTGGCCAGAATGTGCCATGACGAAGCAATAAACACGTACTTTGCAACCGCAAATTGAGGAGCATTTATATCAACCGACCACAATCTGATTTGTCTAATTGTTGGGGAGTGGATTTAGAGTTTGTTCGAAATCAAGGATGAAACACAAGATGTGTTTACTTTGGCGAAGGATATATGGAGTCTCTCGTCAAGGCATGGAAGACCCGTAGTAGATAATCCTCTTGCACGGGGGTGAGAACAGCATTATTGCCCATTGGTTCCTTGGTTAGCGAGTCCTTGCCAACAAACGTCGAGTCGGAACTGCCACCACTGCCTGAGGAAGAGCTTGAGAATGATGACTTGTGATGCTGTTGCACCGGACTTGAAGAGCTCATCAGAGCCGGCATTTGCTTGCAGCGCCCAAAGAATGGAGCGAGTGGGGTCAAACTTAAACCCAATGCATTGTGGTTTTGCTGTTTCAGAAAAAGACAACCAAGACAAGCCGAGTTCTTACGAGGCTCGCAGAAAACCCCAACCAAGTGAGATGCACAGGACGGGTACGAGAATAATATCGATACTGAAGACGTGTCAACGTGACGCGGTTAGCTGTGAGCATGCAGATCTGTGCATGCCGTCAAGACGAAATCCATTGGGAGCAAGTATATGTAATATGTAATAGGAATGCTTTAATTGACAATGAGAGTGATGGCCATTAATATACAGCATAAGGAGACATACGGACTCATACGTTCCCCTGGTAAGAAATGTTGTCAGATGTTGATCAATCAGTCCAAAACAACCAAGACAGCATCATGGTACTAAGCAAGAGCATCATATGCTAGTTTCAAGCTTTACCTACCTATTCGTGCAGCCTTCCAGAACAATCCAAAGACACTATAATAGGAAGCAAAGGTCAGCTCCAACCAGACGACAGTACGACTTGATGATGATTGACTTGCCCTGATTTGTTTCTATCAACAAGAGAAGGGAACTGTGCTCTGACATATGTACATGTGCAAATCATTAGTAGAATCACCAGCAACAGCGATTGGAAGTGAAAGAGTGCTGACTAGTGATAGGAGAAATGTTTGGATTTAGTAAAAGGAGGTTGCAATCCGATGGGATGGTCATGAATCAATTTAGGAATAGTATTTATACCATGATCTTTCAAGAGAGACCACCACTCTCTCTGCTTATACTCCTTTTCGATACAAGCTTCAAAAGCAGAGTTTGTTGAGAATGAGGACAGCACGACAGCACGATGACTATTCCTACTGTCGCGTAGTAAGAGGCAATTCATTATATTAAGCACATTTAACAGCTGATTACCCCGAAACTTTATTGTTTTAGACGTGTTCACGAGGACAAGAACCTTCATCATTCAGCAAAACCAAAACTCACGAATCAAACACAATCAGGCCAACTTCCGAGAGGCAATTCAGAGCTGGATCTACTACATGACCTCGTAAAAATCAAAATGGCTCCTTCTATTCACTCGAATGGCATAAATCAATGGAGCTGGCATCTTCGCACAACTGCTTTGATCTTAGTTTTGGGTTTCCTCTCTCTCGCTACCGCTGATTCCGTTATAATCGATACTCCTACTACCATTCATAAGCCTGGAATGTGTGCGATGTATGGTCAATGTGGGGCCGAGTCAACGTTCGGCATTCCATTGGCATGTCCCGCAAATGTTAAAGCTGTGCTGGTACGTTACCATGACATCAACATCATTGTTGACTTTTGTGGCATAATCAGTTTGAATGACCAAATTGACCCCATTCTTACCATTCCATGATCATTGTTGAATTTTGTTGCATAGTCAGTTTAAATGACCAAACCTACAGCATCTTACAACTCCCCGTTCAACCTAGAATATGGATGACCACTTCCAGAGTTTGGTCGCAAAGACATGTGGAGAATCATATCGCAATCAACCATTGTGTTGTGATGCAAACCAAGTCCAAACTCAGCTCGACAGTATGAAGATTGCGTATAATCTCGTGTCGGCTTGCCCGGCTTGCTGGGAAAACTTTAGACGCTTCTTTTGTGACTTTACATGCTCACAAAACCAGTCCACCTTTGTCAATGTTACCGGAACAAAGGTCTCTCCTAGGACGAATAAAACCATAGTCGCGGAGGTATCATTGTATGTATCGCCTGACTTTGGGACGGGATTCTATGATTCGTGTAAAGACGTCAAGTTTCCTGCCGACAATAGCTTTGTCATGAGACTGCTCGGTAAGCTTGTTGTCTGATCCCACAATATTTTGGAATGGCGCCGCCTGAGATGGAGTTTTAACTCGTACGCACAAAAGGTGGAGGAGCCACAAATTATTTAGGATTCTTGCAATTCATGGGAAAGAAACAGACTGGAGGCTCTCCCTTCCAAATCAACTTCCCCAACGTAACTACATCGCTACCGTCATCCATGTCGACATTAAACCGAGTCCCAGTACCGTGTACAGACCCAGAGTACAAGTGCTCATGTGTAGATTGTGAAAAGTCATGTCTCGTATTACCAGAACTACCTCATCCAGCACACTGTAAAGTAGGGCCCTTTGATTGCATACCATTCGGATTCATGATGGCATACGGTGCTGTTTTGATATCTGTAATAGTCGGCTATTATATATTAAATCAACGATCAAAGCAGAAAGCCATGCCCAAGAACACACCATTATTAGCCTCTAACGAAGATGAGGATGCCAATACCACCATATCCGTATCGCAGTCTACTCTTGTCCCGGATACCCTGACTGCTCAACTCGGGCCCGAATTCACAATGAAAGAATCCTTTATAAATACTAGCCTGCAAAATTGGTTCTTTTATCAAGGTAGATGGTGTGCTTCAAACCCGTGGTGGACTGTCTCCGTCTGTATAGTGCTAGTCTTGACAGCTTCGACAGGTTGGAGGTATTTCGATGTTGAGACCAATCCTGTCAGACTGTGGGTTGGACCGACCTCAGAGACTGCTAGTCAAAAGACTTACTTTGACGAGAACTTTGGTCCGTTCTATCGTACCCAACAACTCATATTCACCAGCACCGATGGTGAATCTATAATAACAAAATCAAACATTCGTAAATTATTCGTCATCCAGGACACCATTGCCCAAATTAAAACCGATAATGCATCTTTAGAAGATTTGTGCTTTAGGCCTTTAGATTCATGTATGATACAGTCAGTCACAGGGTACTGGCAAGATGATCTCCGCCTCTTCGATGGTAGTAATTTTGAGAGTGAATTCAAGAGATGCACCGAGACTCCAACATCATGTTTACCCAAATTTGGTCAGCCACTCAAACCAGATTTGATATTTGGAGGCTTTGAAGATGAAAAGTCTTCATCGTCACGGGCATTAATTGTCACATATGTAATGAAGAATTCGCTGGATGAGCGAACTATACGAATCGCTGAAGGTTGGGAGACGTCATTGATTGACTATCTAAAGACTCTGCAAAGGAGTGATTTGGGAACCATGGAATTGAGCTTCTCGACTGAGGTAATAGGGCAGAGTATTTTTTGGTTTTGTTTCATCAACTCATACTCCTTATACTTTCGTCTAGATATCAATTGAAAAGGAATTAAATCGCGAAACCTCAGCCAATGCTGTTACAATCGCTATAAGTTATTGCGCCATGTTTATATACGCCTCTCTGACACTAGGACGATGGTCTAATTTGTCACGAGCATGGATTGACTCCAAATTCACACTCGGAATGCTTGGTATTATGATAGTATTGGCGTCTGTATCAGCAGCTGTTGGTGTCTTCTCATACTTAGGTTTCAAAATCACTCTCATCATCGCCGAAGTTGTACCCTTTCTGGTAAAATGAGCAATCAATTTGTATAGCCCAAACCTTTATCTCATCGTCTGCTGTTGATTTAGGTCCTAGCCGTTGGGGTCGACAATATATTCATACTGATCCATGCATTTGAACGAACTGATCCTGATTTGGCCGTGGAGGATCGGGCTGGCATTGCGTTGGGACAAGTTGGGCCTAGTGTAATGCTGTCGTCTTTATCAGAGACTATTGCTTTTGGGTTAGGTGCTGCTGTTACCATGCCGGCTGTCCGTGTCTTTAGTATGTACGCTGCATTGGCTGTCTTTGTTGACTTCTTGCTTCAAGTGACTGCATTTGTGGCGCTGATGGCTCTGGATGCAAAGCGGATGGAGGTATGTATTCTACTTCCTCTGTTTCTTGTTGTTTGATGCAGTTGAAACACACTTGGACTGTTCGAAAAAACTCACAAGATTTTTTGTCTTTCAGAGTAATCGTGTTGATTGCTTCCCTTGTATAAGGATGCCCACACCACAGACACCACAACCAACTGAATCATTCTTGCAAATGCTCATGGCAAAATACTATTCTCCCTTCCTTCTACACCCTGTAACAAAGCTCCTAGTAGTCTTGGCATTCTTTGGATCGTTTTTAATATTTTTATCAGCAGCTCTCCGCGTAGAATTGGGTCTAGACCAACGTATCGCTCTACCTCGTGATTCATATCTTATAAATTATTTCGACAATTTAGAATCCTACTTTAGAGTAGGACCCCCTGTATATTTTGTAGCTCGAGGTGTCGATGTGACGACTAGAGAAGGACAGCAATCAGTTTGTGGGCGCTTCTCGGGATGCGCTGAATATTCCCTGTCGAATATCCTCGAGCAAGAACGAAAACGACCTGAAGTATCGTATCTTGCCGAACCCACAGCAGTATGGCTTGACGACTTCCTCTTATGGCTAAATCCAGTATCGGAATTATGTTGTCGTCTTAAACCATCATCAAAGACACCCAATAATCCCTTCCAAGTATGTGCACCAGAAGACGATGAAGATGAATGTAAAGTTTGTTGGGCGGACAAGAAATGGAGTACATCGATGGAAGGATTTCCGGAAGGTGCTGAATTTATGGAGTATTTGAATTATTTCTTGGTCGCAGAGCCATCAGAGTATTGTCCACTGTCTGGTGCGGCAGCTTATCAGACGGCACTCGTGCTTGATCCAGTACATAATAAAGTGAATGGATCTCATTTCCGTACATATCACACAGTATTAAAGACTCAGGTCAGTACAAGGACAATGCTCAACAGGGGGTTTTTTTGCTGACATCGTCCTCTTTTTTGTTGTTGTAGGGTGATTTCATCAACGCTCTCAAGTCTGCCAAGCGTATAGCAGCCGATATATCAAAACGAACTGGATTGGATGTCTTCCCATACTCCATCTTTTACGTCTTTTTTGAACAGTATGACGATATAGTCAGGCTGGCAATCACAGTAGTAGCGACAGCAGTAGTAGCAGTCATGATTGTCACAGCCATCTTGCTATCATTATGGAGTGCACTCTTTGTTGGAGTATTGTGTGCAGTGATTGTAGTTGATCTAGTTGGTATAATGGGCATCTGGGGTATATCATTGAATGCCTTGTCGACAGTTAACCTTGTTATTGCTGTGGGTATATCAGTAGAGTTTTTGAGCCATGTTATGAGAGCTTTCATGGTTTCAAAGGGAACCAGGAATGAGCGTGCTTTCAAAGCTTTGGTGGAGATGGGTAGCTCGGTACGTTAAAACTCTGTGTTTTCAATATCGTGTCTTTGAGTGTGAGAGATGGATTGGAGGAGTATTGAGCATCACGTGCGCACTCAGTGTGCTTACCTCAAACTCTTCTCATTATCTGCTGTTGACGCAGGTGTTTTCCGGAATAACATTGACGAAATTTGTGGGCGTCTCGGTCCTAGCATTCGCACCCTCAAAGATCTTTGTAGTGTACTACTTCAGAATGTATCTCGCCATTGTGTTGCTTGGAGCAGCTCATGGATTAGCTGTCCTGCCTGTATTGCTATCCTGGTTTGGAGAATCGACTGTCATGGAGCAGAGTTCTGTCTTCCTAGACGGTGTCAAGGGTAAAGGACCAGCTAGACACGGAACTCATCGTAGTAGAACAAGTACAACTAGAGATATGGATGATGAGGAGAGGGTATTGTTAATGGATAGTGGCGATGATAGAATTGACAGTCCTGAACGCCAGTCATATGGCGCTGTGTCTGATCTGTAGTGTAAATATCAAGCTTTTATTATCTTAAAAATATATGGCCTTCTCTCTGTAATTTTTTTGATGCTCGACTGGGTGACAGATCAAACTGACGGTCCTCAACGAGACAACTGTACAGAGCGCAAGTTGATTCTTTGACGATGGCGGAAGATCGGAAAAGGAGCTTTGAATAAGTGTCTTTAAATGCAAGCTCCGCCGATATCCTCCATAACTAATCGCAGCATCTTCTTTCGAAATGTTTACAGTGTCTCATGTCAAGGTCTTGTTGGATGTTGACTTTAAGAAGAAGCTCTTACAAGTAAGTATAAGCAAAATATGCTAGCAAGCTGCCATTCCTCTTTGGCTGCCCGTTTAGTTATACACTTTTGAAGCTTAACGTGAAATTAACACATTTCGTGTGTTTTTTCGAATTTAGGGATTTGTCGAGTTGACGATTGTACCAAAAGAGGAATTGCAAAAGATACGACTGAATGCTAGACAACTATGTATGCACGTGTCGTTTTTTAATGCTTTTACATGTCGTTTACCTTGCTAATCGAACTCGGTTTCCAATTCGCTCTGCTTTTTTAGACATACATCGCATTTCCGTGAATGAAGCAGACAAGTTCACTACATACCAGTACTCGGATCCAATCACTCCAGTACTGGCTCCCGAAATGGGTAACTCTGTCTATCATCATCCAGAGTACAGGGAAAAATATCCAGAGGGCATGGAGAATGGTGATTTGGGAGAATTGACTGTTGATGTTCCTTATGGGTCTGTTGTTCGTGCTGCTGTAAGATCAAATGACTATTATGAAGTGATTGTTAATGTCTGTTTTTTGGTTGCTCATGATCTAATCAACGTGTTTGACTTTAGGATGTGCCGGGTCATAAGCCAGACGCAAATACTCCAGGTTTGTAAATCATTTCGTGATACAAACAAGCCTAGATCATTTCGTGATCTCAACTTATGCTCATCTATCACTTCTCTGCGTTAGTCACCTATCGACCATTCAAAATGCGTATTTATTATAGTCTCTTGAACCCAAAAGCTGGTATACAGTGTGTCATGCCAGTGCTTGATATTCCAGCCACATCACAGGTATGAGGGATTTTGAATTTTTTTCTCTCTTCGGTACACTTAATCATCACTCATTCGAAACAGCGGTGGCCTCACATGTTCACATGCAACGAATGGGAAGCAGCGAGACTATGGATGCCATGTGCCGAAAAGGCCTTCAATCGGTCAACATGGGACTTTGAATTCCACATCCCAAAAACCGTTCGAGACGCACTGCCTCGCACCATGCTTCCAGCATTCCAAGATGATTACCTATCTCGAAATATGGTGCTTGTGTGTACAGGAGAGCTTGTTGAGCAATGCAGTCATCCTGAAGATGATTCCAAAGTGATATTCAAGTATACTATGGACAAGAAAGCTACCGCTTCGAGTATCGCATGGAGCATTGGACCATATGAAATGATTGAAATATCTGGATGGAAGGGGAATGTGGTTAGCAAATCGGATAAAGGGAACAGCAACAATAATAACGGTGGCGCAGGTGTAGATGGCAACGATGATGAGAATAATAGTAGTGGGTTTGCTTTTTGCTTGCCTAGTCATCAAGACGATATGCGGTATACTGTGAATACCAACAAGTTTGTCGGACAGGTTGGTGAACATTGAAGGCTACGATGAGAGGTTTTTGTCGCTCGATTTACTTAACTTATCTCTGCTAGGCTTGTGACTTTTTGACTAGACGAGTGTATGCTCCATATCCTTATCGATCATTCAAGCTGGTGTTTGTTGAAGAATCACCAAGGTCATTCATTACGGGTGCATCTATAGGCATCATGAGGTAGGTTTGTGAAATTGGAGATATGAAGTCTTGCCATTTAAAACGCTAACTTTCTTGTCACGTCCTAGCTCCCATTTGCTCTTGAAACCATCAATCATTGATCAGACATACGAGACTCGCCGCATATTGGTAAGATCAGTTACTGATCAGTGGTACGGTCATTACATTCAACCTAAAGCATGGTACGTCAGGAGCACCCTGTCTTTTTTTTTTTGTTCTGAAACAGCCCTTCCAATTATGATATCGTGTGTTTAGGTGGGATGTCTGGTTGATTGTTGGCCTCTCCAATTTTGTGGCGTCGATGTACTTGCGAAGGATTATGGGACAGAATGAATTCAAGTCGAGGCTGAAGCAGGCAAGCGTTCGTCAACTAATCTGTTGAATTTTTCGCTAACTTTTTTGTTGATTATCAGGACATGGATCGAGTCATTGAACTCGATGTGAATCAACCGCCTTTATATCCAATCGAAGGATTTGCAGAGGGTGATGAGAATCTGATACCAATCGATCCTCTCACAGTTTACCATGCTCATCCAAATGACGATGTAGCAACAGTGCGATCAGAGTTTACGGAACTGAAGTCATCAATCATCATGCATATGTTGGATCGACGATTCTCATCAAAAGGACATGAATCTGTAATAACCAAGGCCTCGCATGATATTATGACTGGTAGATCAACAAAAGGAATTACACAACATTGTCTCAGCACAAAGACTTTTTTAAAGATCATGGTGGCTGTCTCTCAACGTGGTGTGGAAATTCGAAACTTTGCTAACAATTGGATTACGGGAGCTGGATGTCCTCAATTTACCGTCACATACTCGTATCATGCACGAAATCGAACATTTCCATTCAAGATTGAGCAGAAGAGCACTAGTATAGTCAAAGGTGCTACTGTCAAATTCTCTGTAAGTGAAAATGAGCCGACGTTTCTATGGTTTTTTTTTTTGTCACGAACAGACTTTTCAATTTCGATTTCTTTGAATTGTAGGGAATGTTTACCATTCGTGTATTTGAACCACAAGAAGTTTATGACTACGAGGTGCAAATCGAGGATCTCACCCACGAGTTCAAAGAGCAAGTGAAATCGCAGTCTAGATTCAAACGTGTTCGAACTCGTCAAGCTGGTCGAAAAGTGAAGGCTGCTGGAGCGGGAGATGCAGATGATGTCGAAATGGAAGATGCACCGGACGCTGGTGCTGGTACACTAGTTACTTCTGCTTCCGCTTCAATACAAAACGTGCCTGATGTTGATACTGTTGATCCGGGCATTGATGATCTTATACGACCTGAAAAGTGAGCGAAATATAGAACAATTTTGTGCTGTTAATAAGCACTCGTTTTCCTTTCTTGACGCATTCGCAAAAAAAAGCTATTCCGACGTACGAATAACAAATGTCCTCCATCTCCATACTAATGACATACTTTGTACGATTAGGCAACCCATCAGATGGATTCGTCTCGATCCAGAAAAAGTATGGCTGTGCTCAATCAAATTTGAACAACATCCTGTCATGTGGTATCGACAAATACAAGAAGATCGTGATGTCTTCTCACAATATGATGTGGGTATATTCCGAATCCCCACAAATATTCCTTACATTGATCTTGACGCCTTTTTTGTGAAGGCTCTGGAGGCACTCTCCTCGTTTCCTTCCCATGACACTTTGAATATTTTGGAAGCTCTTATGATGGATCCTTCAGTGTATTACCGTATACGGATGCAAGCAGCTTTGATTCTGGCTACTGTAAGTCGATTTTTCGAATCCATATCGTACCTACAATTTTTTGGTGTTGACTCCCTTTTTGGCTTTATAGTGCACTCCCGAAGATCCAGATTGGACGGGTGCTCGATTATTAATGTCATTCTATCAGAACCAATACTGCATGGACACTGATGATATCGCAACTCTGACACCAAATTCAAACAATTTTGTACAGTTCTCGGAATACTTTGTGCAAAAAGTAAGAATCGGTATCAATATTGGTTTTGGAATTCAGTTATTCAGCAGCACCGTTTTTAATAGGCCATTCCCACCATTTTGGCACGCGTCCGAAATGAGCGACACGTTGTGCCTGGCGACATTCGTCAATTTCTGATACGCCTATTAACTTGTAATGAAAATACTGGCAATCCAGTAAGTTTAGGATCACCAAAAAATATCACGCCATACTGACTCACATTGCCTTTATCAATGCTTAGTACTCTGATGATTACTTTCTGTCATCTCTGATTGAAGCAGTTGGAGAAGCTTTCTCTATGCGCTTTAGGGCAAGAGTAACAGCTGTCAAACCTGCCTTTGTCACTCAAATAGCCAATGGTGTCACGGTTGATGAAGAAATCATTAGCTTTGACGATGAACCGTTGCCACATGAGGCTAGCGGAAACGAGCCTGCTCTTACCTGGTCAAATACTGGTGACAATATAGACAAGTCACTGTTTGATCAGGCTCTTCAGCAAGTGCATCGATACCGACTGAGAGATCGTATGACGCCGTCATATCAAAATATTATTACCCGAAGCTGTCTTGAGGTGCGGATTATTCATGATAATTGCTGTCGTGAGATTGACGTTGTTTTTTGTGTATGCAGGCTCTTGCTAAATGGATGTTTGCTGGTATCATACCACTGGATTTGGGCCTGTTCTTGCCCTATACAAGGTATGTTGAAATATGGTCCACAGAAACAAGAACCAGAAGTTTAAAGACTAATGTGTTCGCTTAGATATGGTCATTTTGTATTGGTGCGAACAGTAGCTCTGGATGCCATCATCCTATTGGATGCGCTTAAAAGAGTAGACATCTTGACATACATTCTATCTCTCATACGAGAAGATCCTGTTCCTCATATGAGATACTACACTGCTCGAGCGTTGGCTGATTTTGTGACTTTGGCTGCAAATGTGGATCAAGTCGACACAGGACATGGTCCAGCTCAATATGCAGAGACAGAGCTATGGGTTCGAACAAAACGCCACCTGTCGAGTTTACGAGAGCTGAGAGATGAGCTCTGGCAGATGCTAAAGTGAGCTTGAGAATATATTCTGTTGTCTTTTCCGTGTTCACAGTATTTGAACTAACGAGTGCAATAAACTTAGTGTGGATCCAACACCGGAATATCGTACACGTAAAGAGTTGCTTCGATTCTGTGAGGTGGTATTTGATGCAGCTGATAATCCAACCATGCCCAAAGTCTCGTTGGTCTTTAAACCTGGCTCAGTACTTGGTGTGAAACCACTGGGTCCTCATACATCAATATTGAATGAAGGAGGGATGGTGCAATCACCACGTTCAGCAAATTACTATGATTTGCCAGCGTATTTACCACCTCCAGATCCTACATTTGCTGCTATAAGTGTAAAATTGTTGGAAAGACTGCGTAATCATTCCTGTGCAGCACCATTTATGCTGCCAGTAGATACAACGTATTACAAGGACTATCTGAATTTTGTCGCACGTCCCATGGATTTGGGTACAGTGACGCAAAATCTCGGTAAAGGAGTGTATCAGGATGATATGGAACGTCTTGCAGATGATGTGCGTCTGATATTCGAAAACTGCTATCGATATAATGTAGACGGGTCAGCCATTGTCTTGTCTGCCCGAAAGTTTGAAGAATACTTTAATCAAGTGGCATATCAAGAGGCTCTAGTACAATATCAAAAATGGAGGTCAACTGGAGTACGAAATGATGGCAGCATGACACCAGGAAGCAATAGAGCAATGTCTGAAGCACCTGATGGTGGTTTACCCTCTCCACCAATAAGGCCACATGTTGAAGAGAAGAAACCCGCTTTTACTGTTGGATTGTCTGATCAAGACAAGATGATTGCCAAGGGTGTGCTGAGAAAGCTTAAGGATGATCCAGCAGCTCATTGGTTCCTGACACCAGTAAGTCATTCACAATAAGTGGAATGTATTGTTTTTTCTTTCGAATCTGACATTTTCGTTGTGTATATAGGTGCCACGAAATATCCCGGGCTATTATACAACCATTACTCAGCCCATGGACTTTTCAACGATCGATGAAAATATTCAAAAGGGTATCTACTTTTCTCTAAAGGATGTTGAACGGGACATCTTGCTCATCTTTAGAAGTACGCCTTGTTAATTGCTGTCAAGTAGACTTGTTCAAGTACTTAAACTGCTATTAAACTGATAGATTGTTATGAGTTTAATGGCACGGATCCGGTAGATATAATAGTCAAAAACTGCTTGCAGGTGGAGGCCTACTTTAGAGAAGAATGGCGTAAAATGGGTATGGCTGCACCACCGCCTACTGTGAAACTTCCTCCACGTCCTCCTGCAACGATTGCTGTGCCAGCTCCACGTGCTGCTATTCCTCTACCTTCAACTAAACCGATTCCATTTCAACAATCGAGGCCTCCAGGTATTGCAGTACCGGCTGCGAGAGCCCCGTTGCCAATGCCAGGATCAATTCCAATGCCAGGATCAATTCCAATGCCAGGATCTCGACCACCTCTTCCAATGCCATCAGCCAATAAACCACTGGTGCCAATACCGTCGTCTCGAGCTCCGCTTCCAATGCCGTCAGCAGCGTCTAGACTGCCGATTCCTATGCCATCAGACGCGTCAAAAGGGGCACCACCCATACCGTCAATAATAGACAAGAAGCCATCAATCCCCATGCCAGTGTCTAGACCAGTTCCACCACCGCCTGCACCTGCAGTATCTCGACCATCAGCATCTCGACCAAAAGCATATGACTCTGAAGATGCCGAGTCGAATGGAAAGAGTCGATCAGTTACTCCAGTGAAAGCAATAAAGCAACCTACTCCAACAAAACCAGTAACACCAGCTCCCATAAGGCCACCACCTGTAAGAACACCCGCTTTTACTAGTAGCAGTAAGCCGGATACTCCTATTGGAATCTCGTCGAGTCAAGCTATAAATGAAAGGATAAAGCCTAAATTGATGGAAGTGCTTAACCACCTAATCACTTCGAATGACTCTGAGTATTTCCGACAGCTCCCTGATCCCTTATGGACGGAATATCATGCAAAGATCAAAAAGCCTATAGGTTTAATCCTTATACAGGAGTCTCTCGAGGCAGGCAGGTATTCAACCGTAGAAGACTTTCAACGAGACATGCTCTTATTGTTCAACAATGCATATACGGTAAGGGTGGATAAATGCCTACGGCACTCAATGTACTACTATTCTACGTGGCCGTTGCTAACGTTTAAATCGCCAGTTCAATGCCAAACATTCAGCTGGATGGCAAGCGGCCAGCAAACTACAAACCCGGTACAAGACGAAATGGCGCGACACCTTCGAAGGGAATTCGGCCAGTCGTGAAGCATCACCAGCAGCTGCACAACAGCATCGTAAACGACCTGCTTCGTCATGGGATGATGGTGTTAATAGTGAAGATTCTGGGTCGCATAAAAAGGTCAAGGTAGAAAAGCAGCCACCACCACCACAACAAAGAATAGTTCATCCTATTCCCCCTACACCTGCTGTCGCTGCCAATAATACCACTGGGGGTGGTGGAGGCGGAGGACTCAAACTCAAATTTAAAGTGTTGCCGCCACAGCAACCAAAGTAGAGAGCGGGCGAGGGTAGAAGGCAGATAAAAACAACAAATTTGCTATATTGTATAAAGCAGAAAGCTGATAATAAAACTGTACAAATTTGCACAAACTTTCTTGTTGGAACTGAAATTATTGAGCTATAGTACATCTGCGCCTGTGACTGGTATCTCTATTTCTCACGCTTTGGGATCAGCTGATGGTTCTTCTAAATAAAAATGTTAGAATATGTGAGCAAAACGACTTGATAGCGAGTATATGGATATGTCCTTGAATCTCACCTTTCAATACACCTTGAGCAATAAGCGATTCAACATTCGGACGACTGCTCAATCCCTAATTGTTGAAAATCAAAACTTCAGAGATAGTTGGCAACAACAAAAGAAAGCGTATCCGACGTGCAGCTGAATACTTTTTGAAGTGACGTTTTTCGTTGATTCTTCTGTAACTCGATAGCAGTAGATTGAAGAGCGGGAGCAAGACCAGTGTCAGGGAGAAGTACACCACGATCTGTCAATTCAGTGGTGGATGGACGATGTCCAATGTTCTTTTCTAGAGCATCTTCGATTCTTGCTCGTTCCAATTCAGCCTTTTGTGGAAGGAGACGAATTTTTAAATATTCGAAAGGGTTTCAAACAAGGTAAGAGTTGAATTGTTTCGTCAACTTACCGCAACAGCTGAGATTGAAGCGGCGACTTCTGCGTTCTTAATGTGAAGGACGCATAGTTAGAATACGCTCTGGCATATCTGGCAATGATTGGATATCGTTTTTTGTGCAAACATAACCTCCTTAAACCAAGAATTTACCTTGATGATATTCTTTGCTTCAAGATCACGAGCTGAAGGACGTCGTTGAATCTTGCCTCCGATCGAATCGGAGACACGAGCCTTTTCCAATTCCATTGCTGTAGATTGCAATGATGGGGCAATGTCTTTGGAGTAGATGATTCCCTTGTTTTCCAGATCTGATCGAGATACACGGCGAGATACTCTTGCTTCAAGTGATGTTTCTAACTAGATCGATACAAGCACGTGTTAATTGGACGTTGATCGTGTGTGAAGTAGTGAGTGATGAAGAATGAAACACCAACGTACTTTACGTCTTTCAAGTTCTAAGGCCTGTTGTTGCAGAGCAGGTGCGACGGTTGTATCCTTCAAGACATTATGTTGAACCAACTGAAATGATCGTAAAAGGAAGAGAATGTCAGTCCAATGATTTTGTGATGGTATACACGTACAAGGAAGCGAATGTCCGTCAAATGATATTGTGATTATCTCGAGTGGCTGACTATGTGATGCATGAAAGGAGGGGCACTCACTTCAGTAGCAGACGGTCTATGTTCTAGGAAATTGTTCAATTCTTGCTTGACATCAACCTTGGTATCTTCTAAAACACGAAAATTTCAGCGAGTTGATTGTGATTAGATCTAGAAGTGATCCACTCACCCATGATGGATATAATGCACACTGTCAGTAGATTACGGGTTAGTAGTGTATGAGATTTGATGATTGAGTTGTTATTTACCTTGTTACGGCGGTCACTGCGCTGGTGTTGAACTTTCAAAAGGTGATGAGGGAGGATCGCAGTTTGCAACAAACAGGATGCTCAATTTGAAAATCTTTTATTTTAGAATAAGGTGGGATATCACTCATTCACTCATGTGAGTTCGAGTTGACCGTTAAATCGCATCAAAACAAGGCGTTGCAATATCTAAACAAGTATGTATAATCAAGTGTAAGCACCCTAGGACATAGGACTGCGACTGCTTTTAGATTCTAATCTATGATCATCACGTCTGGACCTGTCTTGGATCAGCCTCCAACACTGATTTGGTGATAAAACTTGGTCAGGTTGTCAAGTTTGATCAAACACAGAAACACCAACCTTGCATAGATGTTCACCCCCGTTTCGCTCCATTTAATCTTCATTTGATCAACATTCAAGGATGGACTGACTGGCACGTTCTCGTCAAGTAATCAGATTTCTACACACTCTTCTTGTCACACGTCCCGACACAAGCAACCTGTTGACCAAACCAAACTCTGTTTTCTGTGCAGCACAATCACCTCTACGTCTTTTTCTTAACTCTAAAAAGACTTTGAAATAATGAATACCGCGGTGGTGATGACTGGGCCTCGACAATTATCAGTGAAGAGCGTTCCACATCCTGGGAAACCAAAAGCTGGCGAAGTGTAAGTTAGAGAGCATAGTCTTGCAGTCTGAACCGCTTTGTCTGGTGACACGATGGTTCGCTCGTGTTGGAACATGGGTAGTTGCGTTTACGCTGCACATTTGGTTGAGTTTTCAGTCTCACCTGCTACCACTGAAACCACATCGCCTCATCAACATTAAAAACGTTTGAATCTGCGGATCTGACTGTCATTTCTTTCCATAGCCTCATCAACATTAAAAACGTTGGAATCTGCGGATCTGACTGTCATTTCTTTGCTGGGCACTTTCCTAATGTATGTTTTCGTGGAGGCACGAGCACTGGGATACCAGACAACAGTCTCAAAGCTACTAGACCACAGAGAATGCTACCATATAAACTCCAAATCTATTTGAAACTGACAACATGCAATCCTAGCCTACTGGGGTTGAGAATGCCGAGTTCATCGTAGGCCACGAGGCCTCAGGAGTTGTGATGTCTGTAGGCGCTGGTGTATCTCACGTTCGAGCTGGTGACCGAGTCTGTTTGGAGCCCATTGGTGCAAAGGGGACTGATCTTCTTGCCACATTCGTGATACATCCGGCAGAGCTTGTATACAAGTTGCCAGGTAACGTTTGGTACCATTGGAATCTTTATATCTCATGTCGCGCTTACGCAATTGTCTTAGAGCATGTATCCTTGGTCGAAGGAAGTCTGAATGAACCTTTCGCAGTCGCTGTACATTCTGTCAAGGAGGCGAAAGTGAAGGCTGGTGACAATGTCCTTGTGTTGGGTGCTGGTCCAATCGGGCAATTCTCTAGTCTTGCCGCAAGGCTTTATGGAGCAAAGTTCGTCGCTGTGACAGATATCAAAGAAGGTCGTCTTTCGACTGTCAAGCAGGTATGCTCTTGCCCTTGCAGTGTAGCTGCACAATACTTGCAAACTAAAATTCGCTTTAATGTTACAATAGTTTGGAGCCGACAAGACCGTAAACACATTAGGTCTCGACGCCATGCAAGCTGCTGAAGCTGCAGTTAAGTTGTTTGAAGGTGGTCTCGTCGATGTCGTCATAGACGGCGTTGGATCAGAGTTATCGCTTACGGTAAGATTTAACGATTCAAGAAGTTCGTTTGATCAATCTCATCCAGGTTTTGTGCCTACTTAGACTGCTCTAGCTGCAGTTAAACCCACTGGAACAGTTCTTGTAGTTGGAGTTACAGCCATGGCGTTAAACCTCAACATGGGTGAGTCCCATCACAACAGCCTTTACTAGTCAATGCTGTCTTTAGCTCAGTCCATTTTTCACGTTCAAGGTCTTTTCATCATGAAAGAGGTCAACCTCAAGGGTGTTCTTGGATATGGCCAAGACTACAAAACAGCTTTACAATTTATCATCGATCGCAAGGTGGACCTGAAAAGGGCGATCTCCCATGTTCAGAACCCTGAAAGTGCACAGGAGGCGTTTGAATGGTGCCTTAAAGGACACGACCATAACAACAAGCCTGTTGTAAAAGTCATGTTTGATTTGAACTTGTCGCAGAAGCTTGCACATAAACTGTGAGTATATAAGGAAATATATTTCTTTATCTTTGCATATAAGGAAATATATTTCTTTATCTTTTGCATGATGCAGACAATAGTACTTGTATTATGCCAATGGACTGGACACGTGTTTCAAGTTACCATCCTCTACAAGGAACATAGATGTCTTGAACAATGTCACCTTCCAACACAGCATAAAAGTCATGACATGCAGCTGTAAGACAAGCTAGAGTGAAGATGGATTTAGTGAAGGTCTTTACGAAGCCAATCCCCCCGGGAAATCTCTCCTTGTATGCATACCATGGTTTGGAAGTATGCGAACCAAGCTTCCAATCGGATACTCCTTGAAATCTGCTGGAGAACTGACATGAATGATTCCCACTTCTTGAGACACTTTTTGTAGCTTCAAGTCAGGTCTACCCATGAGCTCTCCAAATCCACCCCTTCTTGCCCTATCTGTACTCAAAGCTAATGATCCAGCATCAACAAGCATGGTTCCACGATCTGGATAGTGTGACAAGACTCTTGCTAAAACTGTCATGGCGACTCTTTCAATGCCTATTATACCGACGTCGCATTGCTGTCTGTCATTCCATACTAAACGAACAAAAAAAGGATCAGCAACCTGGCATATACATCAATAATTTCCTGTAACAATCACAGACCATAATTGCCAGCATGAACTTCAAGCTTGAAGCTATCACCAGGCTGTAAATACGATGGACGAACCCTGGCTTTAGCTTGCAGCTCCAATACTTCAGCACTTGGCGTTGATCCAACCGAAATCAATGGAACGGGTATTCCAGCAGCAACAAGCCCACGAGCGAGTGTCACTTGATTTGTTATTTCCTCATCGGCGATCTTCAAGGTTTCAACAGGGGTCTGTGTATTATACGTGTGCCCCGAGTGCGAGTACAAGCCCGAAAAGTCAATGTACTTGGACTCATGTAGTCGCTTTGCAAATGGTAGTGCTTCTGATACTGCATGAGGCACTCCAGCACGATGGTAGCCAGCGTCTACCTGTGAGGATGAAGTATTAGATACTGAATGGATAGCAGTTCGTTTGACAGCCACTCCAACTTCATGGCATATCTTACTTTGAGAAAGGCACAAAACCGAGTATGATGCTTCTTTGCATATTCCTCCAAACTGTCTATTATAGCATGGTTGTCCACAAAAACGTGGAGCTTATCAACCCACTTCGACAAGCCATGAATCTCCTTGATCTTGTCAAGCGACAATGCAACTGCGTAGGTTATCTATACCGTGGAGGTTGTGAGGTCATGAGCGAAAAAGACGAGTGCTAGCCGCTTCTACCTCTCTGAACTTTCCAGTGAGAGCATACAATCTAGCTTCAGGGATGGTGGACACAATCAGAGATTTAGGACCAGATTCTAATTAGAAATCACGGTAAAAAATGTATCTAGTTTCATTTAATGCAGCTGTAAATGGATATGGCGTACCACACTGAAGCAGTCCAATCTCTAATGTTTTATGGGTCTTTGCATGTGGCCTGAAATCCAATCCAAGAGCGGTTGCAGCCTCATTGACACGTTTGATATTATCGATCGTCTTGTTCTTATCCACTAACAAGCATGGAGTCCGCAAGTTTGAAATGTGCTTTCCGATTAGATGCCTGTATTGATCTTTCGTATTGATGGGAGCTGATGAGACAGTATATATATCGTCAGAGAGTGCTCTGGAAATAGCAGCGATTCGGTCGGCGGCGGTTGACATCTGTAAATTCGATTGGTCGTGATCAAAGTGTAGTTACAGTATCACGAACAGGACAAAACATTGGAGGGTTGCCAAATCTCAGATTTCAACCATTCAGATTTCGATTCAAGCGTATATAAATATAGATTTATTTATATGTCCAAGTTGAACAAAGTATCCCGCAGCTATTTCAGCGACATGAAATAGATATTTTCGTGGTTCAATGATTTCAAAACATTGCAGATTTACAAGTGAAGAACCTCGGTCTGGTTGATGATCGATTCCATGCCACTCAAAAGTAGTGCAATTTCCGTTTGATCCAATGTGAGAGCCTTCGTTTCGAGGCGTACATTGGCTTCATCGGCACGTCCTTGTACTTGAATGGCGACGATTTGACGCGCCCAATACGCATATTGGTAGGTGTTTAAGTGGTTGTCATATTACTGGCTGTATCTTTATTTTCCCTCCCGTCAAAAGATACCTTCGTCCTCCACAACAAGAAACTAGTACAGGAAAAAGACCTCTAGAGCAAGGATGATTATTTTGCAGCTGCAGATGCAGAGAATGTCTACATAATGTATCCATGGAATGCTAGTGATATTGGTGATCATGCTCTGAAAGCCATTGACGAAATTGAAATGGAACGAGACTCGGGTTGAAAATGTAGACTAATGGCATGGGTGGAAACCACCCACGAAGAAGAGGTACAATCACTTTGATTCAGTGCACACTTTCTCAACACTGTAACATTTTTAGCATCTGTCAAAAACAAAGGTCTACCTAACAACAATCTGTTAGGAAGCGGCTTATGTAGTATTGGCATAGATGCAGCGATTTCGGAATCCGGGAATCGAACCCGGGTCACATCGGTGAGAGCGATGGATACTAGACCACTGTACTAATTCCGAACTTTAATCTGTTTCGTGTGATTTCGAATTCGCATCTATACTCGTGTGGGAGGATCCCCATTAGCCAAAAAAAAAATCGCGACGACGGCTGTTGATGTAATTTACGACTCGCTTCCGATATGCAACGCCGCACGGACGACCTGCCTGCTCACTACTGCTCAGGCTACACAGGGCCCTTCCACTGATTCCCCATGGAAATGGTTTAAGAAGAATCTAGGAACGACGCGAGAGTTGTGGACCGCAGTTGGGGAGACCAGACGGCATGTAGGACGCAGTCGCGCTAAGGATCGTTTTAAGGAACGATGGTGTGTCAGGCGACTGAGGCCCACTGGTACTTAATATAGTATGGGAACTTAATATAATGTGTCATTGTACTCTCGTGTCAATTTTTTTGTGAAAAAAAAACCCCCCCTTCAAAATCATCCTGACAGGAATAGAGGAGAGAGAGTGTGAGAAGATATAATACCATAATGTCCTTCAACTTCTTTGGATTTGGAGGCAGTAGTAAGAAGCAGGAAACAGCTCCAGAACCAGCAGCAACTCCCATACAACACACAAATGCATCGACGACATCAACTCTTCCACCAGAAGAAACGGTGCAGTCTATGCTATCAGGAATGAAATTCGATCCTACTACACTACATCCCGTAGCTGGAGCACAAGGGGGTGTCGATTACATGTTCATTGACGACGTGCCCTTCGGTCAAAAGGCACCACCACATCCCACTGGTAGTTTTGGTCCATTGCCAATGAGAACCAACTCGGACAAGATGCTATATGGAACTGGTACTGCCTACTTGCTTGGTCTCTCGTCGGGTGGTGCCTATGGATTCTTTAGAGGACTCAGAAACCCAAATGCTACTACTATGAAGCTACGGGTCAATAGTGTCCTCAACTCGTGTACGAGATATGGCCCATGGGCTGGCAACTCGTTAGGTGTCATGAGTAAGTTCGCTCTTCGTGGTATTACTCATGCAATCTGATCTTGAATTGAGTTGTCTCATGCTTTTTTTACACATAGGTTTGATGTGGTCCATGATCGACTCGGGATTACAAGAAGTACGAGGTGTATCTGACTATTATAATCATATTGGATCTGCATTTGTCACTGGAATTCTCTTTAAATCAACTGCTGGTATAAGGCCTGCTGCCATAATGGGAACTCTGTTGGCTTCAATCGTTGGAGCATACGCCGTCTCTGAACAAGTAGCTGAAAATGGCGTGAGGCTGCCAACATTGGGAAGTGTTAGGCCTGCCGCCAACGCATAACTGTAAAAAATCGTAGTACTAGTAGTAAGGTGGTAGTAAACAGTGATTTATATAGAGAATTTTTCATAACGATCTAGGAGAGCCATAGATCTGTTGGACAAGCGATTTGATCTATTTGCAAGATATCCTAAGTCCGTAAGTCGTTGTTTCATCCAGTCCACTCTTCAAAAAAAAAGTCCAAACATGCAACCAGACTATGGAAGTCCGAGCTGAGACCATGAACACATGCGCGCACACGTATTGAAGCTACATACCTAGCTCTTGTAAAGCTCTCAAGCCCAGGCATTATGCAAAATTCTCAATGTGACAAGAAACATCTGATCCAGACCGATGCAGGCCGATAGGTTTGCAGAAAATGATATTTTCAAGCTGAGACCATGAGCACATGCGCACGCACATGCTTGACGAGCTACGAGCCAGCTGCTAGATCTCATCGTACTATCCTGCCGACGTACTCTTCAAAAAACTAAATTATCGAGACTGATCGTCTCTCGGCCATTTTACAAAATTTCAGCATGATTTTGATCTAGCACTAATGACACTGATTCTCGCACTAAAAATGGTTTTTCATGTCATATGAATATGGATTCGCTCGTTTAAGTGGACTTTTTTAACAAACTTTGATCGTAAATGCTGATTTTCTGTTTCAAAAGTGTAGACCTGAGAACGTTTCAGGTTGAACATCTGAGTGAGAGTCATGCATGGTTCATTGGTTTGTACCGATTTATCTCGCTTTTGGCAGCTTCCAAGTGTCTTCTAGTACCGTTTTATTCAAGCTATCAAAAACGGACGCAAATTGAGAATATAGAGCTTGTCGCCTGAGGGAGAATGAAGCCGAATCTGGCATTTTTGCAATTTCGAAGTAATTAAGCGGGTGAGCTGCTCAGAGACTCGATGCCAATCCAGTTATCAATTCAAAAACCCGATTACAAAAAAAAAGCTAGAAAGGGAACGAAAGCTCACAAAGACGATAAACAAGAGTCCAACGCGTTGTCCCGACAATTCCAGCTTGGAAAATTGATAATATTCCGGGGTATGAATGGACATCCCTCCAAGATGGTTACTACACCAAAGAGAGGCCTTAGAGCTAGCTTTGAGCTTGGAGTTTGATGGAACTAATGAGAGCTTCGGTATCATCATTGCCTCCAGGGTTGATCTATCAGAGTGAAGTGGTGTGGATTACAAAAAGTCCAGTAGGAAATATCACCGGAGGGACAGTAGACAACCCAGGTTCTAGCAACAAAAACGGATTCAACATGTGACATAAAATTGAAGGACTCCATTTATAAGAGTAGTCTCGTAAAGTTCTTCACTTGAAAGTTGAAGTTTCAGCCGCAGGCACCAATTCCAACGGCGGAAAGCTGGGGCTACTACCAAGGAGAGGTAGGTATTGGTCATGCAAACTGTGATGAATCCAGAAGAACGTAGTTATAAAAGTAGTCCCGTGAAGCTCTTCAGTGCAAAATAGAAGCTTGAGCTGCCGGTACCAATTCCAAAGAGGAAAACCGATACTACTACCGAAGAGTCCTCGTTGCTTTCCATACATTTCGTGATGATTTCATAAGAGACAAGGTTCTTGAGGTGGTCTCGTCCAGATCTTCACATCAAAGTTGAAGTTTGAGCTGCCCGGCACCAATCCAAACGATGAAAAGCCGAGACTTCTACCAGAGAGCGGTAGACGGCGTTTCTACAGACAGTGATGATTGTGGCGGAAACTTATTTATTAGACTAGTTATCTGAAGTTCTTCAGTGCAAAGTTGAAGTTTGAGCCCCAGGCACCAATTTTAACGACGGCAAGCTGGGACTACTACCATAGAGAGGTCAGTGCTGGTCATGCAAACTGTAGTAAATTCAGAAGAAACCTACCTGTGAGAGTAGTTTCATGCAGAGCTTACTTCAAATTTGAAGTTCAAGCTGCCGGTTCCAACTCAAACGATGAAAAGCTGGGGCTACAATCAAATAGTCGTCACGAATCTCCATACATTTCCTGATGATTTCATAAGAGACAAGTTTCTTGGAGCGGTGCGCTCCAGATCTTCACATCAAAGTTGAAGTTTCAGCTGCAGGCACCAATTCAAAGGAAGAAAGGCCGAGAATACGACCAACCAGAGGTTGCTGGTACTCATAAAGATCATGATGATTTCGGAAGAAACGTATTTATTAGACTAGTCATGTGAGGTTCTTCAGTGCAAAGTTGAAGCTTGAGCCGCAAGAACCAATTTTAACGACAGAAACCGAGGCTACAACCAACGAGAGGTCAGTGATGGTCATGCAAACTATGATAAATTTAAAAGAAACGTACATGTGAGAGTAGTCCCGTAAAGTTCTTCATTCCAAAGTTAAGTTTCAGCTGCCGATACCAATTCGAACGATGAAAAGCTGGGGCTACTACCAAGAAGTCGTCGTTGATATTCGAACATATCGTGATGATTTCGGAAGAAACAAATTTATTAAAGTGGTCCCGTCCAGATCTTCAGAGCAAAGTTGAAGTTTTAGCTGCTGGTACCAATTCAATCGATGAGAAGCTGGGGCTACTACCAGAGAGGGGTCAGTGAGATACATACCAACTGCGGTAAATTCAGCGGAAACCTACCTGTGAGAGCGGTCCCGTGCAGTCCTTCAGTTCAAGTTCGAGCTGTCGGCACCAAGTCGAACGCTGACAAGGCGAAGCTACTATCAAAGCTTGTCAGCGTGGTCGTGACGATTTCAAACAGATCGTGATGATTTCAGACCTAACGGATTTACAAGAGTAATCCGGCTTACTTCTTCACGTTAAAGTTGAGATGTGAGCTGCCGACATCAACTCAAGCGGTGGGAAGCTGAGTCTACCAAAAGAGTGAATTCAGAGACTGTCATGTGGCAAATTCAGGAGAAAGGAACCAGTAAGAGTGGTTGAGTGCAGATCTTCAGTTCACGTTGAGGTATGGGCTGCCGGCACCACTTCAAATGATGAGGAGCTGAGCTTAATATCAAAGATCGGTCTCGAGTAGTTCTACAAACTGCGATCAAATTCAGGAGAAGCGAATTTACTAGAGTAATATCAGTTCAAGGTTCCACTTTATTGGCACCGACTCAAACGATGAGGAGCTAAATCTGTTATCAAGGGCCCGTTGTAGATATATAGACTGTGAAAATACACCATTCCTAATTCTGGGGCAACCTCTGAGCTTGAAAATTTTCAAACAGATTGATTGTGTTGATAGTGAAAGCTCGTCCATAGAGAACTGTGCGGTGGTTTTCGAATGGCCGTGACGAGCAAAGGAGATGGTCTGAGAACTCTTTTAATTGATAACTTTGACAGCTACACTTTCAACTTGCACCAGCAGCTTTGTAATTCTGGAGCTCAAGTTGTTGTCATTCGAAACAACGTGCCATGGTATGCCGGAAAACACTGATCAGCATCTCAAACGTGCTAGTAAAGACATTTACTGTGCTATCTCTTACTCTTCTTACCAACTCTCGTTGAATAGGGAACAAGTGCGTGACAACATTTTCCCACATGTTGACAATGTAGTCATTTCTCCAGGTCCAGGAACTCCAACTGTTATCGGCGTACGCGGTTGTGTTCTCAAGTGTCGCAATGCCTTGAACTCATCTTGCGATCACACTTATGTAGGACTTTGGATGCTGCCACAATGTCATTCTTCACTCCAACCTTCCAGTCTTGGGCGTATGTCTCGGTCATCAAGGCATGGCTACAGCATTGGGAGGAAAAGTCTGTCATGCCCCAGAACCTATGCATGGACGAAAGAGTCTATTGCATCATAACGGGATGGAGTTGTTTGCTGGAATCAACAACCCGTTCTCTGTAGTCAGATATCATTCGCTGATTGTTGATGAACAAGGTATTCTTCTTCGATTATGTCGCTTGTAAAGCTGCTGGCTCGATGCTCGCTTTCGCCACATGCCTCACAGTTCATGTTTTTAGCCTTGCCATCGTGTTTGCAAGTAACAGCCTGGACCAAACCAACCGCCCCGAATAGCAAACGTATAATCATGGCTCTGAAACATAAGGAGCGTCCACTATGGGGCGTACAGTTTCACCCGGAATCCATATGTACAGATCATGGTCTTGACCTCATATCCAACTTTATGAACCTGACGAGATCACAACTACCCATAACGCGAACGACTAGTATTCCTGCTAATGTACTGGACATGACGGTGATTCCATCAGCACTTGCTGAATGCATAGCTTCACCATCTCAAACACGATTGGTAGTCAGGAAGATAGAAAACGTTCAGATAGATTCTGAGTCAGTATTCAAGACACTCTTTGCAAACAAACCTGTATCGTTTTGGTTGGACTCGGCTCGTGTTGAAGAGAGTCTCAGTCGCTTTTCGTTTATGGGGTCAGGAGACAGCGAACGCAGGTATGATCCGCCATGGAGATTCCCTTTCTTTTGGTGGTCACGAATGACATTTTCGCTGACTCACATTCAATCAATCACATCATCGAAACAGCTTCATTGTAAATTACAGCATATTATCTAGAAAAGTCACAACAATCCAAGGTGGTCAATGTACATATACTCAATTAGACATGACCGACACCTTCTTTGGCTACATGGCCAGACTAGTCAACCAGCACTCTCTCTGTCGGCAGGACACTATAACAATACCGCAGCCATTCGATATACCTTTTGATTTAATGTGTGGATTTGTGGGATACTTTGGGTATGAAATGAAGACGGAAAGTCTTGCTGAAGGACGAACCACTCCATTCAAGTCTGTATCTGCTAATCCATTACCTGATGCCGCATTCATATTCTCTGATCGCCTCGTGGTCTTTGATCATATTAAGAATGATGCTTATATTGTCATGTTGGAGAACATACCACAATCATCCCTACTAGTAGAAAAGCACACGTCATTAGGAAACAGAGTCAATAGTGCTTGGTTGGATGATACATTACGAGTGTTACAATCAACTGCATCGTATACGAATGGTCATGCTGCTGCAAAGAGAAAGCGGAAGCGCGGGATGACGCTAGACCACACTCGCGACGAGTATATACAAGCCGTATCATCATCTCAATCTAAAATAATCGACGGAGAGAGTTACGAAGTCTGTCTGACAACAAGAGCATCAATCCAACTTCCGAAAATGGACTTGTCGGATCTCATTCATGATACATTAGCCATGCATCATCATTTGAGAAATGTGAATCCTACTCCTCATGCTAGTTTTATTAATTTTGGGCAGGGGATGATTATCGTGTCTGCTTCGCCAGAAGAGTTTGTTACTGTAGATCGTGACAAGTGGGTTCAGGCTAGGCCCATCAAGGGTACTATCAAACGAGATAAAGTAGATCCTATTCGAGATGCTAAGCTCAAGGTTGAGCTTGAGCAGAGTGAAAAGAATATTGCCGAGAATCTGATGGTAAATAGGAGCTGCTTGTAGAAATGTTTTTTTTTTGCGTCCATTCGAAGTGTTGGGAATGGAAGCTGCCTCAACTTAGCAACGTTCTGATAACTTCTATGTTAGATTGTAGACCTGCTACGTAATGATCTGAATCTTATTTGTACACCATCAAGTGTCTGTGTGCCTTCTCTCTTCAAGGTCGAAAGCTATGCCTCGATACACACCATGGTTTCAACTATCAAAGGAAGTCTGAGGCCCGGGCTTACTGCAGTTGATGCCGTAATGAAGTGCTTTCCACCAGGTAAATGAATGGATCATGGCGTGTATATCCTGTCTTTTTTTCTCGGTTTGGGTGTTTCTAACTGCTCAGTACACAGGCTCTATGACTGGAGCACCCAAACGAAGAACAGTAGAAATACTAGAAGACCTTGAAAAATCACCGAGAGGAGTATATTCTGGTGCTTTGGGTTACTTCTCTTTAACAGGAGAAGCAGATTTTGCAGTCGTTATACGAACGGCCATTATTCACAACCAAGGTTTGATTTGAAACGTGATTTTGTGACCAAAAAGCAATGCAAAGTGCTAATTTACTCCTAATTAACTCATGATAAAGAACTATCGGTGGGTGCAGGTGGTGCGATCGTATCCTTGTCATCTCCAACTGAAGAGTACGATGAAATGTTGCTCAAGCTCTCTTCTGTTCTGCCCAGGTAAAGAGTGATTCGATAACAACGAACCCGTTCGACACTCACCCTGTCTTCTCTTAGCATTTCCCATGCTTTCGGCATTGATGGCCTGTAGTATAGTCGTTGACCGACACACCTGATTCCTTCATCTGACACTTTTCGTCCCTCTAAACATCAACATACACAACCTTGTCCATATTATTACTGTCTAGATATATTTATCAAATCTATACATTTCCTCCTCACAACATCTAAGTTTTTTTGCAACCACCTTTTTGTGTAGTATTGTCCCTTGATGCGACACGATCACCAGATCATTTACTCATCCACTGGAGCACCAGAAGCTGCACCACTGCTAGTACCATTGTTGACTTTACTCTTACTGCAGTCTCTTGCCAGATGTCCAGGCAACCCACAATTAAAACACTTGCGAGAATAGCTATTACCATGCTGTTGATTCTGCTGTCGAGGCTGTCCTTCTTGTCCTGAATTCTCAGGACAGTCCTTTGAGATGTGTCCAGGCTTGCGACAAAACCAGCACGTCTTGCTCTCACTGGAACAGTTTCTCGAGATATGGCCTTCAACTCCACATCGTAGACAGATGATTGGGTTTTGATGTGGAGCCATCATTGGTCGTGGCATGTTTTGATACATGGGTTGTTGCTGCTGCATTGTTCGTTGCGGACAATTTCTGGCATAGTGGCCTTTAAGGGGTCGGTGTGTAAGGTGTCGTTTGAAGAAAATACTGACAGAAACACTTTCATGTGAAGGAGCTCTGACAGAAATACTTTTTGCGTACCTGGATTTCCACAACTATGACAAACGCCTGGCAACTGACGATAAGATTGGTCTGAACTTGCCATTCCACCTCCTTGATTCTGCTGCTGATACTGGTATCTACCACCACCACCATTATTATTGTTATGCTGTCTCTGATTGCCTCCATCATCTTGCTGCTCGGAACAGTCACGCGAAAAGTGCTATGACATGAAGAAAAAATTAGCGTGGTTGGCGCAAAGCAGAAATTCAATGCCCTCGCAATAACATACACCCTTCTCTCCACAGCGAAAACACACGGCATTGCTTCTATCAGCAGCTTGTGCCTCTAGTTTCAGTGGACACGAGGAGCTTAAATGCGAGGTGCTAAATGGTGACAAGGTTTTGAGTAAATGTAGAAAGCCAAAGTGTCTTCGACAAATGGGAGTATGCTGAAGATGTTTAGAGCTGACCTCTGACATCTGAAACAGGCTTTTGGAGCGCGTGGAGCAGGGCATTCCTAGTAGGTCGGATGTTCATGTAAGAATTGATAAAGCAAAAATTTCATGTTGTTGAAGAACGTACCTTGGAGTTGTGGCCTATATGACACGAGTAAGAGAAAAGGAGAAACGTCAGTTCTGAATACATATAAATGATTTGCAAACGGATCTGCTCATTACCTGGTTCTTTACAATTGTAGCATATAGAACCTTGGCCAGAATCTTTGGTGCATTGAGCAGACAGATGGCCTCTTTCACCGCATACAAAACAATAGTTTCGTGCATGATTGTTGGTATTGCTGAATGCATACGATGGCGAGCCCTCCATGTTATTAATCAAAACCGCCGGATTTCGTGCAAGTGTTTGGTTTTGTGCGAGGAGTTTAGAATCTGATCTATGCAGTTTCCAGCGGTGGAAATACAAAGTGTGGGCGTATTATGAATTGTTGAGCGTGATGCCGAGTATTCTACGCTCTCGTTCTCGTCCAGTTGAGGTAGTTTTTGGGAGTCGGGAGTGAATGAGGAAATTCTCGTTGTTTACTGCTGGACCCTTGGGGTAGGACACAAAAGACAGCTTCACGAGGAAAGCCCGGAACGATGGATACAGACTTTTAAAGGACGTGAAGAGTATCATATGATGCGCCTAGTCTCATTACATGGCAAACATTCACTGCTCCTACGTGAAATCGTTTGAAAGAACGGGCGGATACACGTCATTTTCTTTCGCTTTTTGTTTGTTGTTGACAAGGACTTTCAAAAGACTGTGACAATGACGATAACAGCTTGCTCTCTGCTGATGCCTCTTTCTCTCCTCTACTGAACCACTTGATGTTCTAAGCTAAGCATTTGGTCCAGTCCAAACATAACTGACAATTTTGCTAAATTTCGGATGCTCCATTAAGGTCTTTCTAGCCGAAAGGCGAAAGAGTTCGCAATATCACATGCAATTGAGATGTGTTTATCGTAGAGTGGGATATTGGAACGGAGAAACGCGAATGCTCACAGTATTAGTCAATATTAAACCAACACCCCGAACGAGTTTAACGATTGCTTGATTTTTATCAAGGAGCTGAATTTTGAGAATTGCAGTCATTGCGAGGGCCGTTTGTTTAAAAAGGCGTTTGTTCATCAATTCAACCTTGAAGGCTGCAAATCAACACAATGTGTTTTGGTGGTATTCCAAGGTTGTCATAGAAGCAATATTGCTTTTGGATCAAGACGAGAGGTAAATCGGCCTGCTTATTAGAATTCAATACAAACACGAGATTTTATCCCCATCAATATCTACTGGAGCGAAGCAGAGCAGTGATTGTCAACTCCAAAATGTTTTGGACGCAGAATAAATTTGATGGCAGAATAAAGGTTTGACGAGGGCCAAATTAAGCCTCGACGTTCTGAAATATTGCTATGGATCATCTTTCCCTTGGCTCCATCGGCTAGTTTTTGTGCATCGTTGTCAACAAACCCGGCAAGGTTGAAGGTTCTAGTTTCCGTTGGGATGCGAATTCGCAGTGGTCGTTTCGACAGCAACAGAACAAGCTAGCTATCTTCTTAATTAACGCACAATTTCACATGAATTGAAATTTGCAAATCATGTCAACTTCGACAATATTATGGAAACCGAGGGGATCTATTCTGGAATGGAAATCGACTGCTGAAGCTACCTTTTTCTTTGATCTTTGCCGAGACGAGGATTGGTATGGACGGTGATTCACAATAAGTACTACATGATATCGATTTCTTGTCGCCATTTGTATGTTGGATTATTTCTAAGCTGCAGCCCTTATAAACTCAATAAACAGTGTGGTTCTCGATTAAAACCTGTATTTCATTCTCGTTTGATCAGTATTCAGCTTACTGCAGCTGCATTTTCGACTGATTGATATTGTGCAGAAACAAAGACCACGGTTGTTGTTCGTGGATTCCAAATTCTAGTTCACCTTGAGTCTTGTCTGTGCGGGATATCAATGCACATCAATGCGTCTGGATCCAGCTGAGCGAATTGTGTCATTTGTTATCTGTTCTTTGGCGTCCTTGCCTCAAAAAGTTGCTTGCGATTGGTCGTGACGGTGAAAGTCCTAAGTATGCAGTGTTTGGTGACAAAGAACAGAAAATCCCCACATTGAAGCGTTTTGCTTTTTTGCTTAGGCCTACGTGACCTGTTTGATCTTCCTTGCCAGCTGCATCGACAATGTTCTATTCTCGTGTCCACAGATCAGATGTGTTTAGAAAGCTCAAGCCCTCAAGGAGCTCTTCTGTTCAAAGATTAAAGAGAACCTTAATTCTCATGTATTCTAAGCTTGGAAAATCGTCCAAAGCACATCCTCTGCCTCAACTCGAAGATGTGACGCGTCATCCGACTCCTGACATTTCTTGACAATCTCATCAAATCACAAGGGAGAGAAAGCGTGTACAATCAACTCATGGCAGTCATCGTAAGCACCGTGCCTTTGTTATCGTCCGCACCTCTAATCGAATTATAAGACTAACCGTCTGCCGAATAATTCAACTTTCTAGATTATTCGTATTCGATCAAAGGACGGACAAGCTCGAGTTGAATTGGACTCTAATGCTGATGGAAGAACACTACGGAAAAAGGTCACTCTTCTCTTTGATCGATTATCTTTGAGCACGATCGCGTCGCAACATCAAATACTCACCACATTCCAAAGCAGATACTTCAAGTCTTGCAGTTAGACGACTCGACTCAATTGGCTGCTGCACTAGATCCACAAGGTGCAAAGCTAGTGGATTTACAATCTAATTCGAATGTCGCTTCGTTAGGTTTGGGGTATGAATGATTTGGTCAAAGTTTGCTGGCACATCCAAACACTTCTGAACTCTATGTCTTACGACTCGGTTTTTCATCATCGTAGGAATGGAACAATGCTATACGTGGAATACGTAAAAAGTAGCACAACCAATGGTCATACTTCGACTGCAGGAGGTGCTACTGGTGCTGAATCCGTGGTTGCAGCCGCCGTCATTCAAGATCCTATAGATAATGAAATGGAAAAACAACCAGGAACGATTCCAAGGCCCAAAGATCCACTGTAGTAAGCTCAAAAAATCCGCCATTTCGCAGCCCATATGTGGTCTATTAACAGTCATATTTATCATGTAGCTGCAAACATGGTGATCGAGCCATGTGTGACTACTGCTCTCCACTCGAGGTTGGTATCCCGACGACTGCTGCCGTTTTGTCCCTGTCTCTGACACTTTCGTCTGCAGCCATACGATGCAAAGTATCTCGAAAAGAATAAAATCAAACACATGTCCTTCCATGCATATCTCCGTCAGGTCACTAATCAAAACAACACCGCTCCTATAACATCTCCCAAATTCATACCGCCTCTCGAAGAACAAAGCTTCAAAGTTAGGAATCCTTGTCCCAGTCAAACACATGGTCCATATCCTGCTGGAATTTGCACAAAGTGTCAGCCATCTGCAGTGTCACTCAATCCTCAGGTAATTCAAAACAAAAAAGCCCATTTCAAAGTGATCGTATGCTGAGACAATGTCATATTGCCAAATTTCATAGCCCTTTAGGATGGTAGATTTTCTAGAGTTTGAAACACCAGGATTGATTGATTCATTTTTATCATATTGGAGAAAGACGGGTGTACAACGATTTGGTTATCTATACGGAAGATATGAACCCTACACCGAAGTCCCTTTGGGCGTCAAGGCTGTAGTTTCTGCTATATATGAACCACCACAAGTCGGAGAACCTCATGGATTACAGCTGACTTTACCAGATGCTCGTGAAGAGCAGGTTGATCAGATTGCTGCCTTATTGGGCCTGCGGAAGGTATGATGCTATTTGTTGATGCCTCGTTTTTAGGCTCACCGTCATCTCGTCCAAACACTGTTTCTGACTAGGTTGGAATGATATATACGGATTTGTTGGATGATGGAACAGGAGAAGGAACAGTAGTTTGTCGACGACATGGCTCATCCTACTTCTTATCATCCGCCGAATGTATATTTGCTGCACAACTCCAGCTCAAGCATCAAACTCCTTCAAAGTATTCCGCAAGTGGCCACTTTGGTAGTCGTTTCGTCACCTGTGTCTTGTCCGGTGAGTTGATTAATCTTACAAGCATTGTTTTGGCTGGTCAAAAAGTCTCACCTGCCTGCGTTTCTAGGAAATGAGGATGGTGGTATTGATTTTCAAGCATACCAAGTCTCAAACATGGCCATGGCGATGACTCGTGATGAAATCATTGAAGCATCTGTGGATCCAACAAAAGTCCGAGTTCGCGAATCAACACCAGAGCTTTATGTCCCAGAAGTATTCTACAAGTATAAGAATGAATATGGTATTATGGTACAAGAAGCTGCCAAACCTACCTTCCCCGTCGAGTATCTTCTTGTGACGGTATGTCTGGTCGTCTTTCAGCAGTATTCAGTTATTTTTTATTTTGCGGTTTCACCAATTGAACTCTTTATTCTGTGAAGGTATCCCATGGATTCCCCATCAACCCTGTGCCAACGTTCACAGCTCCAGCACCGTTCATTATAGAGAATCGTGATGCTCTCGAAGCACAGCATCAAGATCTAGGAGCTGCTCGACAACACTTGGAAAAGGGACCATTGGTCTCGACGTTGTCTGACTTCCATCTCATTGTATATCTTTACTCGTTGTCCATTCTGGATGAGGTAAAGAACTTTGCCGTTTGTTAGTACTCACTACGTCGTTTGGCGTCAAACCTGTCCCTGAAGCACCTTGTTTTCTTACAAAATTTTCCAATTTTCTCAACAGATTCCATTCAGACTTGCTTGCAATATAGCCAGAACGCACTCGGAAACAGATGCACAAACTTTGATACACACAGGTGCTTGGCAAACTCTGACAATGATACTACAGGAAGCTCCAATTAGTTCAGGACCAAGTGGTTTTGGGATGAGTGGTGGGTCATCGTCATCAGCAGCTGGTGCTAGTGATGGACCAACATGGAGCTGTCCACATTGTACTTTTGCCAACCCAGCACGAAATCATGACTGTGGGATGTGTGGATTGCCGAAATCGTAAATTTAAAAGCAACAACAAGATTTATTTTTAAGAGGCTGGTTTCTAGCAGATATCAATTGTATCAACTACATATATAGTAAAATTCTCCTTTTCAGACAAGAATGTGATCTAACGCGAAAGAAACTAGGTCTCACGTTGAGAAGGATACAAAGAGAGATATTGATTTAAACCTGTACATTTGTACGTCTCTGCACACGTTGGAGTCATCGAGCTTTTGCGTACTTGAACTCGAATTGTTGGGGTATCGGCCAAAGAACGACTTTCAAGCTGACACCAAGATTATATGGGTCACAGTGTAGTGGTGCCTTATGCCAGCTTCTAGCTCCTAATAAAGCTCTCCAGCCTACGTATTCTTAAAAACTCAAATTCCAACAAGAAATGTCAACCAAGTATCTAATCCAGGCCTGACAAAGGTGATATTCGCGCAGAAAATGATGTTTACATTGATATTAACGTCGATTCTACTATTAAGAAGCACGCGCCGCACGTTCCGCAAAAACGACCATTCACAGCGTGTTCGACCTTTGGGGGTATCGGCTACCAAACAGCTTTCAAGCTGAGACCAGTAGCACATCTGCACATACTCGTTAAATATAAGAGCCAGCTGCTGGCTCCCATAAAGCTCTCCGGCCGACGTAATCTGCAAAATACGAAATTGCCGACCCTGATCTCAGTCATATTTCAGCATGATTTTGATCTAGCGCGAGTGAGGCTGATTCTCACGCTTAAAATGATTTTTCTTGTAGTGTGGACATCGATGACGTCCTCTGAAAGGACCATTTACAACAGAGTGTGATAGTAGTTCGTGATTTTCTGTTTCGAAAGTGTAGTTGACCATCGAAAAGTTTCAAGATGAGTACCCGAGTGAGAGAAATACATGATTTATGTTCATGCTCATGCTCCCACTTTAGACAGCTTCAAAGTGTCTCCTGTCACCATTTTGTTCATGATATCAAACAACGGACGCAAATGGAGAATACAGAGAAGAGCAGCATGAAGCTAGAATCTCAGAAACTCGATGCTAATCTAGTTATCAATCCATTTATTTTGCAAAACCGCAGTTACAAGAACAGGGCAAAAAAGTCTTCAAGAATTATTTGGAAAGAAAGCCCAAAAGGGTGATGAGCATCAGTGTTGCAATCCCATCTTTCAAATTTGATACTATTTTGGCAATGTTTGGCAAGCCATAATGGTGCTTGTTCTTCATTCTAAAGTTCAGTCTTTCGGCACCAATTCGAGTACTGACGAGCTGTGCTCACTCCACAGCCAGAGAGGTCCGTGATAGTCTGGCAATCTGTGGTAAATTCAGAAGAAACGTACCTGTCAGAGGTGCTCCTATGTACATCTTCAGTCCAAAGTTGTAGTTTGAGCTGCAGGCACTATTGCAAACGATGAGGAACAATTTGCCGAAAGTGGAATAGCATTTTTGGGTTGAGAATTCGCAGCCTAAACTCATCGTCATCACACATCCTCTGCAAAGCGGTTGATATTTCTTCTTTCTACTTCATAAACAAGTGTATTCAATGAAATTACAAATGCTTTGACACGTATTCTCTAGCAGCAGTAATAGCAGCAGTCACAGCATCTATTCTATCTCCTGATCCTTGAGCAGTGTCTGCTTTACCACCACTCTTTCCATTCACGACGTCTCCAAAGGTCTTGGCCCACGTGGCAGCGCTGAAGCCTTTGGCAATCATGGACTATGATTAAGAAGCGAAAGGAACATAAATCAGGACCAGACGTTGGAGGAGTACAAAAGAGTACAAGAAGGAAGAACTAAATCAATCGTAGTAATACCTTTGAGGCAGTTGTGTAAAATCCAACAGCCTTCCTATCGTGGTCAATTGTCAGATATAGACCAGACTTGTCAAGTTTCTTGGCTTCATCACGAGCAACTGTGACAGCCTGAATAGACAAGGATATTGAGCAATTAGAATCGGTTGGACAAGACAAAAAAAAGCAGGTTCTGAGGGATAATAGTGTACCTTGGTGTTGTTTCCATACTCAAAGACATGAATATCATACAGCGCAGTAGAATTCTTGGTAAAGTAATCCTTGACATACTCTGTAGCCTACAGCACGAAAAACAACGTATGTAAACACAAACAGTTGAGCTGCCCCGAGAAAACTCAGTAAAATGAACCAACCTCCTTGTTTTGCGCACTCTTGATAGCCTTATCAGCCTCAAACACCTTTTTCCTCATAACCTCAGCTTGCTCCTTCAAAGACTCCAATCGAATCTTGGGTATAGGGGCAGCATCGAACTGAGTTCCAATGACTTTAAGAGCAGCATCCTGAGCAGATGGTGGCATCTTTTCTATTTCTTCTAGCTTTTTCTGGTATTCATCGGCTACTTCTTGGACTCGGAGTGCATCTTCACCAGTCACGGCAATGATACGTCGAATGCCTTTTGCGATGGATGATGATTCCATGACGACGAATCTTTTGATGTCGCCTGTTTGCTTGACGTGTCTAAGTGTAAAGGACCGATTATGAGAAAGGGGATGCGAAAAAAAGTGTTTGGAGCGAACAGTAGTTTGGATGAATATTTCTCTACTTACGTTCCACCACAAAACTCTACAGACGTCTTGGTCCATTCAGGGTTGGTTGCATCCTTGGTTAAATCATCGACATTGTAGCCGATGGACACCACTCGTACTGGATCAGGGTAAACCTATTGAGTTGAGCAAGGGGTCAGTGAACAAAAAACTTTCATGCCAGCATGTGAATGAGAGGAATTTACCTCTCCAAATACAGCACGAACGCCATTTATAGCACGACCAACACTTAATGCAACTTCCTTGGTATACACGGGTAGATTCCTTTGAATCATGTCATTGCTTATCTTTTCAATCTTGACCAACTCATCGACGGTTGGCAGATTCTGTGTTGAAAAAGGCAGGGTTTGAGTGAATTGAATATAGAGAGACTGGTGGGGAAATGGGTGTAGATAGGCTGCACAGTCTGTGTCGCGTCCTACCTTGCTAGAGTAGTCAAATCTCAATTTTTCGGGAGCAACTAAAGAACCTTTTTGATCAACGACTTCTCCCAATACTTCTTTGAGAGCAAAGTTGAGTATGTGAGTCGATGTGTGGTTGTTTCGTAGTGGCCATCTTCGAATCTGTCAAGGAAGGAAACAAAATCGGTCAGTGTCTTCAAAGACAGAGGCCAACAAGAGGGTAGAAAAAGGATTCAATAATAGTGGAAATTGGTACCTCATCATATGATACCACAATCTCATCCCCAACAGACAGATTGCCGTACTTGAGATATCCAATATGTAGGACATAACCGCCAAATATCTGTGAATCTTCAACAGAAAATTCGGCCTTGTCGTCAATCATGATAGAACCAGTATCGTATTGTTGACCACCAGATTCGCCATAAAAGTTGGTCTTGTCGAGTATGATGCCAAACTGTTGTGTGGTCTTGTCGGCAGATACTGATTTTACAAATACCTTGTCACAGTATATGGCTTTGATGGAAGCTTTGATATCACCATAAGCTATAACAAAGAAATGAAACAAAATTGGTGAGTCGTAGGGTGCAACAAATATTTTAACGGGACGAATAATTTGAACCTCCATTCAACTTACAATATTTGTACGAATCATCAGTGTCAGCGACTTTCAATTTCGTAGCAAGTTCTCCAAGAGCATGTACATCCAAAGCAACAACAGCTCCTGAATCCTTTTGCCGACCAGCACGAGATCGCTCTTTGGCAACAGCTTGTTCCTGTTCTACTTCATCCTTATTATACGAAAATCCAATTTCATCAACCATAATCTGAGTCAAATCCAGTGGGAAACCAAAAGTATCATATAATTTCCACACATCACTGGCCTTCAGTGATTTGGCACCTTCATCACGGGCTTTAGCGACATATCGATCAAATAAGACTTCACCTCGATCCAGAGTCTTGGCGAAAGCTAATTCTTCTTCGTCCAAGATTTCTTTCAGGTCGTTTACTCGTTTGGTGATTTCTGGGAAGGCATCACCCATTTCTTCAACGACGGTATCCACCAGTCGTGAGAAAAAGTTTCCGATAGGAGCATTGAATTTTTTACGGATATATCGTGCACCTCGACGCAATATACGTCTCAAGACATAACCACGACCTTCATTCGATGGGACACCACCATCACTTATTGAGAAGGTGAGTGTTCGTACGTGATCAGCTACTACTCTATATGCGGTATCGATTCCATCTACATCGTCAGTTCCAACATGACCTGTATAAGGTCGAGCACCTGTCAGCTCTTGTATTTTAGCAAATATGCCAGTAAAGCAGTCGGTATCGTAATTGGATGATTTGTTTTGAAGGACTGAGCAGATACGTTCTAGACCCATTCCGGTATCAATATGTTTATTGGGTAGTGGTCTCAGTGATCGATCTGGTTCACGGTTGAATTGCATAAAGACCAAATTCCAGATTTCAATGACTAGTGGGTCGTCCATGTTTACGAGATGCTTGGCATCTCGACCACCAACACGGTCAAAGTGGATTTCACTGCATGGACCACATGGACCTTGATCACCCATTTCTAAAGAGAAAAATTATGTCAGCGTTGATTGATATCAAACGAGGAGGACAACACGATGTGGTGACACGTCATACCCCAGAAGTTTTCTTTGGCACCAAACGGCAAAACTCTTGATGGGTCAACACCAATATCAATCCATAGCTGCCTGGCTTCTGTATCAGCAGGTATGCCAGCTTTTTCGTCTCCCTGGAAGTAGGTGATGTAGAGCCGTTCTTTGGGTAACTTGTAAACAACGGTCAATAATTCCCATGCCATGGCAATAGCTTCTTTCTGGAGGCAAATTGTGGCGTGAATATTGTCCAGCATAGTCTTTTGGCGAAAAAACATATGGCTCAAGATAATGGCCTTGGTTTCCTACCTTGAAGTAATCCCCAAACGACCAATTTCCCAACATTTCAAAGAAGGTGTGATGGTATGTATCTTTTCCCACATCGTCCAAATCATTGTGCTTTCCACCTTGAGTGCAATGAAAGGTCAGTAAAGAAGGTGAGTCAAGCAGAAAAAAGGCGAATAAATAATTGTACTATCAAGGATACGCCTCGACACAGGTACACACGACAGCATACCGGCACGAATACATTTCTGAGAGTTTGCAGCACGTTTCAGTTTGGACATGTCAGAGTTTGGATCCACTGTACCGAGGAAGATGGGTTTGAACTAGGACAATTATTGTGTAGTAGCAATAAGTATGTGTGTGAAATGTTTCATTCTTGATTGCAGTCTGTAGAAGCGTCAACAAGGCAGTGTGCAGATGAAGGACTCTTTGAATCATGCAATCAAGCAAGAATCCAAGCTTCTTCACAACACCCCACACCACACACAAGTAATCATCACATTTACCTGCGTCATTCCCGAGTTTGCAAACAAGAGAGTTGGATCATCATGAGGAATTGTTCTCGAAGAAGGAACAAAGGTGTGAGCGTGTTTGTCTTTGAAGTAGTTGATGAATGTATCTCTAGTCCTTTTCAATGTCCAGTATTCTGACGATGGAGGGTGACTGCTTTTTCCATTGATACTGCTACCAGTAGCTCCCTTAGTAGTACCAGACCAGGTGTTGGTCCATGGGTCTGCAGCCTTTGGCATTCTTGAATGAGTAGTCTTGAATCTCGTTGATGGGTGAATCACTGGTATTATTGGTGCCCGGCTTACGGACAGCGCTCGTAGCCAATTGCTTTGAATGATCGTGTTAAGACTATTTGGCTTTTTCTTGAGCTTTAAACGTTGCAAGTAGTGTGGCTGCTAACGATAAAGCGTTGATTTCCTTTTTTTTGTTTCAACGAAAGCAGAACTTGGAGGCAACAAACAATGGTAACGTTGATGAAGAGGATATATATTCTCGTGTATATTACCATGCTCAACTTTTATAAACACGTTAGTCGCGTTCTTAAAGGGTATAGTATCTATTCTTGACCATTTTCTGTTTTGCTCAATTGCTGACTGCTTTATCCAGAAGCGGCCAGTTCGCAGACGCGATTTCTATACAGAGATCAGAGATCACTTATTTTCACGTAAAAAGAATAATAAGTATCGGTCCGACTTCCTTAGCCTTTCTTCAACTTCTTCTACATTGCTCCAAACTTCAAAACCTCCCAGCTTGCATCTCAAAAGCAAGGATGAGCAGCAAGAGGAAGATAGCCGACGAAGATGATGGTGGAGGAGCCAATCCCGTTGCCGGATCATCCTCATCGTCCTCAAACATCAAAAAGAAGAAGACCTCCCACAAAAAACATAAAGAAGAACCAATTGATCATGCCACTGCTGTCGCAAATACTCTGGCAAACTTGAACTTTGAGGAAAGGAAAATCCTAGATGAACTCAGAAAACATCCAAATGTCAGTATTATCTTGTCATCACTCTGCAGAACATGATTCGAGTTTTTCTGCAGGCACATCATCTCACATATTACACTCTATCTCACAGGGTCTACCACAAGCCGTTCTTCAACAGGCTCTGCCTGATATAGACCTCAAGGACTTGCTCGAGTCCATCAACAGCTTGAGTGTCAAACAGGTACATGCCTAGCTCCCTCCAAACGACGAAAACACTGATCCCAGTGACTAACATCATCTATTTTTGCTCCAATAAAGGTCGTTGAATTCATTTCACATGGACGAGAGCTATTCTTTAGAGCAAAGTCGGACGAGGAATTCAAAAAGTACATCGTGTTAAAAACAAGTCGCTCAGGCAACTGGAGGACCTGACAACTGGTCTGACTCCTTCTACTCTTATATAGGACTAAAGGACTGTCAGATGAAGAACTCATGGTATACAATGTCATCAAATCGGCTGGAAATCGTGGAATCTGGGTCAGGCACATCAAGGAAAAATCAAACCTACATGAGAAGTCAGTTACCAAATGTTTGGACAAATTGAGTAATTCACTACTTGTCAAATGCATGACTTCTGTCAAGGTATCGCACAACATGCCATGTTCCAAAAATCGCCTATTGTTGATTTCATTACTCCTGGAAACTCACCCAATCTTTCTTTGCACACTAGTTCAAAACACGTCGTCTCTACATGTTGGCCGAAGTCATGCCATCTGTAGAAGTCACAGGTGGTGTCTTTTACACTGATCAGGAATTCGACACAGAACTGGCTGATCAAGTGTCTCTTGTTTGTCATCATCACATCATAAACAAGGTGAGCCAGAAACGGGACCTTCGGAGAGGCTCTACATGCGGCTCCTATTTTGAATTTTAATCTAAGCTTTTTTGTTTCATCACACTCAGACAGCCAACAAATGTTTTACTAACCCATAAATGTAACATAGACATACTGTGACGGAGACATGCTGAAACCACGAGATTCACGATATAAAAACTGGGCTACAGCACAATCGTGTCTCAAATATGTGGCTGGATTAGGCGTCCTCAACAATACAGATTTGAGCGTCGAAGATATTGTCCGTGTACTCAATCGTCTGGTGTATGATGGCAAAATCACCCGATATAGACGAGATGGTAAATCCAATGAAATCATCAAAGTAAAAGACGAACCAGTAAAGCCCGCCAAGGCTTCCAAATCAACAAAAAAAGGAGCAGCAGCCAGTAAGAAGCCCACACGAGCAGCAGCACGACGAGCAGCAGCAGCCCTAGCAGAAGACTCTGATGAAAACCAAGATGATATGGGATCTGATATAGAATTACCTGAACTTGATCCAGACGCACTCAAAGATGAAGAAACAGGAGGATATGGACCACGTGAAAAGAAACAGCCACCACCAGCAGAAGACAGCAACGATTTCGATGACGGAGACGATATAGCTGAAGCACTAGCAGGAGAAGTCGACATGTATTATTATGAAGCTATACGACCATCAGAGTATCGAGAAGAGATTGGAAAAGATGCTCTACCGTCCTTCTTCCAACCAGGTGAAAAGGGACAAGCACCACGATTGCCTGGTAATGAATGGAGTGGTCGGTGGTCTGCCTTGTCTTCTGTGCCATGTGGAACTTGTCCAGTTGCTTCATTTTGTAGTGATAATGGGCCAGTCAATCCTAGCAGTTGTGTTTATATTACGAACTGGATGGCTGAATGGTGAAGGGGAGGGAGCTTGTGTGCACATTAGCACGTTGGCAGTTATTAAGAAGGGTATATATAGAGAGAGTCAAAAAAGGAAGGTGTTAATGATGTGTAAATAAACACGTTAGATTTGTAAAAAGCAAACGCTCTCTCATAAAAACACGAACTTTGTTGCATTTGCAAAAAAAAAGTTGAACGAGACCATCGCAGTTGCCCATATTTAATTTTGCTAAAGCATTACTCACAAGCACCTGCAGCAAACTAAACAGAGACACGGACCGTATACAGATCCTTCATTTAGAGAGTCACAATATAAGGGACTCCAGCCAATTTATAAAGCTCATCGTCATCCAGCTCCAAAGTACACACAAAACATGTCGAAAGCTAGCACACCGGAATTGAAAAAGTAACGTTTACAAGCTGCATCATCTATCATTGAGTCATCCTATACATATAAATCAATTCTGACTCTCGCCTTGCTGCTTCCTAGGTACATGGAGAAGAAGATATTCATCCAATTAAACGGAAATCGAAAAGTTACTGGTATCTTGCGAGGTACATCATACAACGTTGTGGATTTCAAACTGGATGAAGGCTGATACTATGTATGGATTCTTGCAATAGGATTCGACCCATTCTTGAATCTGGTGGTGGATGATGCTGTTGAAGAAAAAAAGGATAATAGTAAAGAGGATTTGGGAATGGTGGTATGTATTATATAGCATTGCTAGCTATTGGATATGCAGAATCCACAGGGATGATATGATGTTCTCGTTACACGTTGCTGATTTTTTTATTCTCTTTTTGTAGGTCATAAGAGGAAACTCTGTCGTGGTGTTGGAAGCTCTTGAACGTATTTAACAACATGGCACGCCAACATGGAACCCTATTTTTTGCATGTCAAAAACTGTTTTGTATTTGTGTTGTATAGATAGAAATGAAATACTACTATCTCGTCTAGAGAAAACCAAAAACAACTATGTAACAATTACCCCTACCCCTACAACCCCCACACGTGTCCCTGCTTCACATCAGTTGTCACTATCACTACCATCCTCATGATCATACGGATATATTCAGGCTCGGAATCAAATGCCTAGATTGTGCGAGAACCTTAAGAGAGATGCCTGTCAGTTTGAGTTCGTCCACAGTTTCAGCTAACGAAGGTGGATGAGTGATCAGGTTTTTGTTCCGCCCGCTCAACCACATGGCAATAGCACTTACCATTCTAGGTTCGTTGGGCACGTATAGCCTGCTCGTTGAGTCGTGAGAGTCTGAGGATGGGATTCATGATCTGATAGCAATGGAGTATACCTTTCGTGAAATGAGGCATCGAAGGATATAAATCCTCATTAAATGTCGGTGCCTAGCAAAAAAAGTCAGCGTCGTCCGACGAATGTAGCAACCTACCAAGAGGCTGTAACAAAACACATGAACGACTGTAAGGACCTCTGCAAAATTATCATAATCTCAAATAGGTATAATGCAATCTAAACTTATGAAAGCGTCGTGGGAAATCCTTCTTGAATCGTCTGTACTCGAACCTCTTTTGTCTCCTGTTGGCTGTTGTAACTTGTTTAGAAACACCTTCCAAATCAGTCACGTCGTATTCCACTATGCCAAAGGCTTGACCTCCTCTGCGCACTTGACTCGTATCAGCAACGGGTCGGTATCCAACGACACCCTCGTCACCTTCTTACGAATCCACCTCGCCATATGTTTCGTCACCCTCTCTCTCTATGCCTCTCATCAACCAATCCACACTCGAAGGGACAATCCCGATGACTCAATTGTGCATACAAGTCTATAGCATCGGAAGGTAGATGGTAGCCAAAATCGACGAGACGTTCATACATATACAGTATAGCCATTTTGTGGTTTGCATCATCAAAGAGCTGTTTGGCGCGTATGTGTATAGCGTGCTCTACACATTCGTTGATGAGTAAAGGCAGGTTGCGACAGTATGCGGGAGTGGTGTTGCTAACGGTGCTCTTCCACTAGAGATATGTGACAAAGGAGGCAGAGTTTTGTACATGTCGCAGGGAGATATGTATAAGCAAGGTCTTCCAGATGATAGAATGTTGTCTAAGAGTTATTTATTGAGCTCTTGTAACCTTTCGTTTCATGAAACAGATATCGTTTCTGTTCTGTAGGGCAACGTGATGGGTTCCACTGGGCAATCTCTGGGCAATAGAGTTTGCCAATTATAATATGGATGGAATCTAGCAAAACACGAATAAAATGCTCGTAGATCAGAATCAGACATTCAAGCCTTTAAACCAATTTGTCGCTACCTTGCAAACAACGAAATCAATGTGCTCCTTGTGGCCGTGTCCCTGATTATTGTGAAGCGTGAGAGTAAGAACCTTTGATTCTTCTGTCTTAGGAAGATACAGAATTCAGGGAGCATGTGGTGGCATAGGTGACTGATTGATGAGCACTCGATCAACACATCAGCCCGCTGCCGCGGGAAGGAATGTGCATACAAGGAAAGATTGTTGCCGAGTATAAAGGTGGCGAAGGGCTCTTTTCTGATAACGAGGTTCGTTGTATGACAGTTATTCTCTTCTTCGATCCGTTGGAAGCTCTAGAACGCAACTCGACGATCTAGCCTATTGCTTGCATGTCACAAACTTTTTTGTATTTGTGCTGTATAGATTAAAAACAGACTACTACTATCTCGTCCTGACGGAGAACAAAAGCACCCTCCTCCTGCTTCACCTCAAATCAATCAGTTATCACCATCACTAGCCCCCTCATGATCATAAAACACCTCATCTAGAGGATCTTCATCTATAGCTGAATTAGCCATCCTCACCACCTTTTTAACATTGTCAGAAACACGATTCACGTATGCAGACTGTTTTTCTAGCTTGGCGAGACGTCGAGCCGTGTTTGGTGATTCGAATGTAGGTGATTCGTATAGACCAGATCCAGAGAATCCACCATCAAAGATTTTGATTAGGGAAAGACAGAATCGAGGACCGATTTCAGTTAGTGTCATTTTGGCTGATGGGTCTTTTTCCTTGTCATCTACTTTTTCAATGATCTAGTGTAGTTGAGACAAGGGTGTCAGTAGCAATACAATGGAACCTTGTAGTTTTGTTTTGGCTCTCTCCATGCTTACCTGGAAATTCCTAAACCATATACGGCCATCGAGTAAAGAAAAGGACATGACGTGATCAAAGAATGGTTTGGTCTTTCTAGATGTTCTTGGAGTACCAAATATCTATATCGTTAATATTATTAGTATTTGCGCAAAAAAAGGAAAGCTGCATAGAAGCTATACCTGAGTCAAGAGCTCCTTGATCAGGACATATTCGGGCTTGCAATCCATAGCCTTATCAAACGACAGGATTGGACGAGAGCCCTTGAGAGAATTACCCGTCAATTTGAGCTCGTCCATAGTTTGAACTATAAGGGTTGTAGAATGATCAGTTTGTTTATCTCGTACAATCAAATAGCAATAGCCCTGCTTACTATTCTGGACTAGGAACTTGACACTAGGACCGTTAGGAGTCTTTGCCATCCACATATACAAGTCTTGATGTTTACGAGATTCAAAGTAGACACAGTTGTTGCAGTTTGCCAATTCAGATAGTTCGTTGAGCACGTATAGTTTGCTCTTTGAGTCGAGTTTGCTCTCTAATAGATGTGAGAGGATCAGGACGCGTTCAATGATGATCTGCCGACAAGGAAGTATACCTTTCTTGGCATGAGGCATTAGAGAATGTAAATCCATCATCAAGTGTCGGTGCCTAACAAAAAAAAAGTCGAGTTCGACGCAGACCCAATGTAGCCCAGTGATCGGCACGGTACCTGTATATGATTCCTCTAGAAGACAACATCATAACCCTCTGACGATTCGGAGGTGGTGCTGTAGGAGCCGTAGTTGCATCCGTCGTCTTTTTTGTGACTTTAAAGTCGTCTTCCCTAGCCTTTACAGGTTGTCGTGATAAGAAGAGCCCCTTTCTACCACTCATGACGGGTCTGGCAGCACTGGAAGCTATACCATCTTCGATATCTTCTTCGTCTAGCTCATCTTCGAAATCATCTTCATCAAACTCGTCGTCTTCGTCGTCTTCCTCGTCGGATTCTCTGCCTCCTTGACTGGATATGATTTCTACCGAGCGTACTTTGCGGGACATGGAGTGATCAATGTCCTGAGCGTCCTCATCGTCGTCTTCCCGTATGCGTTTCATCGTGCTAGCTTGCTCTTATTCGCTTTTTGGATGTTTTGAGCTTGAAAAAAAAAGTTGAGCTTGGCCTGCGGAAATTCGAGAAGGTGTTTTGGAGCTAGATAATGAAGATCCAATAATTGAATAATTAATTTCATTCAACAGAACGTGTCATGGCGCGAAGAAAGCCTATGCTCCAATGATCGTGCTCATTATAGATCAAACGATTCCAAACCTCATCATTCCTGTCTTTCGACCAAAAGCTTATGGAGAGAGACTGACTACATAACGCCTGGCAGTATATTCCCAAGATGGCTACTTCCTCATCTTGGCTGTCTCCCTTAGCGTTCCTGCCAACATTCCAGATGTTCAAGACTTCAAGTGTCAGCAGAGAAGAGGTTCTAAGGTAGCAATTTAGTTTACTAATTTCATATATGCTATTATCGCCTGCATCGTCCTTGTACGTTGACACTACATGTAACTAACTTGTCTCCTATCAACATTCAGGGAGCAGCTTCGATTAGCTGATAGCTACGAGGAATGGAAGGCTGCTGCTTCTGAATTGGACATCTTACTCGGTATACCACGACATTACCGTTCCAGATACACAGTTCTACAATCCACAAGTCAGAAGACAGATACTGAAACTTTGTCTCAACGTATAGGAAACGACAAATGGGCTCTCGTCCCAGAGTCAAAAGAATATGATCACAGGCTGATTGCCATCCGATTACACGTACTACAGGAAGCTAGAGCTAAAAATGATGTCGATGCCATGATTTATTATCTGAGATCCGGTAACTAAAAGCATTTGCTTGTTGGAGGTAGAAACATGCGGCTTTTTTGCTAATCATCAATCTTTTCATTTTCAAGGTCTCTTGAGAAACCTTGGTGGATTATGTGACGCCAAACTGTTTGGTCGATCTTATCTGGGGTAATTCGTTTAGGTCAAGTCTTGCTGCACGTCTCTCAGTCCCAAGGAATCACTCAATGTCATTCAAATAACCACTTTTAGAACGAAAAAAATCATTGAGCTCTACTTGGATGAAGTCGTTACTCAAATCGAATACATTACCAAAAACGAGTTTCCTGGTGTTTTATCGTACCAAGTCAAACTCGACTTTTTGCATGACACTCGACAAGCATTTGGAAGTACTGCGTTATTATTGGAAGGAGGTGCTTCGTTTGGTATGTTAGACAAGAAAGTAACTCTGTGTGATCATGTCACGCAACGACACGAAATGCCTACCCTTTGCATAATTGATATTTCTAGGCCTCTACCATCTTGGAGTCGTCAAGGCATTAAATGAACATGGGCTACTACCACGAATCATAAGTGGTTCATCTGTTGGAGCATTGATTGCTGCCTTTGTATGTGTCAAATCAGACGCGGAGCTACCTGATATATTTGAGCCTGGTGGAGTCGATTTGAAGGCTTTTTCAAGAAAGGGTAGAAGTGGGAATTTTCAGAGAAAGATTATTCGAATGCTTAAACATGGTAAGCAATGTAGCGAGTTTTTTTTGTTGTCGGAATCCTGATAAATAATGTTGCTTTCGTTTAGGATACTTAATGGATGTCAAAGTGTTGGAAGAGTGTGTGAGGGCGAATGTGGGAGATTTGACCTTCGAGGTTTGCATCATTTGCATTTTCAGTCTTTTGTGTTGGAGACTCAACTCCAACGATTTCTCTTTGCATATCATGTTTAGGAAGCATACAAAAAATCGCATCGCATCCTCAACATTTGCGTGTCCTCGACGAGAACAAATGAGGTGCCTAGTTTGTTGAATTGTAAGTTTGGAAAGAATCAAGCAGTAAAAAAACCGTGGTGTGGTTGCGGTACGACTACGGATGTCTCAAGATCAACTCTCATCTAAAATACAATAGACCTAACTGCTCCTAATGTGCTGATATGGAGCGCGGCGTGCTGCTCAACGGCAGTTACTGGGCTGTACGAAACAGTGGATTTGATGGCGAAAGATAAGGACGGTAGAATATACAAGTTTTCACCATCCAGTAAGTTTACATACAACCTCCACTTTGCGTGCTTTTTTTCTCATACATGAATGGTTCCTTCAATCTTAGCTATCAAGTGGAATGTCGTGTCATCAGTAGCTGGGTAAGTTTTGACAGACTAAATATTCTTTACTTCAGCGGTTTGTTTATGGTTCACTTTAAAACCTTTCATCATTGCAGTGATACCTTATCAGACCTCTTCAATGTGAATCATGTATGTGAATCGGTTGAATAACTATTTCGATGCTTCCCGTTCGATGTTGACAGACTTTTTCTAGTTTATACTTTCGCAAGCAAATCCACATTTGAATGCCTCAAGCAAAAAGGGACCAAAAGCAGTTGAAGAAGGGCTTGGTAACAGACTCTTCTTGTTGATGTTCTCTGAAATAAGGTATCGCCTGTCGCAAGTAGGTTTGTGTTTATGACAAAAAACCGCAAATAATGACGCTCGATGATGTCAACAAGTCGCCAGAGATTCTGAATACGCCTCTCAATAATTAGCTCCTCAAAATTGGATTTCTGCCCAACTTCATGAATGCCTTGTTGGACTCTAGATCTACAGGACACATTACGATAACACCTACGTTGTCATTATCTGTACGTTTCGATTCCAGCGTGCTGAATATGAGCGCTTCCTAACGTGCTTTTTCTCCATGGTAGGATTTTTGGACGTTGTTCAGTAATCCGACATACTCATCCCTGCAATATTGGATTAAGAATGGTGAACAATCTACATGGCCGTATCTGTCGTTTATAAGGAATCGAACAAAGATTGAGTTTGCATTCGAGCAATGTAAGTTGCGTGCTGCGTGATGTGACCAGTTAACAATGTCACTCTTTCAGTAGAAGTTTCGTTTACTCATCCGTCCTTTTCTAGCGTTGCTGATTCTCAAATCTCCTGATCGATTGACACGAGATACTGCCAAGCTGGAAGGCAGGCCTCTCAAAGTTAGGACTAGGACAGTGATGTAGCTCTGTCTTTTGTAATGAAACGTTGTGATCAAGCAACCAAGTTTTTGTACAGTAAGCAATAAATGGTAGCACATTTACAATTTACAGGCAGTTAAGAATAGCGAGGTTGGTCTTGAGTTCGTTTTATAGCTTGGATGTGAAGGTAGTGAAAATTGCAAAAGGTTAACAAAGTCGCATAAATCTTCAACCAAGTAAATAAAGAATTCATCGCTACTTAGAAGCAGTCAGTATGAACGCGTTCTTTGGTAGGCTTCATCAGTTCTCTGGGTTGCTGGTCTTCAGAAAAAACTCAAACACAGCAAGTTGTGTCGCAGCGACGAGGATCAATCCGGATCAATCGCCAGACTTGTGCTATACTGTACATGGACTGTATATCTATAGAATACCATCATTGATCTATCACGAAAGTGCTCCAACAATGAGCAGTCGATCAAACACAAATTACCACACGTCGACAAGTCGAATCAGACGATCCACAAGCATACTACGAAATGATGCCAAAGTATGTCAACTCATATTATACATCGATTTACCGTAATAAGTTTTCATTAACATATCCAACCACTCCAAATTAATCAGGGCATTGAATCAACTGATCGAGATGTGCATTTTAAGGTCTTACTGCACCTATTACGAGCATTGGAACCTGCCACGAGACTGTTTGCATTCAAGAGCTTTGCTCTAATATCTGCGTCAACTATTGTCTCGTCTTGTGATATGGTATGGACCATCGAGTTGGTCAAGAGTTTACATCATGCAACTGTTGCCGAAGAAGTAAGATACAAGATTCTGTGAATTTGTTTCTGCTATTATGTGGCAACAATCACCAGTATTCTAATCCGCTCCTTTTTTTGGCAGAGTATGATGTTACGATGTGCTGCAGCACAAGCATTATCGAATATGGTTGCAGTCATGCTTCAGCCTGGGTTCCCATACTATCATTTGGACGCATCATTTCATGCCGTACTAGATCTATTCCTGTCTCTCTTCCCATCAGAGTTGGGACCACTATTATCCGTCGAATCAACACCATTCGACACATCCCATTATACACCTCCTCATATATTCATGCCACGATTATCTGTATTACAGTCCCTAGCTGCATTTTGGAAGACCGAACCAGCTCAAAGTGTTGAGTTTATTAGTTACATGGACGCATTCACGTCCTCTGTATTATCCAGTACGAGCACAACACATCCATATTTACAGGCTGCTGTATTACGAGTGGTCAATCAGCAACTGCCACAAACTAATCGTAATCGAATCCGTGTTGACAAGTTTATTGCCAAACCTCTGTTTACTATGCTAGAGTCATATCTAGAGGATAAACGGAAGGTTTCATCATCACAGGCCAATAGTAATGCAGAATTAGACAGGTCTGCAGTAAAATCAACAGCACACTTATCATCATCGCGCACACAATCAGTCAGCGTAGATGCAAAAACCGGTCGTGACATACATCCACTGTTATTACACGAACTAGGACGCTATTGGGCTAGATGGTATTCACGACCTTCTGATTCCATATTGGTGAATATTGATCAGTCGCCTGAAGAGATGGCTAGGCTGGGATTCGGATTTAGTATTAAACGATGGCAGTATTTGAAAAGTCTTGGGGTCTTTGAGCAGACTTTTTATAATGAATCTGATGAAGGGAAGGCTGTTGTGAGGAAGGTGAAGGCTCGAGGGCCGTATTATCCTGATGATGTGCCAGATTTGCGGAGTCTTAAATTGGGTATACATGGGTCATGTCTGGTGGTGAGGTCGAGGAAGAGTCGAAAGACAGGTAAGCTCATCATTCTATAGGCTAGAATTAATTTTTTTGCGTTATCTTTATTTCAAATACCATCCTTTTCGACTTCAGGGCCATCTTCTTCAGGAATGGAAACATTGGAACTCACTCTAGATTCCAAATCAAGTGTCGAAGTACCAGATCCAGCAGCTGTATGCTTCAATGTTGATCAAACATCTGTGACACTACTCCGAAACAGTCGAGAAGTCTTTCTACATAATCGATCATTAACCAAGGACGTTGAATTCACACTACAGGCTGTGCCTCAACACCTATTTAAAGCCACACCCATGTTTGGATTGATACCCAGGGGAGAATCATTCCTCATATCTGTAGAATTTTGTCCTAGACCTGATCGTCTGGCACGGAACCTTGATGTGCACGGATTTTTGAGAGTAAGGAATAGCGATGGGTTTGCAATGGATAGGTAAATAATCATCGGTGTCCTTCGGTTTTATGCTGTCACTAGATCGCTAACAATGTCGTACTCATAGATTGAGTCTGAGAGGATTTAATGCACCTGTCATAAAAACGTGGCCTCCTCAGCTTGACTTTGGGTGTTGTCCCAAGGGTGAAGTCCGCACCCTCCCACTATGCTTACAAAACGTATTACCAGTTGAAACCACCATCATTCTCGTAATCGCACCATCATCCTCCAGTGAAGCCTTCACTGTAGTTCAAAGTCAATTTGCACTACAACCACGGGAACGACGTGTAATTCAAGTGAAATTAACGTCTTCCTCGGATAATACCATCAAGGATCGTTTAATAGTAGTAGCAATGGGTGGTGAATTACACGAGATTGTACTATTGGCTGATGGACGAGATGCATTACGTGTCCTCGAAACCGAAATTGATTTTGGCCCGACTGATATATATTATGGTGCTGCCAAGAAACGAATCACGCTGCAAAACAGGGATTTAGCTCGTCCATTACATGTACTTGTTGAATCAAGTACGAATGAGCTGGTATTAAATCACGGTCACACTATAGTTGTGCCTCCTGGTGGCGAAGAACGTGTCGTAGCTGAATTTTTGTCTTGTATGTCTGGACAACGACAAGAGACGTTAACGTTACGTGTGCCTAGCTCTGCTCCCATAAATCTAGAAGTAGTCGCCTTCTCTGGACCAGCACTCTTAATACCGATATTTGAGACGGTCTGTATGCCGATAACACTAGTAGATAGGCCTACCGTAGTCGCCATACCATTAATCAATCTGTCCGCATGGACAATCCAATGCCAAGTAGTTGCACCCAATGCATCACCATTTAAATTCGATGTAGTGGATCGTAATCCTGGAGTCAGTTTCCAAGCCCTTGATGGACAAGCCGTTGGTGCATTCGTAACGTTAGCTCCAAGAGCGGGTTTCCTCTTACAGGTTACATTCACTCCATCGTCACCAGGAACGTATAGATATGCAATGAATACGCAAATGATGAAACCGAGGAAATGGCAATCTTATACGCATCAGTTTGTGGGTGTTGCTGTGACTCCAGATTATATTTCACGAGCAAAACCATTACAGGGACTGCGACGATATTTAGATGCCCCACTTGTTGAAACACCTGCAACAGCTAGTAACATGTCTGGCACTAGTTATGCTCCCACGGCCGATGGTGATTTACTACCTACATCAGTAATATTTGAAGTTGATCCACCGATACAGTCCGTCATTGCTTCAACCCGAACTAATACTTTTGAGGACACGTATCAGTTTGTGTCTATAACAAACCTCACGTCGTCGTCACAAGCATATCATCTGGTTTTGTCATATCCGTTTATGACGGATGTACCTTTGGATGGTATATTAGAAGCAGCAGTAACCGCTGAAATTCCAATACGTATACACGAACGATTCGAACGTGAAACCAACCCAGAGACTCGTCATTATACCATATTTGGAACACTAGCAATATTCGATGACAATTTTCATGGTCCTGGAATGGTGTCTGTAGGTCTTCAAGGTGTATTTGGCGACCTCTTGAAAATGGAGTTACGTGAAGGTGCCGAAACTATAAAGTTCCCCAATTCCAAACCCATGCATAAAGCCATACGTAAACTGATTATTCGTAACAAGGCGAACTTTGAAGTCGCTTGGGAAGCTCGTGTTACTGCCATAGGTCAAAAGGGTATTGGGTTAGCTGCTGATGGGTTTCCTTTGATTGTGCCGTCTTCTATGGGATCTGAATGGTGTCCCTTTGGATTGTCAAGTGCTAGGGTTACGCTGAAGCCGTTTGAATGTACATCTGTTGATGTGTATATTCAGTCTTCCACCTCGTCTGATCATCGAGCACGGATCTTTCCAGAGTATATTGATCCTGTTGCTCATGTGAGTTATGTCTACGATTGATTTCATGGAATTGCATTATTCTCTCGCTTTTCCAGACCTTTTGACTGATGCTACAACCAATAACTTTAGGTTGTGAATGGTGACACTCAGCGAGGAAAGACTCGTCGATCCCTGGCACCTTTTACAGTCGAATGCACAGTCGGTGCACCAGAATTAGCAACCTCCCCCGACTCATTTGATTTCGGAGATGTGGTTGTTGGTCGCCAAGCCGTCAGAACTTTGGCGGTACTAAATACTCAGCCATTTGAGATAACAGCTACTTTAATAATTCCACATCCCTTCCATGCTTCTCAAATGACTGTAGTCGTGCCTAGAAACTCTCGGGCCGAGGTGTCTATAATATTTGAGCCTACCAAAGCTGGACAGTATTGTCTCGTCATTCATGTCATGTCGAGCCATGCCAGTCGAAGTATACCCGTAATGGCTAGAAGCGGTATCTCATCATTGAACTGTGATTTGGTTGTAATGCAGGCTCTGCCTTCTCCAATACCAGCTCCGTCAATAACCTCACATTTAGGACAATTTCCATCGAATGTGTCGATTCCTCGAGGGCCACCTATCTTTGGAACACCGCTATCACATCAGGATGCACCATCCCAAGCTGGATTGCATGCATCCCGTACTTCTCACTTTCATTTAGCGCCGCAATCATCACATGTAGGTGGAATCGCAGCTAGCCGTCGTGGATCTATGATGCTTCATGGATCTCAGAACGAAGAATTGCAAACGACATTTGTACCAGTCCCGATAATTGATACTGTTGTCAAGGATGAAAAGTCAATATTAGATTTGGGTATAGTCGAGTTAGGCAGCACGATTACCAAAACCTTGACATTCCGAAATAATGGCAATTTCGATTACCAGATCAAAGAGATTCGAGTTACCGCTGATTCGGCTATAACATGGAAGATCATAAATGATGATCTTGAAGACTCGACGATTTTGACTCTCCCGTCGAAAGATGTTGTAAAATTTGGTGAGGAGCCAATGGATGCCATGGAAATTGATTGGGATGAAGCTGAATACCGTGCTCATCAACAGCAACGACAAGCTGCTTTGGACGCTAAGGGGGCAACTCAATCTACGGATCCAAAGAATCTGAGACGTCGTGTTGGTGGTAAACTGAAAATGCCGGCAATAGCGGCAAGTAGTGCTATGTCGGCTGCTGCCGCTGCTATTGCAACAGTCGCTCCCCATGCCAATGGGTTACCGTTGAGGTTGGCCCCTTCGCAGTATGTCATGTGTATATTTACTTTCAGTTCCTCTCACTTGGTATGCTTTTATATTCTGTTGGCTTTTCCCCCCTTTGACGATACCCAAATTCAGATGAACTCTGAGTATGATTTGGTTATTTAGGGAAATGTGACGAATCATGTTCAAGTCGAGGTTGAACGTATTGGATCGATTGAAGTTGATTCGTACGCTTTTTGGATGAGTGCAATGGTTCAACCGCCACTCAAAGTACGAGATAAACGTGTCGAGTTTGGAATAAGACATGTTCATGATGTCCATGTGAGTGACTCTTGTTGTTTTCTCGTTGTTTCTGGTTCGATGCTTCAACATTTTTTGCTGTAGAAAACACATTTGCTATTCTCAAATACTGGTGACTTGCCAGTATCATGGGATCTGAGCATGGATCAAATCGAGCATGTAGCACTGACAAAATACGAAACTCAGCACATGTCATCCATGGATTTAACAACCATTCCAGCACCCTTCTCTGTATTCCCGAATTCTGGAACTTTGCCTCCTAAATGCACTCAAAGTGTTGATGTGTATTTCAATCCCAGTGCTCCTCAACACGAAGTATGGGGCCATTATACACTTCATGCTGGTAACTTGACACCATGCAAAATCACCGTTCATGGTGTTGGTGCTAGCAGCGTGTTTGTGGCAGACGCCAATATAATTGATTTCGATATAATTCGAGTCGGGATGACGAAAGCCATGAAGGTTCGAATCCGAAATCGTGGGATTCTACAATCTCGCTTTTTCGTTGAATGTAATAATGATCGATATATGGCTGATCCTGAAGAGGGAACTCTTGAAGCAGATGGAACTATAGAATTGAGTATTAAATTCACACCTAGAAACCCAAAAGAAGAACGAGCCTTCATCAAGATATCTCCTAGATCCGATATTGAGCATCTGACTGATGCTCTTATAGTTGAGGTAGTAGGAACGGGCAGCTATCCTGAGATATTTGTCTTGACACGAACAGTAGACTTTGCTGTCGCTCTATTTGGACAAGCTAATACTCGACCCATCACTATTGAGAATCGAGGATCGGCCGAAGCGTCATTGACCTTCACATGTCATCACCGCGCAATACAATTGCGTGCTGATGGTAGTGAGCCAAATGATGAAGTCATCTTACCACCAAAGTCGATTAGAGATATAGATGTAGTGTATACTCCCACTGCCGTCGAAACACTCAATGCCAAAGTATTTTTAAAATCATCTGATAGTCGTGGTGATTTCTTCATGGTAGCCTTGAAGGGTACAGTCGGTATCCCTCGTCTGACCTTTGATCCACCAGATGCACTGGAAAGTCTCGACTTTGGAGTCTGTCTCGTGCATCGAACGTATAAAAAGACTTTCAAGTTGCATAATATCGGTAATATCAACTTGTCGTGTACTGTGGGTATAGAATCCAAGACCCCCATACCGGAATCGGATCGAGATGTCATTCAAGTCGAATTATCATCTGGTGTTGTCGCTGTTGGGGCCACTGTGGATGTCATCATAACATTTAAACCCACTCGGGTTGCTGATTATACACAGTCGTTACGAGTCAATTATGATTTCCGAAGTATACTGGTACCTGTAAAAGGATGTGGTGGTAAATCTATGCTGCATATTGACTCGCCGTTACGATCACTGGATTTCGGGATTTGTAGATTACGAAGGGTGTTCCGTAAAAGCATAACTGTCTCGAATCGAGGAAATCTGGCAGCCATGTATCATGTTAGACCAGAACCAGCTGATCGAGATTGGAAACAAGTCGAAGCTTCATTTGTCGACGAAGAAGCAGCTGCAGCTGTAGCAGGTTCCGCGCCATCATCAGATGCTTGGGTTGAACAACTGGCTGCAGCAGGATATCGAGTTATAAATGCTGATGTTCTTGCTTCTCCATCCTCGAAAGTGGATGTAGTTATAGAATTCCGGCCGTCTGCTCTAGCGCCGTACACTTCTAGGATACGGGTTTACGTTCGTGATCAATACGAAGAGTTTGATATTCGAGGTCGCGGAGCTGAACCTCTTCTGCAATTACTTGATGCTGATGGACTGGCTCTTGAAGAATTTGATTCTCTCAAGCCGTTAGAATTAGGTGTACATCCAGTCAATGCTGATTTTATTAAGACCTTTCAACTCAAGAATGAAGGACCATTTCCAATCGATTACTTACTTCAGCCTAGTAGTATACGAGAATTTGATATACATCCACAACGTGGTATAATTGCCGCTGATTCTACATCGCTGTTGCACCTGGTATTTAGACCCACCACCGAAAACCGATTCCGTGTATATGTAAAAGTAATGTGGGAAAAAGATCCTTTGAAGCTCATTGTTACTGGACAAGGTGGTATAGGTAAACTTGAAGTCAATATGCCGGATGAGAAGGATGCTCGCGCTGGAGGTCTGGACTTTGGAATTGTACCGTTTGGAGTAACAGTTGAGAAACGATTCTATCTGCTCAATGTTGGATTGGTGCCTAATTCCATACATGCCAATGTGGATAATCGAGATTTCGCTATCGCGCAAATGGCTGAACCATTCCTTCACAGGATGACCAGTGGTCAACCATTAAAACCGCCCATGAATAAACGATCAACTTGGAATTGGGTTTCTGAGTTCAGAATGATCTTAGCGCCAGGTATGGCTGTTGAAATCGGTGCTCAATTTGCTGCCAGAGCTGCATCAGCCGTCACCGCCACAATCCAAATACAGTCTGAAAATAGTAGTAATAATCCAGTAGTCGGATTACGTGGCAAAGGCGGCACCATATCTATAAGTCATATCGGAGATTTGTCCTTTGGAGAAGTTGCCAGTTGTTATACCTATACTCGTAAATTGACAATCCAGAACGCAGGGTCGATTGCAACACCGATTACACTTGATTGGGCTATAGTAGGACATTCATCAGAAGCACGAGCTGCGTTTATACCATTATCAGAGACTTTTATATCATCTGACCCTCGATCTGGATGGGCTCGAATACAGTATCTGAAGGATCGAGGAGTATCGGCTGCCGATGTGCCCAAATATAAAATGTCAAGTGATGATCTTTGGGGTCTCATTCGAAAAATGGTCTGTAGGTTAGAAAATCCAGAAACACTACGACCATGGCAGTCTCGTCAGAGTGTTAGTACTCGTAGACAGAGTTTATGGGGTAATACCATTAATCGCATCCATAACTACCTTCATGACGATGAAGGCGATACTTCCGAAACGCCAGCAATATTACGATCAGTTGCAGATGTAAATGCTTTCTCGGACCAGAGACAAATGTCTGAGATACCACGAGGCATGTCAATTATACAGCCATTCGCGATATCTTCAGAAGATCGAGATAATCCTGGAGCGGATGATGTCAATAGTAGTCGTATGAGTATAAGTGGACGAACGGCATCAGTTCCTAAGAAACGAATTTTGAAGAGTCAAGCTGCATTCGTCAGAAGGCGGCAAATGTTTTTTCATCTCATCACAAATCAACCCATGTCTAGTCAAGTATCGGCAGTAGTCAAACCATATATAAAAGTAGAACCAGCCACCACAATGCTGCCTAGCTTTGGAGAGGTGTCCATAACTGTAGAAATCAATCTGGCATCTGAAGATAGTTTTATGGCCACGTTAAATATTCGACCAGCTATAGCTTCATTTTTGCATGAAATTGCATTGGCGGCTACACCACGTAGTGTACTCGTCCATTGTAATGACTCTAGCCCGCTCAACTTTTACCGTCAACCACTTGGACAACCTGAAATCATTAGTAGAACTTTTACCAATGTGGGACATAAAGCTTTCTCCTATTTTATACACAATCCAGTTGCTAGCTTATCAGTCATGCCTACTCGTGGTGCTTTGAAAGCAGGCCAATCTGTAATAGTTGACTTCACTTTCAAGGCTGCTGAAGAAGCCATGCAAACAGGGGATGTTATATTTGAACCTGATTGCTCTCAGCCTATACGACTCAAGACCTCGGGAGGTGGTGGAGTCGCCAGAGCTTCCTTATCCAAATACCGTAGATTTGATTTTGGCCATTGTATGATTGGTAAAAATACGGTTTCGTATTTGCCTATTACTAATGAGGGTAACGCCATGCTACATTTGACTCGGTTTGAGTTGTTTGATAATGATACATTCACGCGCGGAAAGGACTGGCCGACGACAAGGTAGTTTTGGAGTGTGTTACCATTGAACTCTCTTTTAACACCTTTTTTGCATTTCAAAAGAGTGTCGCTATTCCCTGGCAAGACGTTTAATTTAGCCGTTGTGTTTACACCGTCTGAAGACTCGCCACCACCTGGTCGCTTAATAATTGGGACGATTAGTGAAAACTGGGATGTCGAACTGGCCGGTCAAGGTCGTGAAGCTGTCCTTATTATATCTAGGATGTCACTCGAGTTTTCTGAAGCTCTAGTTGGCAATTCGTACGAGCAGAAACTAGCTCTCAAGAATGTAGGGGAGGTCAACTATCCCGTCTCATTCAAGCTCGAAAAGGATTTCCCCGATATAGAATTCAACCCACCAGCATTTGTATTGCATCCATTCTCGGATAGTCACGTCGGTGTAGTTTATACTCCTTCACGAGAGACTAGGCAGACTGTGACTATGATTGTTTCGTCACCATATTCTACTCATAAAGTGCCACTCAGTTTGCACGCTGGAACCGTCATGGTCGACTTTAGTTGTCGTGAACTTGATTTTGGCATGTTTGAAAAGACGACATCACCAACCATAAATTTTTCACTTAAAAATACTGGCAGTGTACGAACCTCATATAGTGTACGTGACGTAATGAAACCGTCCATGTTTCATATAACAGGTGGTAAAGGAATGCTGGCACCAGGCAAATCAGCAGAAGTGCAAGTCACTCATACACGGCATCAAGTTGGCCAATTCGCTGAACGATTGATGGTCAAGACTGATTTGATTGATAAACCCAACTATCTCAAAGTCAGCGGACAGTGTGAAGAAGCTGTATTAAAACCTGAAGAGTTTGCTGTGCTGAATATGGGTACGTGTCCAGTCTTGGAGACCACCGTTAAAATATTATCGTTTACGAATTATGGTAAATACCCCTTGGAATATACCATCAAAACCGCCTACCCATTAAAAGCCTCGCCTACTTCTGGATATGTGATTGGAAACGAGACTGCAAAAGTCGCCGTAGCATGGTGTCCATCTGGTGGATATGAATTACGAACACAATTACAAATCGAAACCAATATTGGATCATTTGGAGTCAGTGTACGTGGTAAAGCAGCATTGCCAGAATTAGTCTTGTCAACCACATATATAGATTTTGGGGTTGGTGCTGTTGGGACAGTGTATCGAGAGACTCTTGAGATCAGTAACAAGGGTAAAGTCGGATTTACCTTTAATATTCCACCCATTCGAGATCCCGCATATTCTGTTTCTCTAAACAGTGCGGCTGTGATACCAAAGAAGTCGATTGTGCTGGACGTTGAATTCAAACCTCAAGTTCCTGGTCGAGTTGGAAGTAGTTTTATGGTGGAATGTGCTGGTATTAACTATAAAGAAGTGGTACTGATCGGTGTTGGAGGGTTGATGAAGCTTGATATATCACCCCCTATCATTAATCTTGGTAAGAAATGCTGTGGCAGCTCATTAGATGTCTTTTTTCGGTATTTGACTCATAATCTATTATGTAGGTCGATGCCCATATGACGAGGTTGTACATCGAGAAATCACATTTACTAATGTCGGTGAAGTGTCATTAGCCATACGCTCCAAGGGGACATCCATCGATGTGTGTGAAGTGGCGTGCCCGGAAGTTGTGCTAGTTAAAGCTGGCAGTCGTGTTCGAACAGTTTATGGAATCACTTGCAAGACGGTTGGAAGCTTTCAGTCTGTTATTCAGCTTCTTACAAAGGAAGGTAAAATGGCCATTCCCATACATGGTATGTACGCTTCGAGGGCTGTTTCTGTGTGTGTTTCGTTAATATGTCGATTTGTTTGTAGGTGTTGGTGTAAGAATATCCCTCTCCGAGCGTGCCAAGGATGTGTTAGAGAATGAGAGGCTGCTGACGGTATATAGTCTTATGAACCGCCCCTTTTGAACCGCATTCTCAAAGCCCTGCTTGTACCGACTCAACAGTGATTTCTTTAGGTCCAGAAACCTAGTCCTTTCGCCATTGAGTTACCACTGCCATCTGAGCTGGAAGGTTGGCTCAAGGCTGACAGTCGTCTGATTCGGCTCGACCTTGCCATTACATCTCTGGTATCTCAAGTCATGCAACAGAACTTACTGCCGCCATCATCGTCGACCGATAAAGAAGGTGTTGCGGCTGGCACAAAACCAGCAGATCTTCCTCCTCCGGCAACAGCGACGTCGAATGAATCTTTATCTAGCTCTGAGGACAGCGGCACATCGGCATCCAATTCTAAAGAATCTCTACAAGATATACAGTCGAAAGACTACCCCACATCAGTGGCAATTCGCAAAGATATTCAAGAGATCTTGGTGCAGTTTGTCAAGAAGGAATCGGATTTAGAAGCTAGCGACATGTCTAGAGTCATACAGAAGGTGAGAGAATTGATGTTACAGACTTTTCTGGTGCACCAAAAATCGAGGTGAGAAGTTTGGGAGAATAACGTGAATCTCAAACTCTCCCTCCTCGCTGTAGTTTTGGCGTCTCAAATCAGACGAGCATCTCCAAATAGAACCAGATTTTGAAGATTTTGCGGCTTACGAGCTGTCTCAATATCAGTACGTTGCCGAAGAAATCGATGCTAGTGATATCTTGAGGCCTGTTGAGCCACGAACCATTATATCTCTTGATCCAATGTTGGTTCGACCACCACCGTTCTTGCATGATGATACGGTATGTGGAATTTGTGATGATGTATGTCCTTGTTTTGTATTGCTGATGGATTTGCCTGTACACTTTGTAGGTGCTTGCTCGAGAAGGAGGCAAATCCAAAAAGTATTCTGATCAATTCAGTCCCCTGAAACGGTCGGATAGAAATGCAAAGACAGTAGACTTTTATACCAAGTAGCTATGTAGATATCTTGTAAATCTCTCTCTGTAAATGCAAAGATTTCTCGGCATTCGAGTCGTTGCTCCGTCTTCTATTCCCAGCCTTCCAAGAAACAAGTGATACTTGAGACAGTAAAATGTGTTGATGGAATGATTTATTTTTAGTTCGCTTTGTTTTAATAACTACTTAGATTGTCTTCTGCTCTTATGTGGAGCGGTTTCTCTTCTTGAGGGCAGCAGGAATGGTGACCATTTGATCGAAAGCTTCCTTTGAAGACATTTCGTTTTCCAATTGTTGCATCAGTGGTCTGAGATATGGAACGTCCTAATTGGCGCAAAGGGGCAAAAATGAGTAAATACACACTAGTTGTACTCAATTTGACGACTGTGATTGCAAAAGACAGATGATATTTCATATAGTAACGGCAATCAGTAGTTGAGCAATCAGCACAAAATATGTAACTCCAACAAGATCCCTAATGACCCTGCTGATTCATACCTCTTCAGGTTTAGTCCATTCAGCAGCATCCAATGTGTTTTGAGCATTCGACAGAGCAAAAGCTCTCTTGAATCGGAAGTGTCGATCTTGGAATTCCTTTGGAGGCAATCGACGAAGTGCTTCTTGCACAACCTCAGTCTCGTCGGGTATCAAGTCGTCATAACGTAATCCTGTATGAATTCGGGTATAATCGTAAGAGGGTTTGGTTGAATGGTCGTTCTATAGCACATTTCAAAATGTGATGCAGTTTCTCCAAATGTCGATAATGGTACAAGTCCCAATAGGCAAGCAATACAGATGATGCCAGCTAGAATATTTATATACAGTCCATGCGATTATTTGCTTCTTACCCATTTGTCGGTATCCCATTTGGTTGCGATACCAGTTTGCCAAATTCTGCCAAAAAAGTGAAAAGTTGTTTTAGGAAACGAATGTGAGCTGAATAAGGGCGAGTAAGTTGATGGTAGTTACCCTGGCGCCGGGCCCTTCTTTGAGCTTACGGAATGTGGCCAAGAATGCAGTTGCCATCTTGTTTAAATCTGATGCAAAACAAGTTACAAAATCGTGCGGTGTGAGAGTGTTAGGAGATGCAGCTAACTACGCTAAGAACGTTCGTTTTACGTGTAATCAAGCAAGTTACTAACAACTGAAACGCATCTGCTATGGATATGATGATGCTTTTGTAATAATAGACATAGAGTATACATCGCGAGAGCCGCGTTCATAAATGGCGAGTTTCACCATTCAGCATTTCAGCATTCACTCTTCCTTTTCTTGTTCTGGTTCAGGTAGCTTGACACGAAGGGATGTGGCTCTTGCACATAGGTATGCTCCAACAACATTCGAGAAGACAGCAAATACGACCAAAGCAGCTAAAGAACCGATCAGAGACGAGCCATCATATCCGTAGAATTTGATGACTTGTTGTCCTGTAGCCAAGCATGAGCCAACGGGAGGGCATGAAAACTCGAGTCCTATTGTTCGAATGGCGTTAGTCTGGCGAACACCTCACTGACGAGAGGAAACCCATAATCAACTTGCCGTCAAATTCGTTTTGACTCCACGTGTTGATGATATAGAACAATGGGTTGATGAAAGGGCTAAAGCGGAGTTTGCGTCAGGCGATCTATACCAAAGGGCAAGCTTGTCCGCGATGCAACTTACATCCAGCTTATGAATCCAGGCATGGCCGATTGGGTAATGAGCACTCCAGAAAAGAGAGAGGCCACAAAGCTGATCATTGCAATGAAGGTGCCAACCACGCTGGGATCGGCAAAGGCAGCTACGATTGTGCCGACGCCATTACCACAGATGACTCCCAATGTTCCAATGATGTAAAAGATAGCAATCTTGTAGGCGCTAGCATTCAAACCCGTTCTAGAGATTCAAGTAAGTGAGTAACGAGAACAAAATCAACAAGCAAATCCAACACACTTACAGAACGTAGATGATACCAAACAGAACAGCACCCTGCAATGTTGGACCCAATAATGAGACAAAGAGACGTGCCGGATAGAATTCTTGGAATGTATAAACATTGTTGAGCCTTTCTCGCAAGATGACGGGCCTTGTTTCTGATTCAGTGGGTGATAATATCACGTTAGGCAAACAAAAGACCGAGTTTTGATAACTTCAGACCCACCAATGGTTGTTCTAACAACATTAACAGTTCCAGCAGCAAATCGTTCCAGTGCAATATTGTAGAGCAACCCAATACGAGATCGAATACCAGCTTGAGTCAATGGCATCTTGAACAAAAGCCAACCATACAAAAAGCAGAGTAATGCCACATGTGCAACAATCGTAATCAAATAGGGGGTGTCTATGAAGAACAGCCTCAATTCCCGGTGCAGAAGAATGCCAGCTCTTTTGAGATAATTCTTCCATGCAAACGGTTGAATCATCGAAGCAGAATCGTTTTCAGGAGGTAGAACTTTGTATCGGAAGGGAGGATAGATAAATGCTTCCTGTTTCCTCCATCCCTCCGTCAATGCGGCAATGTGTTTCATGGAGTCTGCATGTAGCTCAGCATTGGCCATATGTAACGTCGACATGTCAACAATATAATCGGCTGGATTTTCGTTGATTGGGAGTGGGTATCCAATACTAAGGAAATGCATATACGCTTCCTCTAACGTTCCTGAAAATGTCGTCATGCCATTCGACATGAATATAATGCGATCAAACATGTTGAGAATCTCTTGTCTCGGCTGATGAATCGTCATGACAACACTCGAACGAGTCTTTTTACAATCTTTCGCCATGATCTCAACCACTTGGAAAGCATGTGAAGCATCCAGTTTCGAGGTAGGCTCGTCCAAAAACAAAATAGAGGGATGGGAGAGTAGTTCCTGACCAATGGCGCATCGTTTCTTTTCTCCATTGGAGACACCACGACTATTAAGACCACCGAGGCGTTGATTTGCGCATAAACTGAGACCAAGACGCTTGATGACGGATTCAACACGTTCCAGTTTTTCCTTGTAGGTCATACTGTCTGACAGCTTGAGGAGTGCTGTATAAGTCTAGAACAAACAATGAGAGGGTCAATCAAAGTGTTATCGTGGGATCAAAAAGTTTCGTAATTTCTCACGAGTGTTTGTCGAACGGTTAGGGACTCAAATACACAGTCTTCAGCCTGCACAAAGCCCTAGTTGAATTGGATAAATTAATCCTTAAAACGAAGTAATCATACAAACAAAAAGCATGTTACTTACAATCTGACTAGACCATGTGCGCGGATTGCGAGCTCTTCCATTGATTCGAATATCTCCAGTGGTGACACCAGCCGTAATCCTAGACGCCAATACGTTCAAGAGTGTTGTCTCTATTGAAAGAAAAATGATTAATACAAGGAAGTACAGTTGAGATTTTCTTTGATCAAACTCACTTCCTGCTCCTGATCCTCCAATGATTGCCACGAATTCTATTTGCGAAACGTGTTAAGAATTTTGGCCCAAGCTGCAAACATGTTTTCATTGTTTTCGCTTACCGCCAGGCTTGATTTCACCAGAAACTCCACGAAGAATTTGACGAGTGGTACCAGCCGACACTTTATATTTAACATCTCTCCATTCCAGGCGGAGACTACGCTGCGGGACAAATTCTGACGATCTAGATGAAATCCTGAAGCATGATGGTCCTTCGTCGTAAGCAGAATTATAAAAGACTTCCTCATACGTCAAGTCATCGTCCTTTTTGTATGGACTATACGGAGATACCAATGGCGATACGAGGGTTAATATAGGTGATATGGGAGATACCATTGAGAAAAGGGTCGACACGGTACTGTGTCTATAAGTGTCAATGCCTTTGTTCATTTGCATCAATGGTATAAACGTGGTTGTGTCGGTTTGAGTTGCAGGCTTTCTATTTGTAATCACTGGTCGCGCTTTGGTGCTTGTCTTCAATGCCAACATCAAAGCAGCCATTTCGAAAAAGGCTGTACCAAAGATTCCTGCGACTATGGCTGCATTTGCCCAAAAGTCGATTTCTCCAAAACCGTAGGAACTGACGACTTGTTCTCCAGTTTGGAAGCAATTTGTGGCGTCAGCGTTGCAACTGAAGTTTAGTCCATTTAATTCGTTCGTGGATAAGGCTGACATGATATAAGCACTTGGAGTAATGTAATGTCTATAGCGGATGAGCGAGAGTCAGCGAGTCAGCAATGTGTGAATTCTCTGTACTACTTTCACCGCAGTATAATTTACTTACAACCAAAAAAGTGCCCGAGGCATTTCACTGACCAAAATCAAGAATCCCGTAAATTGATTTGAAACTAAATGAAGGTAATATTGAGAAAGGACAGGTGTGTTTGAAAATCGCAAACGACTAGACACATACATGCGGCAATGAACGCCGTAATGAATTGTGCTTGAGTGCTGTCAGTAGCAAGCACACTGACAAAGAATCCAAATGCACATCCGGAAAGAGAAGCGAGGATGTTCATAATCAAGAAACCAATAAACCTATCAGGTTGTAGGCCGACCATATAGTATATCGTAAATGTCATCATAAGGCATTGTGACATAGGGATTATGGCGCTGACAAGAAATTTGGCCACATAGTATTCATAAATATTGAAGAAATTCTTGACACGTTCTCGAGCAATCAAGGGCTTTAGGTCGGGAAGGATTTGAGCAATGTAAAAGGCTGGCATCAAGAATCGTGATCCAGAAATACCGAAAAGCAAACCAAGTCTCGAGTTCAAGCTGTTCTGATCGAGTAACAGCTTTATATAAACAAGGCCGAGTAAAATGCTAGACACCAGTGTGATGAACAAAGTCATGAAGGTGGCACGGCGATCTCGACCAAACATGACCAATTCTCGATGAAGGAGGGTCGTGACTCGTTTGAGGAATGTTTGGATTGTATATATTGGTTTGTTGTGAGTCTCGAGTTTCAAGGTTCGAGAATGGAAGGGTGGAAACAGAGATGGTTCTTGTACTTTCCAGGATTCGATCAGCAGTTTGACTCGGCGTGCACTTGTTCCAGATTCTTCGATTGACTCTGGCCGAATTGACGAAAGCTCGACCAGGTAATCCGCTAACATTAAAGACCGTGAGTATTAGATTACAGTTTGACAGGTGTGTTGCGGACTTGGAAATTTCTAACCTGGATTTCGGGTTGCAGGGATCGGATGGCCAATAGATGCAAAATAGGTATAAGCTTCAGACAACGAGCCGCAGAATGTCAAAGAGCCAGAGTTCGACATGATATAAATCAGATTAAACATTTCAAGAATTTCTTTGCGTGGTTGGTGTAGGCACATAATGGTTGTGGTATTCGTTCTCAAAGAGTCTCTCTTGACGATTCCCACAACTTCTTGCGCCCAGAATGCATCGAGCCCACTTGTAGGCTCATCTGTGCGGATGTGAGAAATTAGATCAATGTGTTGAGGTTCTGCGCAAAGAAACACAGTGATGTGTTATACCAAGAAAGAGAAGTTTGGGATGACTGAGAAGTTCTACCCCGATAGCGACCCTTCGCCTTTCTCCAGTGGAAATGGAACGGAAGAGGTTCCCACCGATAATTGAATCAGCACATTCAAGCAGACCAAGTCGACTAATGACAGAGTCTACTCGGGAACGCTTCTCGTTGTATGTCATTGTCTGTGGCAATTTGAGCTTTGCAGCGTACATCTAAAAACAAAATCGTTAGATAATTATCATGGTTATAGGAAACCAAAACAGTCTTACCAATGTTTCCCTAACAGTCAATTGTTCATACATCAAGTCATCAGACTCGACGAATCCGATTTCAGAATAAAAAAGTGCTGATCGCTCCTTCCCATCTACGCGAATTTCACCAGTAATGCGTCCCGTATAGATGCGATTGGCCAGAATATTGAGAAGCGTTGTCTCTGGATGAAGTTTAGTGAGGAAAACATTAGCAGCTCACAGAAATCACATGAAGCTCGGACAAAAGAGTTCACAGAGAGGGGAGGAGGAAAATACATCTACGGCAAATAATGACTTACTGCCACTTCCCGAGCCTCCCAGAAGGCAGACAAACTGTCCGGACGCAATCGACCCATTTAGCCCCTAGAAGAGCATTCAAGTTTAGAGCTCAACCCCACTTGAATTGATTCCAAAAGCACTTGCATTTAGGATTCGCCTAGTCTTGCCATTTGAGGTAATTCGATATTTAATATCACGAAACTCAAGGGCTGATCCAAGTGGTCGAGCGATTGTGGCAGCTGAGCTTCGATGAGATTGAGCACGACATATCGAATCTGCCATTGGTTTTGGACTAGTCTCTTGGACTTGGAGGATATCCGTATCCAGTGTCCCGTAAAAATGAAGATGGGTAGTCGGTTAGAAATCTCGGAAAATTTCTGAGGTTCGGGAGCGTTCAGATTGTTTCGTCACTACTTTTGGTTGATAGTATTGCTTGAATCTTGACACAGTTGCAGTCGCTCCGTGCAGATGCCTAATGGGCGGCTGTCCTGAAAATGAATGCAATTGATTTCCGTTCGGAAAACCACACCTTTTATGATGTCAATAGAGTAGCTAAGCATCTCAAGCCGTGTATAAAGCTTCAATAAAGATATCTCGAGACGTGAAACACGAAAGGAGTAAGGAACTGTTGCTTCTTGTTGGGGTTTGTGCTGTTGGTCAAACAAAAAGGAAGAAAACGCACAAAAAAAGCACGAGTGAAGTTATTCCAACAGATTGAGAGCTCATTGCCAATTATAACACGCGATTCTATAGTCGCGTTTCCTTCTCTTCTCTCCAAATCTCCACTCTCTTGCGCCTACTGTTGACAAAAACACTTTCAAAAATCCACACTTCCCAACATTCACAATAATTTAAATATTTTACGGCATGGAAAACGAAAACACCCGTGTCACTAATGGTACTGGAACCGCAGACGTTCCTACCAGTAAGTTCCATCTATTTGCATCTCCTTTAAGATTGAGTTGTGTGTGTTGATCAATTTATTGAATTCAAATTCATTCACCCCTGTGCCTTAGAACTAGAAGATAGAATGGATGTAGATGTGCCAGAAAATGGTACTTCTCATACTGATATAAAGCCAGACCCTGGATCTGAAAGTGATGCCAGCTCTGATGTCCCTCTCACTCGACGCCGGTCAACATCAAACAAGAAGAGGGCCATCCCTGCTGACTCGGACGTTGATGAACAAGATCAGTCTGATGATGAAGCAGATGACGAAGGTGATGATGATTATGATCATGCTACTAGTAAAGGAAAGCCATCAAAGGCTGCGCCAAGGTCCAAGTCGCCAGCTGCAAACCCAACGACGTCTGCCAAACGGCGAAAGGACGATGATTCATCTGCTGTTGATTCTTCTGAAGAAGACATTCCCTTGGTAATTTATTGCTGCGTTCGATCTACTTGATTTGATCAAATTTATTATGCAAAGAATCTAACATGCTCATACAGGCACAACGCCAAAAAGCTGTCAATGGAAAGCAGAATGGAGGTACTCGGAAAGCTGCGAATGGTGCTGCTAAGAAAGCAACACCCAAAGCTAAACCTAAACCGAAGCCTAAGAAGAAGGTGTGTTGTAGTTTGGTTACGACACGTACACTTCTCCTGACCGTTCATCTCAACACTGAAATCCTCTTTGTAATAGGCCCGAGTAGCATCTTCCGATGAAGAAGAAGATGCTAGCGCAAGTGCCAGTGATGCAGAAGATTCACCTGCTTCCACCAGGGCACCGGTAAAACGTAAACGTACCACCAAGCAAAAGGCATCAGACTCTGGTTCCAGTAGTGATATTCCTTTGGCCAGTGTAAAGAAACAAAAGAAGGGTCCTGCTGCTTCTGACAAGAAGGGCAAGACTCCAGTCAAAGACGAACTTGGTGTCGATCCTTCTAGTAGTGCTTCTCCTAAAAAAAGTCGTAAGAAAAAGGAGGAGGATGAAGATGAAGATCAGTTCAAATGGTGGGAACAAGAGAACGCTACTGGTGATGGGTCTGTCAAATGGACTACACTAGAACATAATGGTGTTCTATTCCCACCTCCTTACGAGCCTCATGGTGTAAAAATGCTGTATGATGGAAAGGAGGTAGAACTGGAACCTGATGCTGAAGAGCCAGCTACTTGGTACGCTGCTGTCGTCGGTTCTGTATGGGATGAAAATCCACGATTCCGTGAAAACTTTTTCCGTGACTGGAAAGAGTTACTCAACAATCAAGCCAAGGTATGACTTGTCTCATCTATGGTTTGATGATGTTTTATGGTGTGAGCAAGGCCACGATCATATCAGAAATTGACTGATCTCTTATGAATCTCCCAATTTAATAGCCATGTCCAATCAAAGTATTAGACAAATGCAACTTTGGCCCAATTACTGAACATCTGAACAAACTGAAAGAGCAAAGGCAGAATCGTAGTAAAGAAGAGAAGCAAAAGGAAAAGGACGCCAAAGCTGAAATCGAAAAGCAATATGGTTTTGCATTGCTTGATGGACGGAAGGAGAAGATTGGTAACTTTCGTATTGAACCCCCTGGCCTGTTTCGTGGACGTGGTGAACATCCCAAGACTGGTTCTATCAAGGTTAAAAGATGGACACATAGTACAGTTTTATGCATTTGCTAACCACAATCCCACTTTTCAGCCTCGTATTACAGCTGAGAATGTGACGCTCAATCTCGGTGAAGATGCTCCAGTACCTCCTGCTCCACCAGGTCAGAAATGGGCCAAGGTGGTGCACGACAACACCAAAACTTGGTTGGCTAGTTGGAAGGACTTTGTTAATGATCATCCCAAATATGTCTTTTTATCTGCCACGTCTTCGTTGAAGGGTCAAAGTGACTTGAAGAAGTTTGAAAAGGCTCGTGAATTAAAGGTACTGTACATTTAGATCAATTGTTTGTTTTTTAAGCTGCAAAGTCGATCCTTTTGCGCTGTCGCTTACGCCACATCGCAACTACTTAGAAACACATCAAACGCATTCGACGTGATTATGAAGAAGAGTTGAAGGATAAACATATGGACATTCGTCAGCGTGCTACTGCTATGTATCTGATTGATCGACTAGCCCTCCGTGCTGGTAACGAGAAGGGTGAAGATGAAGCTGATACAGTTGGGTGTTGCTCCATACGATATGAGCATATTACTCTCGAACCACCACGTAAAATCATCTTTGACTTCCTGGGTAAAGATTCCATTCGATACTATAATGAAGTCGAAGTTACCGATCAAGTATTTAAGAATCTGAAGATCTTTAAGCGAGATCCTAAAGGAGAAGGAGATCCTGTCTTTGACCGTCTTGATGTGAGTTTAATTACTGACGTATAATTGATTAAATCGACTTTTTTGCAATCATTCACCTTGACCCGTTAGACCGCATCTCTCAACAAGCATCTGCAAACCTATCAAAAGGGACTGACGGCCAAAGTCTTCCGTACATACAATGCATCTTGGACATTCCAACAGGAACTTGAAAAGACTCCTGAAGACGGTACCGCGGCAGAGAAAGTATTAGCATATAATCGTGCCAATCGAGAAGTTGCCATTCTATGTAATCATCAACGTACGGTCTCTAAAGGACATGGTGGTCAGATGACCAAGCTTCAAGACAAGGCATGCGCAAAAATATTACGGATTATGTATTTTGATGATGAGGCAACACCTAGCAAGCAATTAATCCTATTTGTGATTCTTGTAGGTCTTGGCTCTCAAGTATGAACGGATGAAAATTAAGGAAGAGATCTTGGAATTAGATCCTAAACTCAAGAAGAAACGGCCTGAACTTGAAGAAGAAGAGTCTGACGTTGATGAAGAATTCGTTACACGTCACTTGGTTGCTGTAGAAGAGAAGGCACTCGAAGCAGCACGTAAAAAGTTTAAGAAGGAGAATGAAAAACGAGCAGCCAATGGAGAAGAAGAGTTGTCAGAGTCAGAGATGCCTGATGTAGACGTTGAACGTAGGCCAATCGGGTCTCTAGATAAATTGGAGAAGGCATATGAGAAGATATCTGAACGAATTCGGATTCAGAAATTGAATGCCATTGACAAGGTAAATGTTGCATTGTGTGAACATTTGAACTTCATGCCTTGTGTGTTTCTGAACTTTTGCTTTCTTTATTACTTTAGGATGAGAACAAGACAACTGCTACTGGCACATCTAAAATTAATTACATTGATCCACGTATTTCCATTGCGTGGTGCAAAAAGTACGATGTCCCACTAGAGAAGATCTTCAACAAGACGCTACGAGACAAGTTTAAATGGGCTTCTGGTGTTGATGCAGAATGGGTAAGTTTACCGCCGTGATTCCTTTCTAGTTTATGTGTTGTCTAATGCTCTGTTTGCAGGAGTTCTGAGGGGTGTTTTTTAAGTTTGTTACCAAGTGTGTAGGACGAAAATAAGTCGTGTATTTACTGTAATCAAAATTTCAAGAAAAATGTATTCAAACATTGTGTTCTTGCAACAGAGTTCAAGTGGTTATGTTGCCACAACATTTCAACAACGCACCAATATGTCTATCCGTTTAGGATTGGAACGGATCTTTGCGCTCTTGGAGGCACTAGGAGACCCACATAAGCAATATGATATAGTACATGTAACTGGCACCAATGGAAAAGGCTCTGTCACCGCGCTAGTCGCCAACATTCTAAAATCATCAGGACGTCGAGTAGGTCGATTCAACTCTCCACACTTGATATCTCCCAATGACGCCATACGAATCGATGAGTCCATAATATCAAAACCCATATATGATCTTACCCGTCAACGTGTCGAACAAGTAAACGCAAGTGCGCACATTGACGCCAGTAGTTTTGAAGTCACGACAGCATTAGCTTTTGTTATCTTTGCTGATGCCAAAGTCGATATGGCAGTTATAGAAGTTGGTATGGGAGGACGATTAGATGCTACCAATGTGCATCCGTCTCCTTTGGTGTGTGTTGTCACATCAGTAGCTATGGATCATGTCGAGTTTTTGGGTGATACTATAGTGAAGATAGCTACAGAGAAGGCTGGGATATTTAAGAAGCATTGCCGTGTTGTTATTGGCCCGCAGGCTTATGATGATGCGAGGGAGACGTTGGAAGGGAAGGCTAAGGAGCTTAAGTGTGAGTGTCTTGTAGTAAAGCCAGCAACGAGGGAGGGACAGATCGTAAAAGTCATGTTTAGAGGTGGATTATTAGATGTAGAGCTGCCTTTGATGGGTGGCTTTCAGCTGGAGAATGTTGCTACAGCTGTGGCATCCATTGAACAATTACCATATGTTACAAAGGAACATGTTGTCGATGGTATTCGTCATGTACGATGGCCAGGACGACTTGAACTAGTAGATATAAACACCGATAAAGGGCAGACACGAATACTTGTCGACGGTGCTCATAATGAAGCTGCAGCAAAACAATTACGGGTTGCTATAACAGAGCAACTCGAAAACAAAAGTAGTAAAAAAGTCGGATGGATATTTGGAATGTCGCGTGGCAAGAATGTATCTGCTATACTAGACATTCTTGTACGTGATGGAGATGTGGTATGTGCTACTGAATTCGGAGTTGTGGAGGACATGCCGTGGATTAAATGTATTGCTTCTGGTGATATAATTGATGCTGCGGTTGGATTGTCGGTACATGTGGATACAATGACTGCAGCGCGTGTCAAGGACGCGATTGATGGTGTTATGAATCGGAATGATATAGACTTGATTGTTTTGTGTGGGTCGCTGTATCTAGTTGGTGACTTGTACAGAACTTTTGAACTGCCACTTTAGAAATGAATGTAGTCTCTTTAATTGCATATATAAAATAAATCAATTTGACATTATATTACAATATTACATGACTGCGTTGTTTATTTCCAGGCTTATTTGCTTTGACACAGAAAACATCGACTGCGACTCTGCGACGACGATGATGCGTGAGACTATTGCCATTCCTGCCGCTTTGAATGAGTTTCCAAGGAGACACCGTCAGTACAATCCTCCTGAAACTGTCGCTCGAGTCGCAGACATCAAGGTCAAGGCTCATGTCGACATTCCTGACGTTATCTGCGACCGCAAGCAGAACAAAGAGTACTCAAGAGGCTCATTACTAGGAGAGGTAATTTACACATCTGATGCAGCCTCGATCTCGTTTGATCTGTCCAGTTCTCTGGGCTAAATCATCAACAAATCAAAAATGGGTTGTTTTCTGTTATGAATTGAAGGCAGAACATGATGATGACCAATTTGAGAGCAATAATGTGCAGGTATATTTACAAGATTTGTACTGAATCTATATTTTTCCTTCAATTTAGGGTGGATTTGCACAATGTTATCAAGTAACAGACAGCACTGGTGCTGCGTTTGCTGCCAAAGTGATACCCAAGACATCATTACGCACTCCAAAGCAAAAGCACAAGGTACGGCATATTGGTAAACTGTGATTGGAAGTTATTATTTCTTATCACGACCTCTGTACTAGTTGTTTGCCGAAATCAAGATACATCAAATGTTGTCGCATCCAAACATTGTAAAATTCCATCACGTTTTTGAGGATGATCATAACGTATATATGATTCTGGAGCTCTGTCACAACAAGGTTTGGGTCACCATTCTTTGATCAAATTAATTGGACTGGAATCCTCACAATGCAATTTTATATTAGACCTTTGTTGATTTTCTTAAACGAAGACGACGTATGACTGAACCTGAAGTTCGATACTTTATGCTCCAGCTGCTCAGTGGAGTCCAATATATGCATCGAGAACGTATCATACATAGAGACCTCAAGTTAGGGAATCTCTTTATTTCATCCGACATGCAGCTCAAGATTGGTGATTTTGGATTGGCAGCTATATTAAAGCATGACGGAGAGAGGAAAAAGTAAGGATTGTAGTTTAATATGCATCGCAACCGAATCCTCATCATCAACACTTACCCTTCTCTGCTTGAAACAGAACCATATGTGGAACACCCAACTATATCGCGCCAGAGGTCTTGTTTGATACAAACAATGGTCATAGTTTTGAAGTGGATATATGGTCATTGGGAGTTGTCATGTAAGTGCCCAAATTCTTTACAAATATTTTGGAACGAATTGAAAACAACTGACTGTTGATAAACTAGGTATACGATGCTGATTGGAAAGCCGCCTTTTCAAACAAAGGATGTCAAGGCCATCTACAAGTAATTGCGGACGTGAAATTGGCGTTTTGTGTTGAGAACAGAGAATCTGACTCCCTTCTCTTTTGGTCTTGCTAGGAAGATTCGGGAAAACAGTTACGAGTTTCCTTTAAGCGTAGAGGTCTCGGATTTAGGAAGATCTCTTATTGCATCTCTCTTGCATTCTAAGCCCGGTAAGTTCTCGCAATCGCTAGCTTCTGCCAAATACGTGCCTGATTTCTTACAATTATTTCATTGTTTCATTGCATCATTAGAAAGCAGACCGGTCATCGATGACGTGCTTCGTCATCCATTCTTCTCAGAAGCAATACCGGCATCCATACCGATATCTGCATTACATGAAATACCACACTTCCCAACTCTGATTCGAATACCACAACCAACAACACCCACCGCATCGTCGCTGTTAAATGGGCTTGCCACACTCTCAGTATCACCACAACATCCTCCAAGGCCGGCTAGAACGGTGTTGGCTGAATTAGGAGTAAGAGCGCTTCGTGTTTTCGGAGAGCCAAACAAAAACAATAGCTTACCACGAATGAATCGCTTAGCTTCAAGCTGCTACTCAAACACCGTCTATTAGTCCATTAAATGAGAATGGTACTCAAATTGGTTTGTGTGTTATTCCGTTAGGAAGCAAAGCTCACATGTCACTTTTTTAGTCTTGTCGAACGGAACAACGCCAAATGGATCTCCGTCTTCGTTATTGCATGTTCAAATGCCTGGTGCTTGTAGGTCTTCTTTTTTTGATTGTGCAACATTTTTGAATTTTCTGACTTAAATTCCATTTCCAGATGTTACAAGCACACTTAGATTGCACGATACACGGTCGAATGGCGCTGGCGCACTGTAAGATCAGGGTTTCCTTTCAGACGCAAAAATAAGCTCAACCCTGATTCATATCTCCAATTAGGCGATCTAAGTACTCTCCAGCTCGCATGTCACCGGCTCCCAAAATACCTCAAGGTAAGGAAAAGCCCCCAGAGTCTCTCTTAATTAAAATCAAACTAACAGTCTATGTATGTCTGCGTAGTGCCAAGTCCTCAAACATCACCTCCCATAATAAAAGCTTCTCTTCCCGCTAATGCAATATCGTCCCCGCCTTTTTCGCCGGCAATCAAGGCTTTTCGAATGTCTACGTATCAAACAGCAACCACTAATATGAATGGGTCTTCACCGGCACCTGTATTAAGTCGCTCAGTGTCATCACCGTTAATACACAGGACGGAAGATGTCAAGTCTTCCACACCGTTACTTTTTAGACAATCAGTCATTGGTTCAGGTACGACCCCTTTAGTCAGGTGTTTTTAATATGGCAAAGTGTTGAAGTGCTGACTTGTCCTCCCATCTATAGTGACGAATCGATACGTCAATGTTTTGGAGTCGATGCAAGACAATCTGACAAGAGCACTAGATGACATTAAAGCTGGTGTGATATCTCGGCATGCTCCTATACCAGGTTGGTAGTTCTCGTAAGCCAATAAGCACGTTTTTTTTGTTGCTCATATGTTTCCCCAAATTAGATGAAATACTTCAGACGCCGAAAGTGTTTATCAGCAAGTGGATTGACTATTCTAACAAGTATGGGTTGGGATATCAACTGACGAATGGATGTGTTGGTGTCTATTTCAATGATTCGACTAGCATCATACTCGCTCCTGATCAACAGTACGTCGCGTCGTTTGGTTCTGCGCTCAGAATGTCTTCTGTGACATTACTGCTAACCAAAATTATCACTGTAAATAGGCATTTTGAGTATCTGTATTGTGATCGAGAGTCCATCAGAAGTAGTATACATCGTCAAGCGTACACCATGTCGACATATTCAGCAGAGTTGAACAAGAAGGTGACTCTGTTATTGCACTTTCGTAGCTATATGCAGGAGAATCTCTTTCAGGTATGAGCTCATGTTTGGTGTGTTTCCGATGATTCTAAAAACTAACCAACATTTTCTTTGCCTTTCACAGGCTTGCTCGTTGCAATGTGCTGACACTACTGCAACTCAGAATCTGGAATTCTTGACCAAGTATATGAGGACAAAGCATGGTGTCGTCTTTCGGTTGTCTAATCGCGTAGTTCAGGTATCTCATTCACAAATACTCCAACTGTTCTTCATCTTTCTTACTGACTCATCATCGTGTAGATCAATTTTTTTGATCACAGTAAAATAGTATTGTCGAATGATGCACAGACTATCACGTATATTGACAAGGCACGGACGATGCAAACATTGTCCCTAAACACTCTGACTAAGAGATACGGTGATGCAGCAAGTAAACAAGAAGTTATCGATAGGTTGCATTATGCAAAGGACATTATTGCACAGATGATTGTAAAGAAGCAATCGAGACAAAGAGCTTCGTAATCGATATGTGACAAACAGTTGTGTAAATGGACCACTTTTTTGGTTTTAATTTTGGATTTTAGCACTGTCGATATGTAATTTAATTCATTAAGTAATACAGGATAAGAGAAGGAACACGCATAATATCGCATTCGACGATGGGTGATGTGCAGTCCACGTAAATGAAAAAATTTTAAAGTTTCGCTAGGGACGACCAGTTAAAAACTGGACGATATTAGATGAATGGAATGGATTCAGTCTTTGATAGGTTGGAGCAGCCCTAATGCAAGTCCCAACAGAAAGCCTTCATCAACGCAAAACGTGCCAAAACCATTGAAAAAACGAACAACTATCCGGTACCCCTTAAGAGGTCACGTAGCAGAAGAAGATACTATTATAATACCGCCATATCCTATAAAAGCTCCATCGAAAATGCCCATTGCATATCCCACAAATACTCGACATTCGACATCAACAGCAAGCGGCAGTCACGGAATATCGAATAATCTCAAAATTAAAGTGATTTCTCCAAGGAACCCATCGCCTACGAAATATTCCAAATCTAAACTAGTAGGCACTAGTAGCAGCAAATCCTATGGCAACAAGCAGATTGTCATTGTCGACGATGGTGAGATCATTACGATAGAGGATACGGAAGAAGAGGAGGCTAGAGTGAGAACTCGCAGTATGCTCGGCAAAAGTAATATTAATGGCAGCATCATCACCGTCACCGATCGAATATTGCCATCACGCAAGACCACTGTGCCGATATTAAAAGTCAGTGTGCCCAAAGACAATATAATGAATCCACCACAATCATCAAAGCAATTGAAGAGGAAACGAGTCAGTAATAACGTTGTGGTTATATTGGATGAACCGGCTGATCTCGTACAGTCTAATGATGATGAGGATGATGAAGACGAGGACGATGAAAGTCAGGAGGAGGAAGCAGAAGAAGAGCAAGAAGAAGAAGAGCAACAGTCTAGTAGTGAAAATGATGACGATGATGAGCAGCAAAGGTATCCACTCCGTCATCGCAGACCAGCGACAACCTCATCCTCCGAAATTGTAAATAGCAATGAACGCCACGATTACCCATTACGGCATTCAGCTAGGTCAAAAGTAGTTAAGCGAGGCTCGGAAGAAGTCAGCATATATAAAGATCCTGTGACCTCAAGCACATCTCGTGCCGAATCACCTATAGTTATGAGTAGTGGTGATGATGAGGAGCTACAGGAAGAGGAGGAGGCGGAGGAGGAAGCTGATGCTGATGATGAAGACGAAGAAGATACAGTAATGAGTGGCTCAAACTTTACTAGTCCTCCTCGTCGTAACCGTCGCCGAAAGTCGTCCGCCAGTCTAGCACCTCCACCACCAGTGGTTTCTCGACCATCCAATTCCAAAAAACTAGTCTTGACATTTAGGAAACCAACACCGCCGCAACCAATAGTACGGGTACTTATTGATTCAGATTCCGATATTCCAGAACCTCGTCAAACTAGAAACAGAAGAAGAAGTGGTCAATCCAGCGAGTCTGACCCAGAAGTCTTGAATGATAGTAGTGCTGCATATCAAACCGATACAGAATTAGATTCCGATATGACTCCTAGCAGAAGGAAACGATTACGTAGAACTCGTAGTAGCAATAATAGTAATGATTCACCCAGCCAGTCTGACGTGTCAATCATTGTGCAAGTCGATAGTCGTGAAGCTCGACGCAGGCAGCAGGTAAAAAAGATATCTGGACATGATAAGGAGTCCACTTTGGGGCGAGGAATGGGTGCCATGTCTCAAAGGTGGAAAGGCTCGCTACCGATTGTGGATGATGATACTGGTATGTGCGATTCATTTCAAATATTTATTGCTGTACGAGATACGATATCGACCATTATGATAGTAATCATGAATTCATTCATGGAGTATCAGACATAGCAGCTGCGACATATATCGTCATGGTACTAACTCTCGCCCACCGCAAACAGAAATCATCAAGATTGATGGATCATTCTACCTCTCAATGATCCCAGATAACGAGCTCAAGAATTGTGTTATACGACCACGTATCGCTCCTCCTCCACTATTGATTGATGAATCAAGAGATCATATCAAAATCCCATCCTTTGAAGTAGCTAATAGCTCTGCGCTTCGCTCTGGTGCTCGTGGTGGAAAAGCTAGTGATGTGGATGTAGTGATGGAAGATACGACTGATGAAGCATATATTGCAAGACATCGCAGACCAGCAAAGGAAGAAAGGTCTCAAGCCATTCGTGAGCTCGAGATATACAAGCATCAAATGTATAAGGAATCGCTAAAGCCAAAGTCGCTCAAAAGATAGCTTGGCTAGTTGTTGGGGGAAATTGCAGTTTCTTTTTTTGTACCTAGTCTCTCTTTTAGGTTTGGAATCCAAATCTAAATGTAAATAAATATATTGATTTATCGCAACCAGTTGACCCCCTTTGGCGACTTGGCGACATATTGGACGCGTCAGGCGGCAGCCAGCTATGATCCAGGTTATGTTCTTCTCTTTGACACTTTTGCATGCTTGCAATGTTCAAACCGTTAAAACTCTTACAAATCAGTTTGAAGAAGCTTAGCTGCTAGGCAAAGAAATGCTGGCTCGAGGACGTGCTCGTGCACTCTGCGATTTTTGCGAATCTCCCACACTCAATAGTCACAATAGTCAATAGTGGTGATCCCGGCTTGATCGCAAATATCGTTCGTTGCATACAAGTATTGTTACAGAATTGCATTCAAGCTCTGTTCGAATAGCAGTTACTACCGTTCTTGACGAAAAATCACGTTTGCACAGAAGGCACTCGTTTAAGCTACTGATTCGCGTTCTTGTCATTTCTTTCACTATATCTAATATATTATCCCACATCCAAGCTCGATCTGATTGTGTTTGCAACGAAAACGTGAAAATTGACAAATTCCAGCAAAATTGGTATGTTCCTCTTCAAGAGTTGAGCTACATTTAACTCATTTGCAATGGAAAAGTATTCAAGATGGAGAGATCCAGGTGAGAGTACCATCAAGCCCTCATCACCTTCTTTGCTTTTGAGAGTTCTGTATTGGTTTTGACATTAAAACTTGCAAAACTCAGCTATCGTGACAACCACTTTGATATCGTTTGCTGATACATCCTGAATTTTAGGCACAGGAATTCACGCATTCGTGCCTCCCGTACCATTACGGGGTGATAGGAATGGCTTCCAAACATTCACATCAATAGCGAAATCATACATATTGGGACCGCCGTTGGCTTTTATCAAGCTTACTGTTGCAATGATTCTTGTTGTTGTTTTCGCACTTTTGGAGCTTGTTGGTCAAATGGTAAGCCTACCATTGGATGTTCAATCTCGTCGAACATTTGCACTCATGATTTATTTCCTTTTTTGGCAGCTGGCTCCCATTACTCTGATACAACGTGCATATACCAGGCTCGTAAATTTTGTATTGCTGAGAAGTCTGTTACTTTTGCTTGGATTTTATTGGATCAAGTCTGAGAACGTCACTGTCAAGAAGGGGTAACTTTGATTTAAACTGGAACTTTATATTTATTCTCGCATACTTATATAGCTCTCTTTTGCTATGTTAGAGCTAGAAGGTCATCTTCTAGAACGCAACCAACACGTCAGTCCGTACAAGCTGGAGACATCATTGCTACAAATCACACTTCGTACCTTGATGTCTTGTATCTAGGTGCCAGGTAAAACAAAGCTACACTCAAAATGTATAGGAATAAGCTTGTGACTGACTAACTCCACAACACCCATAGATATGCACCAATGTTTGTCACTCCAACTCAAACACCAGGGCAAGTAACTGTTGAAACAATATGGAGTGCTTTCGCCAGAAGCATTCGGTCTCCACCATTACCTGAAACTGGACTTCGATTATCCGATGTTGTCAAGACTGCTAAAAGTAATGGTTGCTCTGTTGCCGTGTTTCCTGAAGGTACCACATCAAACGGTCGTGGAATACTAAGAATGACTAAAGTATTTCATGGGTTGGAGCCTGATAAAGTTCGCGTTCATGTTATTGGGCTAAAGTAAGTCATAAATCCACAAGCCTACACTTTTCTTTGTTCCTTCGATCTCACCAATTTGGGATTTTGAAGGTACGAATATGAAGATTTTGCACCAACATTCACAGTTGGTAATTTTATACCTCATGTGTTTTTCTTGGCTTGCCAGGTAAAGACTAAAAAGTGTCGAGTTGACTGTGGGGCATGCGTAATGACTTAAATGATCTTTTTTAGTGGATAAACACTCTAGAAGTCAGATATCTAATAAGTGAAGAAGTACAAGATTTACATACAACTCTCCCTGCCAATATGACCCTCAACCCCGATGAAGGAGTCATGGGAACGCAGATAGCTAGTTTACTCAATCATGCGACAAGATTGAGACAAACTTCATCATTGGGTGTCAAAGAAAAGCTAGAATTCATTGCTTATTATACAGAACGAGAACGCAAAACACGTAAAAGCTTGTAAAACTAGATTGTAAATCGTCTACGGCGCAAAAGGTTGTATATATTTTTGAAGAGGTCATACCCACATACTAAAAGTCGAAGTCACCTCGAAATAGAGTCAAATCTCTCCTGTCGCAAGCATCTGCTAGATCAGGTCGTCTCACTAACAAACGAAGTGATTAGATTTGTAACGAAGTCGGTAGATTTGTTTACGCAAAACAAAGGAAGGTCATATCGCCAAAATACTCACAGTACGAGTCAACAACCATCTTCAAAGTCGACCAAACATTATCACTAGCTATACTATGCATGTTGATTACATTATTGCCAGCTGGTCCTTTACCCTTTCCATCCAACATGAGACTCTCGGCATTGGATTGCTGAATACCTAATGCACCAAGGAGATGCTCGGCAGCTTCACGGTGATTTCCAAGCTGGATACATGAAATGGCAATATTGTAACGAGCACGGATATACGACGGATTGATCTCCAAAGCTGCAAAATAGGCATCAAGGGCTCGAGGTGTCTTGTTGCTATTCGCTAGTGTTGCTCCAAGCTTGTTCCAGAGCAAGTAATCCTATGAATGTCATCATGAATGGTGATTAAGTTGTTGACAAAACAAGGTGTCCATATTGAAAACCAATCAAGATTTCTTGCAGCCCATATACCTGAGGTCTCTTGACAAGCGCAGCCTCAAAACAATCAACAGCCTTATCATATTCTTCTGATACGTTAAACAAGACCCCAAGAGCAATCTGTACATCTGGATCTAGATGTTCACCAGGATTGGCTCTAGCAGCCTCCAAAAACAGGTTGATTACATGTCCATGTCTTTGCGCAGCACTCATCAGTCCAGCTCCAGCACCAATACCACCAGCCTTCTCAATAATCATGTGATACTTGTCTGAATTGGCCATCCATGCTTCAAGAGCTTCGTTAGCATCTTCTCGACAATTCTCGTTTGTGTACGATACTGCCAACCCAATCCAAGCATCGAGTATACTGGGATCTAGTTGGGTAGCTTGACGTAGAGCAGCTATAGCGGCTGTTTCGTTTTCATTCTCTTGTTGTCGAATCCCGAGATGATGCCAAGCCGAAGCATTTCCAGGGTCAAGCTGTACAGCTGCTTCTAATGCAAGCACCGATTCCGTCAAGTTACGATGTGATAGTGGATTTTCAAGATATGGTGCTGGTCGTGACAAGTAAGGATTATTGGGCATGAATTCATAGTTATCATATCGAGGATCATTAGCTCTATATGCTAGTGCTGGAGAATTATATTCATCCCAATTCTTTTCCATGGCATCCCATTCTTCGTTTTGTGGATCTCTAGATATTTCATCTGCTACTTTATTCTTATACTCTCGAACCCAATCCTGCATCCCATAATACTCTTTAAATGCCTTTTCCATCTCTTGATAATCTTCTGTCTCTCCTAGATTATCACCAGCCTCATTTCGTTCTAGAGCATTCTGTCTGAATTGCTCAAATTCTGCCTCCCATCGAGCACTACTATCAGTATGCAATCCGGCTTGGAATTCCTGGGCCCAGTCTTCAGCTGTACGGACTTTTGGCGGGTTTGCAAAAGCTGTTTCACCATATTCTTCAGCCCAGCTAGCTTCTCGATTCTGGCTACTAGCAAACTCGTTCGTCCAGCCATCAGATGAGGCCAAAGCACGAGCACCAGGTGTAGTGAATTCGTCTTCCCATGATTGCTCTTGTTGCTGGAATTGTTGAGCCCATGCTTCACCTCGTACAGGAGGAGTTTGTTCAACGACTTTATTTCCTTCTATAGCTACTTCTTGATCTCGTAGCTTTTGCATGAATGCCATGAATTTGGATTCTTTGAATTTGGGGTTTGTTGACGTGGAGACTATATCTAGCAGCATGCCTGCTGTCTTTGACAGAGCATCGGTGCTATCTACATTGACTTCAGCCTGTTGTGTGACGAATTCGTCTGCCCATGATGTTTGTTCTTTGGCAAACTCTTCTTCCCAAGAGGATGATTCTATGCCGTGAGTTGGTAAGTATCCTGTTTCTTTTCTAGCTTGAGCACTAACACTCACGTTGAGCTTGCTCAAAAGCCTTTTCGAATGCAGCCTCTGTTTCAGCATGTTCCGCATGAAATCCTGGATGTTCTCGTTGAAACTGAGCGAATTGATCTTCCCATTGTCCATGTGCTTGAGCTATGAATTTGAAGCGGGTGAGACTTACAATTCCATTGCAACAGGCATAAGACAAAATGCCGTACTTCTAGCTTGTTGGAAGACCTCTTCAAATTCACGAAACTGGTGCTGATCATGCATTTGACCCATTCCACCGTCATTGAATTTAGCAAAGTCAGCAGCCCAGTCTCCATTATGCTGGGCCATAGAAGGAGGAGCCATGGAGTCTAATTCTCGATTCATATCACGGAAATTGTAGAAATCGTTGGGCATATGGCCTTGTTGAGCGTGGGTTGAGGCAAAGAATTCGTCAGCCAACTGTGAAAGCTTCAAGTTAGTATAGAGCAGTATGCGAAGCGCTCAAATGGGATCTTACTTGACGTTCTCGGGCCATTTCAGGAGCTAGAGGCCGTTCTCGTAATGATAGACCACTTGGGCCTGCACCGTCTTCTGCGACACCAAATCGATCCTAGGTTTTGATACATTTTGTTAGCGGTAATGCGGTAATAGAGAAGCAAATAAGATATTTGCATGTGGAGAAATGATCTAGCGTTGCCCGTCTTGTTTGCGTTCTATGTTTTTCAAGTCGATTGCAATGAGTTTCGTCATTGTTTTTACTTGCCTGGTGCATAGAGCGGTCTCTGTCGAACTGCTTTGAGAACTGCATCAAGTCATTGCCTGGCCCGCATTCTGCATTGTTGACTAGGTCCATGGTACCTTCCTCCTTGGGGAAAAGACTTGGTAAGTGTTGTTGAAAGAACTAATGAACTCCTAGAGATTTGCATGTGTCAACTTTTGCGTGAGGTTGTTTTTGAGAAAGGAGAAAGAGCAAATTAGTTCCGGTATTGACGCGCCTCATTTAGTAGATCTAACTACAGTACCATTGATGAGCTTTCAATGTACTTGCTTTCGAACATCTCTGCGTGATTTTGACGAAACGAGGTAAAGGATTGTGTGATTACTTGTCATTGAACATTGGTATCTCCATTGTCATGCATAGTACCATCTCGATATCCACAACGCTACCAGTAATGAAGGCTAGCATTGGTAAAGCTTGTGCAGGAGCCACTTGGCCAGCAACCACTTGTTGTCAAGGGCCAGTAGCAGTGCAAAACATGTCTCATGTTCAGTTCCGTTTGCCTCCTCTCCATCTACGACCTGATCCTGCCAAAGTAACCAAATTGTCAATTTCAACTACAAATTCTCAGAAGTCACGATGAGCTGTGGAAACGACATATTCTGGCTGTAACATGATGCCAACTCTTCAGAATCACCATATGGTCATCTTTACATCTATTCGAAGGCTGGGCTTCCTTTTCCTGGGGGTTAGTACATCAAGATTTCCTTGACGTTGGGACGCTTATACTTTGGCCCTATGCTGTGTGCATCTACGCTATGTGCACGTATTGAAAGAATGGACCTAAACTGCATTCAAGAAACCACTTGTTCGAGGTAGTTTGATGAGTCGCCGCCCGAACTAGAACAAACAAAGCCTTGTGTTTTTTGTTTACATTAATTGCAAATGCAACCTCCGAACAAAGTATACTAGTGCTCGCAACCAGAAACTAGATCAGACAATAAACCAAGTGAAAAATCCAGCACTATGCCTCTTTCATCAACAGTGGTCGTGGTGGTGAGAAATTCGGCTTCGTCTGCACTGTTTTGGATTCAGAATTTAATATGATCAGAACCGATTTCAATTTCTAGTGGCTATTGGTCAATATGATAATATTCATTACGACAATTCAAGTCGGCGCTGTACGATGCCTGGGTGCTAGTGGCGTGAGTAGTTATATCCATTATGTTTGATGGACTGATAATTGAATCCTATAAAACTGATAACTACTTTCAATGACATAGCCTAATTCGTCAGTCGCAAATTTAAATCCGCCTCCTGCAACTTTTGCTCCTGAGCGAAAAATTGATGCCAGTCCAGGTATGTAAAAAACACGAACGCCGTTCCGCTCTATTTTTCTGGGGATTGAAATTGTCTCGGTTATTCAACACACCTTGGTATTAGGCGTTCCGGCTGTTTCTGCTTCTGTTGGAGCTAGCCCGACGGTCTCTCCACTGCAAATCGCTGCCTCACCGTCTACCAGTACTCAACCAAGTTCAACTGCAATGGAATCGGCAAGCAACGTCCGAGCATGTGACTTTTGATTCTCGGGTTCCGTTTTGACATTTCTCCTTGGTGGATTGCAGGTCGTTTCGAGCCCTATCTCAACTCCTTCGCCACCAGCTATGGAATCGCCAAGCAACGTAGACCCGCTCGGTTGGACGCCACTACCAACTCCTACTGCTACGCCGACATATCTGGAGACTCCTTCAGCAACAAGCTATACTCCAGTTTCAAGTGCTTGTGCAATTCCAAGTGCTAGGTATGATGATGAGTTTCCGTCAAGAGGTGGTGGCTGTTCTGTTTTTTAAACTTATTCTAAACATTTAAGCGAGAACGGGACCGTACATTCCATTCTCAAACCATCAAGCAGCAGGTTGAGAAGATCTGGCATAGTTACATCGGTGGTTGTGTTGTGGTTGGCGCAGGGCGCCTACACATTGATTTGGACGTAAGAAAGCCTCTGAAAAATTAGAGAGAAACACCGAAAAGTACTGATAAATCATTTGTAATACATCTCGTTTATCGGGAAATACGGCCGCCCCTGCGTAAAAACTCCAAACAAGTGGCAAAGTGTTGTTTTTTTTGATGTTTTTACAATAGCACTATAGCTGGCGTGGCATAAACCTGTTGGTGTCGCGCTTAATATGTAATTCAGTCTTCCATTCGTGATCAGCGGTTCAGTGCTTCTATACCTCAAAAAGAAACATCTAAGATCGACTAGTACACAAATTTCAAGGAATTCATTGTTGGTGAGTTCGTTAGAAGAAAGTAACGAGATTAGAGCCTTAATATTAATTACTTTCAAATACGTAGATATAGCTAGCCATGGCAAGCAGCAACGCAAGCCTCCAACAACTACCCTCAGCTCCCTCATCCCAAGCTTCGCCAGATATACCAGTGTTAATATCAACTGGCAGTACTCCATCAACATCAAATCGACTAGTTGCCGAGTCGATCTTTGATTTCTTGTTCATGGGAATGGTTGAAACATTCCATCAATCCCCTTCCGAAATTGAAAATGATCGTGAAGCTGTATATTTCAAGCTCGAGTCGATAGGGTATCGTGTTGGACTCGCTATGGCTGAAAGGTATTGCAAATTGTGATTTGACTTTGATACTGTTTGTATTGGCACTCTGTTTTGACTTGGACCTCACCACAGGTTTACGAAAGATCGGCCACGCTTTATTGATAATCTGGATGCAGTCAAATTCATATGTAAAGACTTTTGGATTGCAATATTCAAGAAGCAGATTGATAATCTGAAAACAAATCATCGGGTAACCCACCTATTTGGTGTATTGAGGAGTAACAACAAACTGACGCTTCGACATCAAATTAGGGCGTGTATGTCTTGTCAGATAATAATTTTAGATGGTTTTCAAGAATGTCAACAGATGGTACTGGTGTTGATGCCAGTAGGCAAGCCTTTCCAGTACGTTTGTTAGCGTGATTTGTTTGAGCCAAGATCCGCATTCACGCATACGCGATTGCTAACAATAATCGTGATAGTATCTCGCATTTCCATGTGGACTGATACGAGGCGCACTGGCTAATTTAGGAGTTGCTAGTGTGGTGATTGCCGAAGTTACTATATTGCCACAGTTGACATTTCAAGTCAAAATATCAAAGTAGGCAAACTAGGTGGTCGCATTGATAATTATCACGTGTAATTAAATAAATATTCCTATTGTCCTCATCAATGGTCATGTTCGGTGTTCGGTGCTCCAGTCGCGATTCAAAACTTTGGAGTCGAGAAAGAAGAAGGAGGCAGTAACATAGCTGGCAATTTTAGAGTATCTTGCAGAGATGTCGCATATGTCTCATATGACAGATGAACAAATAGCGAGGACCATCGCGGACGGCTCACGCTCCTTCAGGCCAAGAAACAAGTCGTCACATTCACAGCAGGAGATGGACAGTGAAGACGATGAAGCATCTGCCAAAGTCTCTAGAACAGGACAGAATCAACGACGTAATTATTCGGATGCTGCTGGTGATGGCACTGACGACATCAATAACAATGCTCGACGACAGCAACAGCGATCGTCATTTGGCAATAATGTCGCGGAATCACCTGATGAATTAATTCAAAAGTGCAGACAGATTATTGAAAAGGTCAAGACTATCAAGGACAATACGTATGTATCATTCCTTGTATTTGATGTCAAACATATGGGATCCGAATACTAACCAATTACAACGCTACTAGTGGTCGAGTCATTTCTGCATTATTCCATGAAATGGTCGATCCCGATGAAGTCGAAGGCTACTATGATTTCATCAAGCAACCTATAGCGCTGGTCACCATTGAACAAAAACTCGACGGTGGCGAATACACATCCTTTGATGAAATCAAGACCGATTTTGATTTAATGTGGAAGAATGCAATGTCGTTTAATTTACCTGGATCTGAAGTGTATACTGATGCTCAGAATCTACAGGTTTGGTTTGCAAAAAAGTCGTGTTTTCTGCATCCCGCTATTCATATTCTGACATCAAAATCCTACTTAGAAATTCACCAACAAGGAATTCGGTCCTTTAATTAAGATGGGCAAATCGTTGAAAATTACCTTAAAACCAACAAAGCCAGAAAGAGACGACGAGTCTTCCGAATCGTATAATGGACCAAAGAGACCTCCTACTGTTGAAGGTGTGTGCGTTAGAACCTGTTCAAGTAATATTTTCGTCCACTTACCTCAATTTCCATTATTCAGAGTCGAAGCAACTCTTCCAGGCAGCTCAACGAGGCGACGTGAGAAAGTTGGACTCCATCTTGAGATTGGGCGTAGATCCAAACTGTTATCAAGAGACCCAACAAGGCAATGACCGATTTACTTGGCCTCTCATGTCAGTTGTGGCTAGTAATGGTCGTACGGAAGCTGCTGATTTATTGATAAAGTATGGCGCCAATGTGGAAATCACTGATACTTGGTATGAAGGAGTAAGTATGGATTCAGATGTCGGCCTTGTTTATTTTTTGCTCTCCTGTGCTGATTTCCTATTCCTGTTGTTAGAGACCGTTAGCTTGGGCTGCTTGGAATGGGCATATAGAGTTCTGTCGACGACTCATTGAACGACATGGAGCCAATCGCTTTGCGAAAAACACCAAGGGTCAAGTCGCGTTTGATTTAGTATCTGATCCAACAAATCCCAAATGGCGTGGAGTTTTGACGGTAACTATTAAAATTTGATGGATTTTTTGCGTGCGAGTTAAATATCGCTTGAACTGCTTGATCTGATATGATGCTCTATAACCCGATAGGACGGAGATTATGAAGATTCAAATAAAAGCAAAAAGAGGAAGAAGCAAACTGACTCTGATGAAACAGAGCGCCCTCCTCAGCGAATGAAGTACGACGACGATGAAGACTTTTCTGGCTCAACGTCAAGTAAACCAGGTCAACAATACGCAACTCCAGGATCTGCATCTCAAAGGCCGTCACTTCCCAGAAATTCTACTGTACAAGGAAGAGGTGGATCTGCACCTTTGTCAGCTGGTCCTTCACCTACTATCGCACCACCGCCTGTTAGTACATCTATAAAACAGCAAAATCGAATTGCTGCTTCTGGTGGTAAGAAAGGTGGTTCTGGTCGTGCTACTAGAGCTGGCTCTGAGGAAATGGATGATGGTCCGATTCCGTCTGCAGGTCGTCATGGTAAAATATTAGTGTTCACTATCAATGATAGTATTTGATTGCAAAAGCCAGTAGTTCCTTCAGGGAGCTGATCGATCATCTTTCCATTTGTTAGAGGTAGATTTGGGACGAGTCAATCAATATTATACAGGATTGCCATTTAGTAACATTATCGCCAACACGTATCAACCACGTAAGTGCCCGAGTATTTGATCAGAATCGACAACGCCAGTCATCGCTCTGTTTAACATGTCATTTTTAAAGCTAAAACCCCACTGATTGCCAAAATTCGAATCTTTTCGAATCCCGATCCTTCACGATTATCCGTAAACCTTCCCCGACAATCACCGCCGTATCTGCTGCATGCAACTTCAGGCCGTTCATTAGCTGTGTCACACTCAATCTCGTCGGTAACTATTCAGGTACACTGTCCAAACAACTATCCAGATCAGATGAGGTCGCTTCGTATGGCATTCAAGGACATGAGTGCAAATGGTGGTGAAGTAAAGATATTTGGGCCGTCTGCACAAGAGATGGAGCCTAGCTCTGGAATGTATGAATTCAAAGCTGAATTGAAGGAGGGCACGAACGTGTATGCTTTACGAGTCATATCGGCTGCTGTTGCTGAAAGTGAGGCTCGACCACCTACTATGGTTGAGGAAATTAATTTTGTGCTGCAACGGTTCTGAAAGGAAGGGGGGATTATGCTAACGGGCGGTCAACAAGTTGAGGTCTGTATTATTATCTTTGTTGATATGATGATGATTTGCTTGGACATTTTACGTTTGAGAAATACATGAATATCTTTGATCTATGTTGGAGGTTTCGAGAAAGACACCTTCCAGGTTCTTAACATATTTGTGCATTCTAAAATCCACTTTTTGGCTGTGCTCTCGCAACTTCGCGTGAACGTAAAGACACTATGCCGGTAAGCTTACAGTACATTGAAAGCCAAGAATTAAGCTACCTTCAGCTACTTCAATGTAGAAATACTCTCTGATGTTACGTGCCGAGCTCGAAAACCTAGAGTCTGTCAGTCCCGAAGTTCCAGACGACTACAACTGGCACATCAAGGTTTGGAAGAATGATCTGATTGCATATTTCATCCTGCATGGTATCCTCGTCGCTGATCGTTTCTGCTCTCTTAGTGGAAATGTCAGAAATGTCGCGAAGAATATCCAAACTATGTTACCATGTGTAGTTCAGTAAGCTCATTAGATACCACCGATCCTTCTCTCGCTCTGAAACATGATCTCGCAATCTCCAATCTAGGAAGTACTTGCCATTCCAAATTCAAGAGGCGAATGTAATCTAGTCGCCAAATGTCCCTTTTGTCGTGTGGAAGGGACAGCTAGTATAGAATTCATTGGAACATATGAGACATCTGATGAAGATGGGAATGCATGGAAGTGTATGGTGAAGATAGAGAGTCGAGGGATTGAGCCTGTGACTTGGAGGTGTGAGGTATATGCTCGTGTTTTGTCATGGCAGCTTTTTTGCCTTACTGACTTTTCGATTTGTTAAGGATCCATTGACTGCTAAATCAAAGTCTGGACAAGTCTTTGATGATGTGACTATGGTAAGTACTTGTACATTGTTTCTCCATTAATTTGAACTGAAGCTGACGCAAAAACCGTTGCTAGGATAATGAGTGGACTGAATATGATGAGAAATCGAACGAGCCAGTTTCGGTGATGAATGTCGAGTATAAAGTCGAGAAGGCCTGAACGAATTTAGCAAGGAAACCCATGTAACTTATCTCATATAGACACTATATAGATCCGTGACCAAAACGGGGGGTTTCTGCAATCTATTGACACAATTGATACTACTTCTTGTTTAGAATAGCAACCTTTATTGGAATGAGCTGGTACTTCTCCCGATCCCACACTTGGCCACCTATATAAGGATCTTCTTTCACGAATCTTTCAGCAGCTTCCCTAGACATCGAGCCGACATTGGATCAGTCAAGTTCAAATTAAACAATACACAGGCACGTACTTTGTTGGTGCGTCAAAGACGAGCAACGATCCAGTCATATTGCCGTCCTGCTTGTCTAGCATCGCGCCTCCCAGTATGAGATTCGTGTCTGTCTTGGCACGATGTAGGTGCTGTTCTCTAACAGCCATTCGTTTCTACGGGAAGTTTTGTGTCAATGTCTGGAATGTCGTCCAATGTGACCAGAGTGCAATATAGCGCGAAGCACGCAGTTATGACGTACGGCAAGAGAATCTTTGTAGTCTGGAGCAATAAGGGCCCAAGTTTGTCTATAGGAAATAGAAAGAGTCAGGACTGTGAGCTTTGGAACATGATCGTTGCAATTTTGTGAATAGTTGCAGTACCCAACACTTCGAGAGCTTGAAAAGGAAGCAGTTTGAATCAGTTTCAGAGATGCGTAACCGCGCCTCTTGCAGGTTAGTATTGAGGCCATTGTCGAGCAAGCCAATATTCACGAGCTTTCCGAAATTCTACGTGACTTCAAGCGAACGACAGGACGACAAAGGATTAACGGAAAAATGTACATAAGTACATAGGTGATCTCTCACAATAGCTACGCGACTATTCTACGTGACGCTCAAAGGTTTCCTGCAAACTTTTCGAGCTTCACTTTTGACTTCAACAAACAACCAAACTTTCCAGTCAATTCTGCTTGCTACGCAACACGAGAGCGCCGCTTAGTAAGCTAGTGCGCATTGGCTTAAAGCAATAATTGCTTCTAATTGAATCCTGCATCAATCTTGCATGTTTTGAACATAAGTGGTAAGTTGTTTTTAGATGCTTTCATTATTGGACGTATGCAAGACAGGAGGAAGGGCAGTGATAGTCGTCATCTTGGCATAATAATCCATCATTCTACTGCCTCCTTCTTTGCCATTCTATTATTCAAAGGGCATCAAATTGGGCCATCATTAATGAAGCTCACTTATTCACTTATAGCATATGACAAGATGGAGGAGCCATTGCAGCCACAGACTTCTCTATCCAATGAATCCACCCCAAATCTAGTACCTCATCCTGTATCGCCTCCTCGGGTTACTGGAATGGGAAACGGCAAACAAATGTATCCCAACGACGACGACCAAACTAAACATCATCGTGCCGTCTCCCCGATACCCGATCCTTACTCTGCTGCTGTATATAAATCGAATCAGCAATCGGAATTGGCCAGCGAATCATATCAACATAATCCACCACTGTCAGTCGCTGAAAATCATGACATTGCTTCGCATCATACTCCAGCTGTACAGAAACGACCTCCTGTTGTAGAGTATGAAGTGCCGATTCATGGAAGTAGTCCCGAAGTATGGAAATCAAAGTACGTGATTGGCCTGTGTTATAATATTTTTTTTGCTCTGAAATTAAAAACTACCTCTGACACGCACAAATCACTAAAAACCAATTAGGCAAAAGTTGCGTCGAAATCTAGTGAACGGCAATGATATTCCTGACGCACCTCACTCACCGCCATATCATGATCGTGATCACGACGATCAGGAAGAGAGAGAAACCATGCGGTATCTAATACAGTCTAAAATCAAGGTTGATGATCCAAACGATGAAGATTATTTAGAAGGTTCCTCACGACGTAAAAGTAAATCACGATCAAGGTCACGATCACAATCCAGATCTCATAGAGGATCTCCTGCACCATCTATAGCCTCTTCAACGAAATCATCAAATCGAATGTCTGAGGTATCCAACGGTGAAAACAAGTCATCTCGAAAACGTAAAAGGCCTAGTAATACTGGAGCTGTCGTAGATACCGAAATGATAGATGCCACTCAGAACGACATTGACGAATCTGGCCAGACAGTGTCTAGAGATTCACCACCACTACCCACAGATGATGCTGATGTTTCTGCACATCAGGAATCTCGGGGTAGACCCTCGAGTCGCAAGTCAAAAGGTCATGAATCATCAAACCGAACAGAATCACCAGCTGATGATCAGTATAGTAACAATGAAGACGACAACAATAATGATAATCCCAGTAATGATAGTCAAGAAGAAGAGGGTGGAACCTCGTCTGCCAGACGAAAATCTGCTAGTGGTATAAGCAAGAGGAAAGCAAAGGACGATTATGTACGAGCCCAGATTGAAATGCTTCAGAAATTTGAAGCTCAAAAGCAAGCAGGAACATCATCATCACCGCCGAGATCAACATCTTCCGACAAGGCTAAAAATACACCACCAAGTATAATTACTTCAGATATTGCAGAGAAAAGGCCACGTGGACGTCCTCCTGGTGGAGGCAATAGTCGTAAAAACAGTCGCCAAACAAGTCCCAAACCATCTACAGCACCGACATCGCCCATCCGTGGTGAATCAATTAAACGTAGCGTACCCACAACACCATCTGGGCCTGTAGCTTCTCCTCCCTCAGTGCCAGCACCCAAAAGTGAGCCCATACCGCCACCTCCATCGTCATCATCAGCAAAAGGTCCAGGGTCATCACCGCCTCGTTATCCACCGGTCCAGAGCCGGGATCCCAAGGCTGGCATCCGTCTAGGTAATAAAATAGTCCCGTATTCTGCCATCAACACTATAGATAGGGCCGGCCGAACCCATATACATAAATATGCAGAACTTGGAGACGCAGACACTTGTCTGATTCTGATAAATGCTGGCGCTGATATAAATATAAGAGATCACGCTGGATGGTCACCATTACACGAAGCATGTTTAAATGGCCATGACAAGGTCGTCTCACTCCTGATTCGATATGGTGCTGATCCAAACTCTTTGGGATCTGGTGGTGATACTCCTCTACACGATGCTGTAGAAAATCGACATTCCAAAGTTGTCGACATTCTTCTAGCTCATGGTGCTTCTATGACTACAGCCAATAATGCTGGAAAATTGCCTCGTGACTTAGTAGAAGCGTCGGATGCTCTACGTAGTGTTTTGGACGCCTGGGAGGAATGGCTTCCCAAAGTATCAGAAAAGGATGACACTGGAAGAACATTATTACATAAAGCAGCTGCTTCTGGTGATATGGTACTGTTCAAGAATTGCATAAAATATGGATCGGATGTAGCTTCAGTGGACTATGCCGGCAACACTCCTCTGCATGAAGCTGCCAATGACGGTGAAAAGGAAGTTGTCACTGAATTGCTCAAGTATGGAGCCAACCCGAATGCTGCGAGTAATACTGGAGATACTCCTCTGCATGTTGCGGTAGTCAATGGCTATACCGAAGTAGTTGAATCAATCCTCAAACACGGAGGTAATGCTGTCCTGACAAATCACGATGGCAAGACGCCTCGAGATTTGATTGATGGTCAGATAACAAGTGATGCAGAATGGACCGCAATGCATACCATCAAGGAAATGCTGGATCGTGATCCAGAATCATGGAAGCCATATATAAAGCCTTTATTCCGAGCTCAAATAGTAGTAGAACATCAATCTGGAGATTCCATACGTCGCAGTGCTAGTCTACAGCCAAAACAGGAAGCATCAGATTCAGGTACGGCTCAATCCAAGCCTCGGCCTTTGAAGAAGAATACACATCATCGTCACTCTCGTCGCTCCTCTATTGCATCTGATTCTTCTACAAGTATTGCTCCTTCAAATGGTAATGGGTCATCAGTATCAGCTAATCAGAATAATTATTTTGCTTGGGGTGGTTTAGACCCACCTCGTGGTGGGTTCGAGTCAAAGCGAGAGGAACGTAAATTCCAGATGCTTCTCCAGCAGTTGGGAGAGACTGCAAAGCCAGCACCATCACCGCAACAGCAATTGCAAAGTCGTGGTCGTAAAGATGAAGATGACGCCGAGTCTAGTCAAGATGAACGCAGACGAGTCAAGATTAGTGAAGAACGAGGTCGCTCAAAGGCTTCCAGAACTCGAGAGTCCTCTTCGTCTTCGACACGATATTCTAGTAGCTCTAGTAGCGATATTGATAGTGATGATGAAGGTGATGATGAAGATGCTACAATGTCAACCTCATCTAAAGGTCATAAAGAAAGCAAGAGTAGTAACTCGGCAAAGAGACCTGTAGGTAGACCGCCCAAGAAGCCTTCCAAACCATCGAAACCTGAAGCATCCAAATCTATATCAAAGTCTAAGGATGATACTCTGGGCAAACGTCGTGAGAGATCAAGGTCTCCAGACTTAAAGGGAAAGAAACCGAAAGTTGCTGATGATCGTAAAGGTAATAAGCTTGCTGTGGTTTATGCCTGTTGTTTTGACATACTTGTTTGTGTTCGCATATTAATCTTGTTGTTTTGACATGTTTTTTTGTGTTCGCATCCTAACCATTGTTTTTGTTTTGTAGTTAAAAAAGAGAAACGAGAACGGTCTTCATCTCCACCTCGCCAAAAGCCGGCAGCCGATGGAACGGATCGTAAGAAGAAGAGAGACCCAAGTCCTAAAAGAAGGCGTGTTGAAGATGAGAAAAAGCCAAAGAAAGTAGCTCCCAAAGACTCAAATAAAATGGATGTGGATATGAAGGAATTGTTTGGTGAAGATGATGACGAATCCCAAATTAAGAAAGTAAAGAAGCCAATTGCTAGTGAAAGGAAGCCATCTGTAGTCGCAGCACTAAAACCAGCAGCAGCACCACCACCTCCCCCAGAACCTGTTATAGAAGGTAATTCAACTGCGTCTTTCAGGAAAGTTGTCAAAGTCTGGTTGAACACAATGTACTGATTATTTCCTGTGAAAAATTTAGACCTCCCTGTTATAAAGAAGAAGCCCAAAAAGAGTTGGCTGACTGTATCAGGGTATCAGCGTGCTGGTGGTGAATCCACGCTTCCTCCAGTCGCTCCAGGCCGATCCAAACCTGCAGCCAGTGGACCGACTCCCAATGGAGTTCATCTAGCCAAGGATGACTCCCAGAGTAGTCTGTCTTCATCAACGATATGCCCAGACGCCTACTTCTCGCGGCCCTCAGAGCTAATAGATGCAGCAGCTCTCGAAGAATATGAACATAAACACTGTCTTCCCTTATACTCTGTAATTCTCCCAGATGAACCCAACACCCGATATATGGTTGACTTGCAAGTAGGGTTGTTTCTAGGTCTCCCGTCTGGCAGGCAATTTCTAGACAAGTACCCATCTCTGAGCCGACGAGTAGCTACCTCTGCTGAAAAGTCTGATTTAGCAGTTACACCAATTGCAGAAGCTACATGGTCGTGCATGAAGTTGAGAGGAAAAACCAAGTGGTTGAAACCGTTGTCAACTCGGTCTGGAAAAGAGGGCCTGAAGTTAGGTGATGTAGATGTACAGCTAGTGAAAGAAGATGAAATAGCTGCTGTTTTGCTTGAAGCTGGAGCTCTTCCTGGAAGTCAGAGTCATCCGTGGGGTGCTTGGGTATCTTCTGTAGACCTTAAAACGTTTAATGAAGGCCTTCCAAACGCTGTCACGCCACGTACAGATCATCCAACTCCCAAAATAACAGTAGCAGCACAAGCCGCAGCACCAGCAGTAGATAGTAGTAACGGCTCTGCAGAAGCATCATCATCAACAGCAGCACCAACGAATGAAACTGTTGCTTCGACACCTGCAATAAACGATGTAGCTAATGCAGGCAATAATGGTAATAGTGGTGGAGGCAATAGTGGGGGTGGAGCAACAACTACGTTTGCAACGTTTGATTTGCATAAGCTCAAGAAACGGGGTGGTAACCCGACTGCATAAAATGTATATTTTTTGTTCTGCAGTTTTTTGAACAATTGTGTATAAATTTGAAACAGCAAGATGTATCTCAGAGATTGTTAGTTCGTTTTGTGTCTCAATTGGGTCTCGAGATATGGAGCTGTCCTCGTCGCTATTTTGTGGTTGCAGTGTTTGTCGACTGTCAATCTTGTCAAAAACACATGCTAGAACCATCATATTGATTTGTATGCCAGTTACAGGATTTCAACAAGGAGATCGCAACAAAGGGCTTTGTTTTGTAAATTATTCAATAGTCAATGAAGCTAATCAAACTAAATTGGCAATGTACGGCTATCAAATTGATGAACGTCAAACTCTACGTATTGATGTTACTAATGAACGAGGCTTCGGGGAACTTGTATCAATATCACAATATCACGATACATGGTTACGCCTGAGGATGGATACACTCTACGCTTCAAACAGAGTCCGGAAATGACCAGAATGGCCACGGGGATGCCACCAAATGGTCCCATAGCTTATGAGGTCTTTCCGTGAGGTTTCAAAAGCAGATAAAGCCACGAAATCTTGATGATTTTCGTTTGGAACACTGTGTTGATTACTGGCAACCTCAACTGTAGGAGGAATGTTGTTGATATTTTGGTGAAGGGTGCAAATAGTTGGAGTAGTAGTAAAAGGCAAACAACCATAGTGCTTGTATAGTGGTCCTTGCTAAAAATATTCAAATTGTAAGGCCTCACAAGTCAAAGTTCCACTGCCAAGGCGACAGTCAGTGAAAGGATGCTCCTTCAATAGATTCCAAGAATTGCTGGCCTCATCAACCACAGTTTCACATTAGAGACGATGCGAAGGCAAACCACTGCCTCACTTAAATCAAGTTGTTAAGTTCTCTAAGCATTAGGTAACCTCAACAAGTAAGTGCCTTGTTCGTGTTTTTTTTTTGTCGAAGATCAGCGAACAGGATCAAAGAATGAACCTCATCAGCACCATGAACTGATGTTTGTCGTTCTTTAGATCACTTACAAGAAATGGATCGACCTCCGTTAGTCTCCTGGCTAGTAGCTCAACATCATCAATTTTCCCAAAAATTTGAAAACGATCAAGTGCAAAAGCTTCGTGAAGCTTGCACGAACTGTGAAAAAATACAAGATTTGAAGACTCTATGGAGCGCGGGAGCTAGTTGGCAGCATCGTCAGTCCCTAGCAAAGGATATTGACCTTGCAAGTCAACACAAGGAATTGGCTGCACAACATTTTCGAGCTCAGACGTGGCACGCTGCTCTTAAAGAGTATACTAAAGTACGCAATACTTTAATGTGACGTAAGGAGCTGCTTTCTGACGTGTTTCGTCTATAGGTATTACAATATTCGGATGCAAACCAACGAGCAGTTGGTTTTGCCAATCGCTCTGCCTGTCTTCTCGAGATGGCCAGATATCGTGACTGCATGACAGACATAGATAGTGCACTAGCCGCTTCGTATCCATCCCATCTTGAATACAAGATTCATCGCCGAAAAGCACTCTGTATGGAAAAGTTACGTTACTCGGCAACTGACGTTGAAGCCGAGCTAAAGAAGGCTCTCGTATCGTCTCAGGACAACGCAAAGCCGGATTGGGAAGCCAAGATTAGAAAGGATTTAGAGCGCTTGTCTGTACAAGCTGGGAAGGAGAGTATTGAGCCTAAAGACGTGGTAAATGAGGAGCCACAGTCGAATGCACTGCCTGTGCTCATTGTTAAGATCGATCAGAATGGAGAGAGGAGTCTTGTCGCCTCGTCTCGGCTAGACGCTGGTTGTCTTTTAATCGAAGAACAAGCCATTGCTAATGTGTTGGATGAGGGTTTTGTCGAGACGAGATGCCAGACGTGTCTTGAGCCTCTAGGTGACATTCCATTACCGTAAGTCGTTCATTGTACATTTCGAATAAATCATCTCCTCAACTTGTCATCTTTCAGGTGTAATGACTGCTCTCAAGTGCTGTTTTGTTCTGTAGCATGCAACTCAAGCAACATTCACCAACGAGAATGTCGTAGATATTGCTTACTCGATGTGACTGATATGGCTCGGCTGGCACTACGACTGACTTCGGCAGTTGATTCAAATGACTCGTCTGCGAATATTGTTTCAGAGTCAGAAAGTGTCGTTCCTGGATGTGATTCCGATGGCAGATTTGCAGGTTTCAATATTTTGCTTTTCCTCGGATCTGATCATTGTGCTTATGTCTTTTACTGACCTTTAGGTCCAGGTGCTGTGAATTCGCTAGCCTCACATCTTGAACGATGCCCCATAGAAGAAGTCAAGCAATGGCAAATCGAATCCATATTGTTGGCCGACGAATTTGGGATTGATGAGCAAAAATATTTATGGGCGCGTGGTGTGATCCGGTCGAATTCCTTTGCCATCAAGATCGCGCAGAAGACTACGTCAACGAGTTTGATAATCGAGAGTCGAGATGTTAAGATTGCTACTGCTGTCTTTACACGGACTTCATTATTCAATCACAGGTAAAAACGATTCTGTTTTTTTTGCAACTTCAAGGTTGAATTGAGTGTCTTGACGCGACACATTTTGGTAGCTGTGCGCCAAACGCTAAGGTGGAATTCAGCGGAATTCATGTTTCAGTCCGCTCTACTAGCAAAGTAGAAGCTGGCGATGAAATCACCATCAGCTATGTAAGTCTGTTACTCTCAAATATCAAGACCACCAACCACAACTCATTAAATCTCCAACTTCAAGGGTCCAATCGCAACACGACAGTCAACATCAGATCGTCAGGCTATCATTCAAGAGAAATGGGGCTTTCTTTGTATTTGTGCTGCTTGCATGAACGGGACAAACTCGGTAAAAGGATTCAGATGCTTGAAATGTGGAGCTCCTGTTGCTCTCGAAGACGCAACTTGCTCTTCATGTTCAACTGTTGTATCAAAGGATATGATTCAAAAGGTAGTCAATTGTCTTGGCCTCAAGCTATCAAAGCTTTCGAGTGATATTTTTTACGTATGTGTAGGAGACTGATGTGGCTAACTCTTTGTGGGCTCGCTCACAATCGGGAGATGATGCAACACAACAACTCAAATTGCTCAAGTCATGTTGTGAGATTCGAGAGAGAATTTATAATGGCAAGAGTCTAGTGTTGGGAAACACGTATGATGCGTTGGCTGAGTTGTATGCTCGTCAAGGTAGGCATCATAATCTGTATCCCTTTGGCAAATAGTTGACATTTCATATATTAGGTGAATTCGAGGAAGCTTTACCTTGGTGTTACAAATCTTTGGCCATATTGGAAGGAGTTTATGGTGAAAACAGCGTAGAGTATACACGTGAACTGCCCAAGTTGTGCTCTGTGATATTTAATACTCGGTGAGATTAAGAATTCCAGGAGAGATAAACTAGTAGACTCAAACCATGGCGTCTTTTTTAGATCCCATCCTATGAAAAAGTTGGAATGGGTTCAACGAGGTCTTGATTTGTACAGACTGCATGGATTGAACGCTGCCAAGGACGACGATTTCATAGAACTGGAGAACATGAGAGAAGCTCTTTCGTCCTTTCCAATTCAATAAGCATCTTCATTTACACGTTTGCTTTGTTTAAGAGATTAATAGACTTGATATTTATTTAAAGGGGTACTACTTTTTCAAGATCTGATTAGATGTCACTCTGGTGACATCTAACAGGACTGATGTTGTATGACTTAAGAAATGAGTATTATTTGGGGTAAGGTTCGAATAACACCTCAGCCCCTAAAGCATTATTATAATTACAACATCCATTGTCCTCTGCTTACAACCAGAAAATTCCAGCCGTGGGTAGTCCGACCAACGCAGTCAAAACCAGGATGGCGGCCGAGTCGAGACTAGCGAGGTACCCATATCGTGAAGAGTAAGTAGAGACAGATCTGCCAGCAGATGATGTCGATGATTGTGGGATAACCGTGGTTGTCGCAACGACTGTTGTCGTTGTTGTTGTGGTGGTCGTTGTTGTTGTTGCGGCGAGAACAGGGAAAGTCTAGGAATCGTTATTCTCAGCTATTTTGCATCGTTTTCGTAGCGACTGGAATGACACCTACCGTGTACCATTGGCTCTGTGGAACACCCAAACAACTTCCTATTTGCATAACCTGGAACCCAGCCTTCAGGACTTGATACATGACTGGTCTAGCCAAAAGAGCAGACTGATTATATAGATCGTGCTCCAAGGATATTATACTTTGATTCGTTCCGCCTTGGGAAATCCAGGTAGACACGGTGTTGGTGACGGTGTTTGGATCGAATCCTGGTTGGGCTGACAGGAAGTCTTTGGTATCTAGATGGAATTTGACAGGTTATTGAGGGGAGAATGGTCGAGAACTACTAGTAAACTACTAGTAAACACAACTTGTCGTGTCGTACATACCATGATTCCAAGTCACTGTTTTAAGACCCATGGCAGCCATGACTCCCAACACGTTATAGTTTGTAAATCCATAAGGAGGCTGTGTGCATACAAAGCTTGTTAGTTAAATTCTTGTGCCATAAAAATCTTGTTCGTACCCTCATGAAGGTTGGTTCAACCTAGAAAGAAGATGCTTTGAGCAAACATGCCTGATGCAATTCAAACGAAATTATCAAACATACTCCAGTTGTCTCATTTATAATCTTGATCGTCCATAGCATCTCGGATATAATTTGAGGCACGGTGCGATTTGTCAGATCTGGATGACTCCAAGTCTACCAAAACATTCTGATGAGTTAAACTTTGGTTATGAAGGCAGTTTCATATTCACTTACATGTATGCCTATTTGATGTCCTCTTGCAATTATTTGGGCAGGGACGAGAGGATGGTCAATTATTCTTGATCCGATCAAGAAGAAGGTGACCTTGACGCCGACCGAGTCCAGGAAGTCGAGAAGTGGTAGAGTATAGTCGCTAACGGAGGAGGAAGCAGTGTTAGACCAGTCAGCCAAAGTGAGTTGATGCTACATGTGCCACACAATGACGCTTGTATGCGTCTTCATAACGTACCTCGGCTATGAGAAGGTATCATAGGTTGGACGAATAAAAGAAGAATCTGGTTAGCTCTCTTGTGTTCGTCACCACATTGTTGCAAAGTGCAGCTTCGCAAAACGGGTAGCCCGGAATGGAGGCAACTACATACCCCATCATCATAACTACATAAATATGATTCAGTTAGTAACTAACACCCGATATCCAGTACACAATTGTACATCCTTCCATCCTCAAAGGATTGTGGCTGAATGGCCCAAAAAGTAGCACCAGTTTCCACAAAACATGATGGACTTACGAGATGCCCCATTGGCCTTTGCTGCCGCATTGAGTGATTGGTTGGTATATCTGCAGGCCGGATTTGGTAGCTGGGTCATATAAGGACGTCCTGTATATCAAGTAGTAAAGTAAGTATTTTGACGATGCTCTTACTCATGCAAAAAGATGCACTACCATAGTGGATTTGGCGGTGGAGTGATGTCCTTTGGGGGATATGTGTTGTTGTCGAGAGCTAGGCCATCCCTCGCCCTGAGCAGCGCGAAAAACAAGACCAACCACCACATGCTTGTGTTGTGTGTAGATGTTTGGGTGCAGAAGAAGAATGGGACGGAGGAGGTGTGCTTTTCTGGAATTGTGTCGCTGTCTACGGTAGATCTAGGTGTGCATTAGATGACAATCACATTACGATGGCAGGATCTGTGGAGACTAGGCTAAAAATGATATTTTTATAAAAAATTTCAATTCATGACCATGACGCGATATATAGAGACAATATAATGCTAAGTTCTAATAATCATAATGTTCCCTCATGAAAACGTCTTATAATATCCAGATCCAGGTCCAGATCGTTGGATGATTGAACATATTCCTTGATGTGGCGGTGTACCTTGCTACCAACAAACAGAACATCACGACGTCTGTTAAGAAACGAGGCAATTGGAAAGGTAACGATTTCCGCCTTATGCACCGTCATATTTCCCAAATTGACGACATTGTTTGTATCTCTTCGCACCCTGTTTGGCTAGGTGCTAACATCATCTTCCCAAAAGGAAGAATCGTAGGCTAACCAAACTTGGAACTTGGAGAGCACATCGGGTTTAATACAGAAAAGGAGATACTGCAATAATGGAACACGGTAAGAGCCTTCATATCAATCGTCTGTCTCTCTGCTAGCACTTGTTTTCTTCTGCCTTCTACTCGTGGAAGCTGTCATCATAAAAGCTGTCATGCGCTGGGAGCACTTTATAACTCAAAAACTCGACTCTAGCAACGAAGCTAACGGTCAGTTCATCAATGTAGATGATATGAATGGTGCTAGGAAGAGGACTGCCGATGAAGCTGATCTCGCTTCTCACGAAGCAACATTCGTCCAAGAAGAAGCAGATGACGACGATGACGAATCTGGTGGTGTAGAAGAAAGTGGAAAGAGCACTAAACGATCTGGACGTCGTAAAATCAAGATTGAATTCATCGAAGACAAGTCCCGTAGACACATTACCTTTTCGAAAAGAAAGGCTGGCATCATGAAAAAGGCATATGAGCTCTCTACGCTTACTGGTACCCAGGTGCTCTTACTCGTCGCTTCCGAAACCGGTCATGTATATACATTTGCTACCCCGAAACTACAACCACTTATCACTCAACCTACTGGCAAGAATCTTATTCAAGCTTGCTTGAATGCTGCTGAGACCATGCCAGTAGGATCTTCATCCGGTCCCATAGTGCAGCAGCTATCTCAAACACGACCAACACCTCCACTTGTACAACAACAGCAACAACAAAACCAGCAAAAGAAACAACCCTCATCTAGATCGTCGCCAGTCCTCGCACCTCAACAACAGGAACCACAACATGTATCAGAACAACAACTACACAATAAATTAGGTACTACAGCACCAGCACCATCATCATCGTCTACTACTCTCCAACAGGCCCGTCCTAGATCACCCTCAGACATTCATTCTACTTCTCGTGGCGCTGGCAACATCGTATACGAAGCATACGGAAATTCTATACCATCCATCAATACATCGTCTCATACAGGTTCCAATACTCCATCGTTATCATCTCACTATGCTTATGCGCAGTACTCGCTTCCTGATGATGGCAAAGGACAACAGCCATATGCCCCCAAGGTAAAAAAACATGCATGGACAGATTGGATTGACGTGGTTCTCAGCACTCACACTCTGCACTTCTTAGTTTTATGAAGGTCCTCCTCCCACCACTGGCTACTATCCATCTGTATCATCGTCCTTTACCAACGCACCACGCCCAATGTATAACCCGATATATGCTGCCCATCCTCGATCGGCAGCTCCACCACCAACAAACCTCAACCACGAAAGTAAATAGGTTATAAAAAAACAAGAAATCAGGAGAATTTTTTTGCTTCATAGTATCATAGTGACAACCAAACAACTAAAAGAAATATATTTGGAGTCTTTGAAAACAAAGACTTTTTTATCGTGTGCAAGTCTATTATGCTACATTGTCTACAGAATTACATTTTTCACCAAACTGACGGTTCAACCATAGCGGACACTGCTGCGAGAAGGATCAAACCAGTCTGGATATGTATTTGACGGGTTGGTATTCACAACCACAGATTTGATCTGTGTATACGAGTTGAATGCCTCTTCACCATTCTCTCGTCCATACCCACTATTCTTAAACCCTCCAAATGGGGACGACGGGTCGTTCTAATATAATGAGAAAAGATCAGAGTGATATAAAGTATCGTCAAATGTGATTTTTTTGGCTGCACCTTGTGATGGTCATTAACCCAAACAATCCCAGAATCAAGCTGCTCCGCCACTCTATGTACCCGTCCGACATCTCTCGACCATACCGACGCGGCTAGACCATACTCTGTATCATTCGCCAGCTCTATAGCATGTGCCTCGTCCTTGAATGGCACAAGCACGATACACGGCCCAAACAATTCTTCCCTCCAGCATGGATTTGATAGGATGTCAGCAGTTAGCGGTGGTGGTAATGACAAGACGGTTGGTTGTATGTAATAGCCCTTGTCGAACAGTTGATTTCCACCACATTCTAGTATCGCTCCGTTTTCGATACTTGAGGATAAGATACTTTGGATTTTGTATAACGATTGGCGGGATATGACGGGACCAATGTCAGTAGAGGGGTCCAGTGGTGGGCCAACTTTGAGAGATTGGACTTTTGCGACTAGTTGGGTTTTAAATTCTTCATAGATTCGTTCGTGGACCTAGGAGGAACGAGGCGAAAAAAGTAGAGTTCAGCCACGACATGCAATGAACAGAGGAATGCCAGAGTACACCACGTACAAGTATCCTTGCAGCCATAATACAAGTCTGACCCGACGCAATCATCGAAGCAAACACTGCTCCTCTAACTACATCGTCTATCGCCACATCATCAAACACAATCATCGGTGCTTTGCCTCCAAGCTCAAGTGTAAGCATCGCCAAGTTCCGTCCAGCCAATTCCCCAATTGCCCGTCCAGCAATAGTCCCACCAGTCAAATCAATCTTCCGTATCGCCGGATGCGATGCCATAGCCATGGCCACCTCTTTACCACCTGTAACTACATTGATTACACCATTAGGAATACCAGCCTCTTTCGCCATTTCCGCAAACAGCAATACGGATACAGGTGCCAGCTCAGACGGTTTGATGACTATAGTGTTGCCCGCTGCGAGTGCAGGCGAGAGTTTCTTGACCGCAATCAGCAATGGGTGATTGAATGGTGTTATGAGACCTACTACACCTAGCGGCAGCCTCCTCGTGTAGTTCAGCATGTTGTTGCCTCGCATTGGCACGACGCGTCCTTCATGGACTGTTGCTAGTGACGCGAAATAGTCTAGCCATTCAGGGAGTCGAGATAGCTGGGTTCGTAGTTCTCTGAATGGTCGTCCCGTTTGTAAGGCTTCGAGTTCAGCTAGTTCTGGGATCCGGGATTGGAGCTTCGAGGCTAGATTGCGTAGCAGGATGGCTCTATCCCGTGATTCGATTTTTGACCATGATTTGAATGCGTTTTGGGCGGCTTTGGCAGCGAGATCGACGTGTTTGGGGAGGCCTTGTTGGATTGTGGTGAGGAGTTGTTCGTTATGTGGTGATTCAACTTTGATTCTATGTGGATGTGAAAGGTGTAAGAAGCACAGTGTCAAGTATTTGGGTGAAAATGTGCTTCAAGTCATCGAAAGAGTTGTAGTGATGCTGATAACTACTGTATCCCGCTTCAAAAAGATGAAAAGTAGCAAACAATTAGCGAGAAGGTGAAGTTCACACACACCTATTTGATGTGTCTTGATCGTTGTGAATTTGTCCATTAATCCACATGCCATAATGAGGTCTGAATTTGGATGATGTAGAGTAGCTCCTTCCATAAATAATATTATTCCCTAGTCCCGTCAGTCGCCTCATGTTTGTTGATGTTTTGTGACACACATTTTTGGCTCATGAATTGCAACACTTTTGTAAACGAAACGAGATAAGACAACAACTTGCAATACTAGCTACTATCACTATCTATCAGACACTATCAACGCATTCAAAATGATGTATCGCGTGCCCTGGAGGCTCGCAAAGATGCAAACTACACAACCTGCCAGCATCCAGGTTCGGGCTCTCGCTTCCATTGCTTCCCTTCAAAATCACAAATACTTGAATGTACGGCACCTAATTATTGCTTTTATTTTCTTATCTATTCAAGTACACTATGTCTAATTCCACTCTCCTAGCTGCCATTGGTGGACTTTCAACAATTCGTCACTGGAACCCGTCGTGACAAACGTGTCTGCTCGGATGCTATATTGAAGGGCTTACGAGAAGAAGGATTCTTGTACTTGACTGGTCACGGACTCGATCAAGCACAGATCGATCACGTCTTTCAACAGGTACGCAATCACACATGATAGAGCTCTTTTTCACGTGCTGATACCTGCACTTTTAATTACCACTAGTCAAAATGGTTTTTCAACTTGTCAATGGCTGAAAAGGTTGCCTACTGTGTCGTTTATTGGTGCTACAACATTCCTCATTAACCCATTACTTCCTACTTAGAACAAACTGGCATGGCAATCTCCTGAAGCAAACCGTGGTTATGTGGCCCCAGGACGAGAAAAAGTATCTCAATTAAAAGATCCAAAGGATGTCGCACAGCTACGCACTCAAAGCCCAGACTTGAAGGAATCTCTTGAAATTGGACGTGAACCATCGCCAAACAATTATGTAAACAATTGGCCAAAGAATCCGGAATTCAAAAAGACAATGATGGAATTCTTTGAGGTAGATTATTCACGTCGTGGCGTATGATAAAATACTCGAACTCACACTTATACACATTTACAAGTCTGCTCATCTACTTCATCTCGAAATCATGAATGCCCTCGCTCTCTCCTTGAATCTTGGAAACAGATTCTTTGATGAATTCTGTGGAGCAAAAGATCATAACCTGAGGCTGCTTCACTATCCAGCAGTCCCCAAAAACCTATTGGACAAGGATGGCCATTCGCGTGCAGGAGCGCACTCTGACTATGGAACGCTTACACTGCTCTTTCAAGACGACAAGGGTGGTCTCGAAGTCAAGGACAAACATACGGATCAATGGGTTCCTGTCCATCCTATACCTGGCACTATTGTCATCAATGCTGGTAAGGGAACACCGTTGTATTGAGAGTTTGAGGAATTTCTAATACGATATTTACACTAGGGGATCTCTTGGCTCGATGGGCAAATGATACAATCACTTCGACAGAACACCGAGTCGTCTCGCCACAAACGTCTACAGCAGACAAAAACAGCTATGACGAGAGATACAGTGTTGGTTCGTAACCAGTGTTGATAAATGTCCTCCATGTCAAAACGGTCAACTAATAGTTTGTCATAACCACAATCTAGTCTTCTTTTGCAATCCAAACTTTGATGCCGAGATCAAGGTGTTGCCATCATGTTCTGGAAAGACGAATCCTCCTCGATATGAACCAGTCAACACTCACAGGTAAGAGTCTCTCTCTTCTCCCGATCTTCGCATTTCAGCCTCGCTGACCAGTGTAATATTGTATAGGTACTTGACTGAACGACTCTCAACTACGTATTGAGTCTCGTGTCTCGCTATGATGAGCAAGCGCCATTATCATGTATCTTTGCTTTTCGTTGTGTCGTTTATCATGAGCAAGCGTCCAGTATTATGTACCTTTTGCTTCCCGGTCGGTCTTTTTTACATACTTTCAAATATTACATATTCAGCAGTGATAAAAAGTGAAGACTGAAGTTTTGTGTAAGGCGTCTTTTTTGGTGTTGGGCCTTCTTGTTGGTGGGTTGGTCCCCAATCAGAGTGATTTTCTCAAGCCAAACCTGGATTTTTGAACAAGCGACCAAAAGTTAGTCACTGCTTCGTACATACAGTTCATCAGTCATGGAGAAGGCTCTGCGTATAGATGATATTTTACACGTCGTCTTCACCTTCCTGGACAAGCCTTCGCTCTTAAATTCAAGTTGCGTCAATCACTTGTTTAATGAAATTGCCAGGAAGCATTTATGGCGGTCGGTCAGCGTTGATACTTCGATTCCAACTGGTAAGCATATTTCACGAGATTTGTTACTTCAGATGTTAGCTTTAACACGTTTGGTTTGTAGAGGTAATGACGATTGGAATTTCAGCCCTCGAAAACGCTTCAACGCTTCGAATACTACGCGCTGTACACGGACAACCATTAATTGCTCCTTGTATAAGGCATTTGGATTTGATTCTTGACAATCACAAGTACGTTTTGTCTCATTCAATCATCCACATCAAAACAAGCCTGACCCAAAGTGAATTAAATAGACATCTTGGCGATAACGGCTCCTGGAATAACGAAGGCCTCTTGCTATCTTTCCTCGAAACCGCAACTAGAATACTGAAGAGACTGACTCGATTAACCAGCATTTCTGTGCAGGTCAGGATGGACTTGGAAGGCCTCGAAGACAATCCAGCACAGACATTAAAAACACTGACAGCATTGGTTGACGCTATACGAAACACCCGTGCACAAGTATCATTCATCCTTGATCAAGATACCGTGGCATCGACAGACATGTTGGGCCTTTCAAACGAACACCCCTCGCCACTAAATCCAGCAACCTGGAGCTGCAACATCTCCAAACTCGAGTTAAATTTCTTGCAATTCATGGACACATACACTATCGAGCTTGCCCAAGAGCACGTCAACATGCTCCTGTCGACGCTCCAGCCACTAAAAGACGTATCGCTGAGCTTCATGCCTGTAAACCAAACCACACTGGACCTGCTCACGACTCGCCACGGCCAGAGCTTACTCTCACTATGCATCGCGAACGCCCGCGTAATGGGCGAATCGATAAACAAGCTGCTCCAACACTTGCCCAACTTGACTCGCTTCGTCAATATCGATACCATGATGCCCACCGAGCGGTATATAGACTCATCGGTAATACTGCAATGTCGCAACCTCGCTGTGCTGAGCATCCCAACCAATTCCGTCGACCTGCTTCAAGCTGTCGCTCGATCGTGTATGGAGCTCGTGGTGCTGGATCTCGTCAACGGTTCATCTCCCGACCTGGATCAGGCTATCCACGGTATACTGCTCTCGTCAGCAAAGAGTTTGGAGCAAGTCGCCGTATCGTTATCGTCACCGGCCATCCTTGCTCAGACATCCATACCGAATCTCAAGAGGCTACAGATTGAATCACCGTTGAAGGAACACGCTAGACTTATCACGAAGCTGGTGGTTGCGCAATCAAGGAAGCTGCGAGATGACATGAGCTTTATATTGAGATCTACTGATGGATGGGAGACGCCCGAGTGGACTGTGTTGAGCCATTCGCCTGAACTCTTGGAGCATGGGACACTGGATAATGCTATGAAACCTATGGGGATCAAGACACGATACTTTTCAGCATCGGCTATTCGTAAACTTAGCAGGCGAATCGCTAGTAGTGGGGATGGGGTTGAGTTGCAGGAAGCGCGTGGATTGTTTCAAGGTCTTGATTAGGTGTGACCAACAATAGATTACAACAGCGATACAATTCTGTTTCAGAAGTTGATCCACAGAGTTTGTTTAGTTTTTTAAAGGGGTGTTTCAGAGCTTGACCTTCCCACCCACGACATCATTATACTCTTTCACTCCAAACGGCTTGTACGTGTTCGTCTTGTCATCAAACATATACACCTTATCCTGGTACTTGCGTATATCAATGCCTTCAGCACGCAAACCCGTCTATCAAAAGCAAAGAACAAATCAACATAAATATCCAGTCAAGTTTGATTTCAAACAGCATATCCCCACCTTAACGAGCTTGTACGTCCCCGTAAGCTCAAAGTTCTGTGAGCTGCGAATACGAATCCATAGCGGTACGGCGTATTTGGGTAGTTCTTTGGCAACGTATTTACCAAGTGCGGCCATGTCGAATTTTTCATCTACGACGAGGGCCGCCATTCCAGCGCGTCCGTCCATGTTAGGTACTTCGGCACCGTATACGTTTGATTCGACGATGCCGGGGAATCTAAAGACACAGGGATTAGAAAACAAGAGAAACGCTATGGTTAGAAACAAAAAAGAGCAGTTGTGCGTGTTCACTTACTGGTCAAGCAAGTCACCAATCTCACTAGTTTTAAATTCAGGTTAGCATTCTCACGCTTTGCGTGTAATATGACGAGTGATGCTTACTTTGTCGAACAGTTCTCGCCCTTCCATCTGAACGTATCTCCAATGCGATCAACAAAGTAAAAGAAGCCTCGAGCATCCTGCCTCAAAATATCTCCACTCCTGTGCCAGCAATCGCCCTTCCTAAATTTCCATAAAGTCGTTCAGCGAAAAAATGTCATGGAACAAAAAACGCAAATGCATTTCGATGATGCCAAACCCACTTGAACACATCCCGCAACAGCTTCTTCTCCGTCGCTTCGTTATTATTATGATACCCGACAAACACCCTCCCCTTCGCAGCATCGACCTCATTGATAAACTCTCCAGGCTCATTCACGTCAGCCTCCACACACAACCCATCTGCTGTACGAACAGGCTTTTCACCATCATAGTCGAATTTAATGATTCGAGACGTTTGCAACAGGCGCATCAAGACACCGAGTTGACCGATACTTCCGGCCGTGTCGGGAGACGTGCAGTGGTGGGAGATTCCACCTAGTCCGTCCTAATGAAGAAAGATTAGGTTATAGATTATAAGCCAGACATTGCGGTAGACAGATTGCAAACGTACTGTTGCACCATAGAACTCATTTATTTCTTTAATGCCAAATCGCTCTTGGAACTGCAGCCAGCAGTCTGGTCGTAGACCGTTTCCGATGGCTGCACGGACGTTGTGAGCGCGGTCAGATGGATCTGGAGGAATGGCAAGCAGATATCTGGCAACCTCTCCAATACTATATCATAAAAGCTATCAGCGATCGTGCAAAACTGTATAATACCACCACACAAAACACCTACTATTGGCAATAAGTAGCATTGTACTTTGCGCAATCCTTGAAATAGTTCCTGGCAGACAGTTTCCTTTGCACGATAACCGTCATGCCCATTCTGAAGCCGGCCAACAGCGCCATAGCACCACCAGCTGAATGATATAACGGAAGGGGCGTGTATATACGATCGGAGTTCCTGTATCGTCCCCATGCAGCGATAAATACACCAGCACCAATTGTCGCTCCATGTAATATGGTAACTGGCTTTGGGAGACCCGTCGTTCCACTACCACAAAACAAAGACATATTTCAGCTCCCCATAACGCTCTTTCTATCAATTGAATCCGTAATACCTTGTATAGATAAACAGCATCAAATCAGCAGGAACTGCCGCACTTCGAATCTCATACGGAATCTGAGTCGCAGGGTACTGCTCACGTAGCTGCGCAATAGACATATTAGAAGCCCAATCTCCAGCAGCCTGATTTCCAAAACAAATCATCCTGGCTGAAAGTCCAGAGGAGACATCTTTGACATGCTCACTCATGTTGTCTCCAAACACAATGACATCGCCCGTTGCTACTTTCAAGCAATGGAGCAAGGCGTTCGAGCGTAGATTGAAGTTGACGCCTGCTGAGCAGCATGAGATTCTGTTTTCGTGTCGTTTGGGACAGTTGGTGAGATAGTTTACGTAGAGTCTTTGGAGGGTTGGGAACGTACTTGACGATACCCAGCATAGCAATGACGTATTCAGGCGAGTTCTCCACCATGAGTGGAACGATTTCTAAGAGTTTATGGTGAGGTTATCCAATTGACGACAGCTTGTCTTGACTGCCGCAGACAGACATGTTCCTGTCCGTCACGCCCAAGTTGCTCTGGGCATTCAAGTGACTTACGCTTTGGTTTCACGCCCATCTTTAGTAGATAGTTGCCCCATCTGTTGCTGTCTTCGTCGAGTTGTCTGTATGTCCAACTCCTGCCATCCTGTCAAAAACACGTAGGTTGGTACATTTGTTGCATCTGAGTAGCAACCTCCAAACTGAATTCACCTCAGCGAAAACGAAAGCTTCCTAAGTATGCGAAGAAAATGGTGTCAGGCGTCATAGTGTCATCAAACCAAGACACAAATGAACGGGATCCAAGAGACACCATCAAGAATGAAACAAGCCAAAACAATACCAACCTTATCTGGAAACGCCTTAACCATCGGCTCCCAAACCACAGTAGTCCAGTTCCCACTCTGCGCAAGTGAAACCTGCACAGTCTCTGCCATACCAGGCTGCTGGCGTTCAAGTACATCTAAATCTGCGGAAAGACCTGGATTCCATTTGTCAATTAAGTTGTTTCGTGCATTGATTACAATGTCAAGCGCTTACCCAACCATTGATCGAGATACTCAATTGGGTCCGTCTTTGGGTTTGCTGTGATGTCCTTTTTGGGAGAGACGGTCTTGTTTATAATGCCGGGAGCTTCCCAGTGAGCTGTTCCGGGCTTGAATTTTTGTGGTATCGCGAGTGCCATCTTATATTTGTCTCTGAGCTTTGTGAGTCGTGGAAATCGCAGCTTGAGCGTGATGTGATACAAAGAACAACTGGCTGAGGCTCACGTTTTGGCATTTACCATTTCGGCATCGAATTCGTCATGTTTTCGAGCGATCTAGCTCATCATCACTTCTAACTCTCGTGGCAAAACGCAAAAACGTCAAAAAAGACACGTCTTAAAGATGTTGCTCTATTTTGAAACAGGCTTTCAAAGTGTGATTTCTTGGCGGGCCCAAGCTGCCACAATTTGATTTGCAATGGCGTAACCAGGGGGCATCCAGAATTTAGGTGCTGGCTTCTCACTTTCAGGAGCACCTTCTGTCCTTACGTCAATTGTTTGAGACGCATTCAAGCTCTCCAGTACTTCTTCACGCGTAAACCATTGGGCGTCGTCGAGTTCTACAGAGAAATTTCAACCAATGTATGAGACTTTCAACAATAGTATGAGGCGCATGATTGCATCGTGTGAAATCTATAATATTTGTTACCTTTATCTTCTAGATGAATGGAGTCAGTCAAGGCCATTGCTACACATCCAATCATGAGGGAATTGGGGAATGGCCATGGTTGCGAACTGTGATAGATCACTTTTCCTACTTTCACGTTCGTTTCTGTCATAAACAAAAAAAGTCAAACGGTCAAATTTATTTGTTCGTCACATCACCAGAACGACCAGTAGCCACGATTTCCCAAATCATACCTTCCCAAGCCTCACGTCTGACACCTTCCTCCAAGCTCTCTCCAGCTTCGAGAAATCCGGCAATACACGAATACATCTTTGCGGGCCAAACTTTCTGTCGACCAAGCACGCAACGCTTGCCATCACTTGACACGATACAGACGATAATCACAGGATCAGTTCTATCAAAACCAAAATTTCAGTTGTGCGTTTTCAATAAACAACGTGGTCAAGCCCAAAGTACAAACCTTGGATATTGAAAGTTTTGAACTCCACGCCCATTACTCAAGCACGACGCATTCGGGCACTTTCTTTTGTATCCAGCCTCCTCACTAGTTGTCTTGCTGCCGCACATTGGGCAGAATGGGTGTCGCAAATTCCAGTCCAATAGAGCTCGCGCCTGAGCGACGTACGAAGCCTGGAGAGGTCCCAGTTTAAATGACGTTGGGCGAGCGTCAGAGAATTTGCCGAGTCCTTTAGTCTCAATATCTAGCATTGCAAAACGTGGTTAGCGAAAGCATTTGACAGACTGACACTCGAATAAACACTTTGAAAGGAACAACGATGAGATTAGTTACATTGCAACATCTTGTCATTAGACGTAACATCTATAGCCCAATATACTCGATTCTCATCCGACTCATCGACACCCATCAATACGGGTTGCATGGAAGTCCAACTATCGTCGCTAACAGTACCATCTTCACCAATAGCAGCAAGAATGTCCTGATACGATAAATATGCCAGTTCGGCTGTTTCAGCAGCAGGGTCCACGTACAACACATGCAACTTCTGGTCTGTATTGTAGAAAATGTGTCAGCAAGCGTGCTTTAACAACATGACATTCACGATTTGCTTATGCGTACGTGCTAGGTATCTTGTCCTCTCATTAGCTTTCAGCTTGGCGAGTTCTGCCTTGTCTGTTCTCACCACCGACTGAACAAGTTGATGAAACACACAAGCGGTGAGATACGATGCATCTGAAACTTGGAGATAGACAATACCTTTCGATTAAGGTTATTTCCGCTGTAAAAATTACCAAAGTTGTGGGGGTCTAGTGCAGAACTGAGTGAGCTTTCACCATTTGTCATACAAAGCGAGTTTGGCTGATTCCAGGCCAATTCTCTATGTCTAGAACGACATAGACGGCTGCAAGCTAGACTGAGCTACTTACCTAGCGAGTGGTGTCCCGTCATTGTTCCAAAATTCTTCCAAAATCTGTTTTACCGTTAAAACCAAAATTTGTGACTTTTAAGGACAAGCAGAAAGACAAACATCGTTCCCATTTCGTTCAAATTTATGAAAACTACCAAGTGTTACATTTGGTCGCTCTAAAAACAAAATTGGAAGCTCAAACACGGTTTGGCATCAGGATTGTTGATAATGACAAACCGAAGCTCCTTCGACATAGTCTTTGGAACCGTTGGCAGACTCAGTTCACTTTGAATACAAGATGGCGACGCGTTTCATCTTTTACCTTGCCCGCAAACTTGAAATGTGCTTGCACTCAGGAGCGAGGCTCTACAACTCCCAGAAATTCAGACTTGCTCTATGGGCATAGGTGGAAGTATACTTAATAGTAACGTCGTCGTTTTGAACTCCTCACGAAAGAATGATTGCTAGACGCACGGCTGCCATTCACAGTTTCTTATATTCTCAAATCCAAAGTGCGTCACAACACAGATTGTCAGCGCTGACTCATTTGTTTCTCCACAGTAAGTTAATTTGCGACGGAATGTCAATGGAATTCTGTTTTCAATTACATATTGACGTATTGTAATCTCCTGTTGTTACCAAAAGAATATGAATCTTTTCTACATAGGAAGTTTCAACGTTTCTTGCATAGCCTGACGGATACTACAAACGTCACAGGTGCATCCAACAACCAAGAGCTACTTTCCCAAAATGCGTTTTTCTTTACTTAAATAACCTTGTACAATTGGTTTTGATACTTTAAAAAGGATACATAACAGCAAGAGATGATGGAATGGAATAATTGGATTTACAAAGACACTGTATCAATCAAATCCACTGATGGTCGATGGAACCCAGGTGATTGTGATACGGGTGACGATCTAATCGAGATTGTGATTTGGCGTGGAGGAAGCTCGTCCATCATGGAGCTACTAGATTGTATAGATTCCGGTACCGCTGCTCGTTCAGCGATACTGGGACACAGGCATCCAGCGGGAAAGCGACCGCGTCTTTTGCTATTGAGATTCCAACCTGTGCATATGGTGCCGTCTGGGGATACGGATTCGATTACTAGGAGGTCGTTGGGCCTTATGCGGATATCGTCTGGATGTGGTGGTGTTCCAGGAGTAGCCGGCCTGGTTAAACAAGTATATTTAGTTTTCTTGGTTAATAGCCATGGCTTGATTCAAACAACAGATCAGAAGACTGACCTAAAATCAACAGCAGCTCGATATGTTTGACCCTGGATTATACGCTGTTGCTGCTGCACCTTGACTGTATCAATCAGCAAGGTTTGCTCCCACCACCGTCTCAAATACGGCGATTCCAACATGACGATCGACGACACATCACCTTTATCGCCAGTCACACTAGACCCGTCTTCATACGAACCACCCATGAATCCTCTAGCGCTATCCGTCTTTCCCCTATACGCATCATCAGATGCATTACGTCGCCTATACGAGATGAAGAATCCAATAGCCAGAATCAAGAGCACAAACGCTAACGAGGCACCGATACCGAGCCCAACAGCAGATTTCAGCCCGGAATCAGACGTTGCTGCTGGTGAGATGACGGGCCGTGGCTGCCACGGTGTTGGAGTTGACGGCGCTTTACATATTGGCGTTATCCTATCGAATTGGCATGATACAAAAGTGTTTCCGGGATCTATGCAGCTAAACTGATTTCCAGCGAATGAGCATGATGTGTTGTCGGCCATCAGGTTGTTCTCTATGCCAGCACCTCCCAAGGGTGGCATTGGTCCAGTCAGTCTGTTATTGTCTACGTGGAGGGTCAGATTTAGCACATGAACTTTGCATGCGAATTATTGACGTGCTACTCACTGAGGAAGATACTTTGCAGAGTAGCAGATGTAAAATTGTAAAAGGAATCTGGCACCTCGCCATTGAGAGAGTTATGGGACAAGTCCCTACGCAAAAAGAAGGATCGAGTCAGCTATGTATATGCCATATGCTTGAGAGCTTGATCACTCACAATTTGTACAGCTTTGGAATGGAAGGAATGTCCTCTGGGATGAGACCAGTGAGTCCAGGGTTGCCAGTCACAATTCTGTATTAACGAAAGCATGTGTTAGAGAGGCAATGCAACATTCTCGGCGAGCGGCGATGCACATACAATGCAAACAAGTGTGTCATTGAGCTCTATAGACATGTATGGGTATATTAGCCTAGATCTACCGGACTGCCTTTTGCAGCATGAAACAAACGATACATACTAAAACATCCTCGGGAAGCTGGCCAACCAAATTGTTCGCAGTGAGATTACTAGAATGAATGTACAAAAAGGGTTACCACGCATGTATGGTGGTGTGTGATGGTGGTGATAGTTTGGGTTGATTAAATAGGTGGGAGATTGTCCCCCTTTTGATGTGAAATGCAAAACAGGATGATGCATAGCCAACATACATGAAGAGCACCCGTGAATCTCTATTACAAGTGATGCCGGAAGCGTAACAGCAGTCTCCGGGGTTTGTCCATCCATCCCAACCAGAGTTGTCAGTCCAGTTAGATCCGCCAGCGAGTTGGTATAATGTTGCCAATGGGCCTAAGCAGTCGTCTAATGGCGTGTCGGTTGTAGCCATGAAGACGGCTGAAACCTCTATATTGAGGCCAGTTCTCGATATGTAGTCTCTAGCGCAGATGTTTTAAGTTGCAGAATGTAATAATGCGGCTTTGCGAAGCAACAAACCCCAGCTATTTAAAAAAAAATTGAATCATCATGTAAGGTAAAAGAACCAGTTCCTATGTTGATCTAACTCTTGCCCTTCACGTAGATGAATCCGCTACTCTCTGCTTTGGTGTCTTTGTCTGAAAACGCGAGGGACTACGCAGGCCCAATTCAACAACACTACAAACTACCTTCATCTCTGGAATTTTCCAGACTTATATCTTCAAACTGTCCAGCAATATTCAGGAAATGTGCTCCTGAAATGTTTTCTAACGCAATGCAAAAATGGACATCAAAAGAATATCTGCAATCAAAGCTCCACAACGATGTGACGGTGACCGTTACTCCAAATGGGCTGGCTGATGCTATATTGGATGACAAGTTTGTCTTGCCCCACGAGCTGAAGATGCCAATTGGAGACGTCTTGGATCGCATAACCAATTCTGAAAAACACGACGATGATGCCGTGTTTTACGTCCAGTCGCAAAACAACAATATGGGTATTGATGCTGACTTTAGTGTACTTTTCCAAGATATTCCTCAGGACATCCCGTTTATGACTGAGGCATTGGGTAACAACTGGAAGACACGTCACTTGCACAAACACTGACACACATTCTCTACCAGGAAGGAGTCCAGATGCCGTCAATTTATGGATTGGAAACAGCAGAGCGGTCACGTCGTGCCACAAGGATCATTACGAGAACATGTATGTCGTCTTGGCTGGATCAAAAACCTTCACATTGATTCCGCCAACAGAGGCGTGGTGTTTGAGCGGTACGCCCGTTATCAGAAAATCTGAAACCTATACGTCACTAAGACTCTCGTCAATAGAGAGCATATTTCCAGTAGCGAAATACCAGCCATCAAACCTGCAATTCGATGGATTGACACAGTGGTCTATCGTTGACGTCGAGCCATCACAAAACACACCGTGGATTCCTGTGAATGTAATAGATCCCGGCTCCAAATATCCGTGGTTTTCAGAGTATTGTCGACCTCATACGTACGTTCGCTTATCCATCAGGTAGGCAACCGCACGTGCTGGAACTAGACTTACTCGAACGTTATCACATTAGGGTGATGCTCCATGCTGGCGACATGCTATACCTACCATCCTTGTGGTTTCATCATGTACAACAAACGTCAGAACCACTGGATGGTTTTTCTGCCGCTATTGCGATAAATTATTGGTACGATATGTCCTTTGACGTCAAACACGCCTATTTCTTGTTTGTAAAAGACCTTGAGAGTAAACTGCATCAAGACACCAACATGTAATTAGGCAAAAATTATATTTCATTCAGACCACTCTATGTATTTCCAGAGTATATAACCCATTCCTCAGCCCATGTAATCTTTTAACTGTATAAACTGTAATTAAAAAAACTATGTTGAAATTCCCACCAGTAAAACTAGAATGTCAAGTAGAACACAAGCTTGCTAGGCGTATTCCTCATCAAAAGTCGCAAGTCATCATCACCCATAAGATGAAGCAGTCGTCCAGTCTCGTCTCTAAACATGACATTGAAGACCTCGCCACTACCGTCCCCAGTCTTCTCTTGTAATTCATAAATCAGATCGTCGAATGAGAAGTCGACGGGCAGCTACCAAAGAACACATGTGAGATAATGCAAACGACAAAAAAAACCTGGCGCAAACAGAATGCATACCTTCATGGCATAAATCTCATCCCCCTTCACAACTTTAATCTTAACCATCTCGTCCCTTCTCGTACTCCCATACCCACGATCAGAAACCCCACCAATCAAATCCATGAGCGCCGTAGCGGCACCAACTTGTACAGACTCTCGCGTTTCTGGTAACCGATCATGGTCAGTCTGTCGAGCGGTGAGGAATTTGCGAACTGGAGGGGATTCCAACAGTCGTGGTGGCAATTTGATGAGGTCCTTTATATACACATCGAGCGCCTCTTGACGTCCTGCTGCCCACGTATGGTTGATTTCTCGGCCGGGAGGCTGCAAGAATGGGATGATTCGAGACTTGTTTCGACGGCCTGCTTCGGTGGGGAAGTGGCTCAATAGGTTGAACTATGTTATAAAGAATGTTTAGCACAAAAGCCAGCCGGTATTCTAACAAAATTCAAACTCACTTGAAGTTCCCAAAAGTCATCATATGTCCTATACAATATCTGCCGTATACCCTCGTTCCCAACCATTCCCCTAACAGGGGGCAGCAACAGCGCCAACTCTATCGTAAAGTAATACACACCCTCCACCTGCCTAAACTCAAAAGCCTGCACACCGGCCGACTCCACTTTCGGCGGTATATCACCAACCGGCGACGACGGCGGCGTCATCATCATAGCAGCATTGGTAGTCCGTGTAGGTTGCTGCTGCGGTATAACAGCCTGTATATGTGCATTTTCCGGCCTCTTTGCCTTCTGTTGCTGCTGCTGGAGGTACTGATGATGAGCCATACTACCCGCCGAAGCAGATTTCCGAAGTATTTCACCCCGTGAGTACCCAGTATGTCCAACACGGTGCTCGCTGTTATTAACATATGCACGGTCTTCGATAGTGGATGATGTGTGTGTGCCTAGCGTTCCATATCCGGAATCCGCGTAGCCAGAGTCTATCTTGCTGTATTTCGTGCTGGCTGTGCTCATGACAGATACGGGTGTCGAGTATGCGCTGGATAGTGAGTTTGTGGATTCCATGCGAGTTACGTGTGGCTGTCTGACAGGGGATCTCTGTGGCGAGTACTGCGGCGGTTGCTGCTTTGGTGCGGAATACGGTTGATGTTGTGGTGAATACTGCTGCTGTTGTCTACTAGGTGGCGGTTGCGAATAGTGCGACGACGGTAGTAATGATGGCACGACGGCAGCTGTTGGAGATGCCCTTACAGATACAGGTGTGGGTGGTAAAGGTCGTTCACTACGTTCCACAAAAGGCTGTTTTATTGCTGCCCGAGGCTCATTGCGTTCTATAGGTCTTTGCTTTACAGGAGGCTGTGGCCGTGGACTTCCAGCGTCACTCGGATCACTAGATCTCGAGTCCCACGAGTCTCGTCTGGTGGTGTTTTTTCTATAGTAGGGTGATTCGTGGTCGAGGTCGACGGGCAGTCTCTGGTTTTGCTGTCTCGGTGGCGGTGGTTGAGATTGCGCCC